TTCGTCGCACAAGAAATTACGAAAATGCCATCTGAATATTAATTTTGCCCAAATCCATGCTTAACGAACTTATCATCCGTGGAGAATAAGATCAATAGACTTCATTATCGGTGGAGAATTGCCTCGGCCTGATTCCGTGATCTGTAACTTCCAGAATAGAAAGAAAATGGCATTTCGGATATATCGCCCGAAATCTGTGATGGTACCCCTTTGGAATCTGCCAAAAATGGACCCGGAATAAATCCGCCCAAATCGATACTTAATGGACTCAATCATCATTGGAGAATAGCCTCAGGCCGAATCTATGATCTGTAGCCTTCAATATCTAAAGAAAATGGCCTTTCGTCGCCCAAGAAATTACGAAAATACCATCCGAAAATAAATTGGCCAAAATTGATGCTTAACGGACTTATCATCAGTGGAGAATAGGATCAATAGACGTCATTATCGTTGGAGAATAGTCTCGGACTGATTTCGTGATCTATAGCCTCCAGCATCGAAAAAAACTGGCATTTCCGATAAATCGCCCGAAATCTGTGATGGTACCCCTTTAGAATCTGCCAAAAATTGACCGTTAATAAATCCGCCCAAATCGGTGCTTAATGGACTCAATCATCGTTGGAGAACAGACTCTGCACTCTGGACAAATCCGTGATCTGTAGCCTTCAATATCCAAAGAAAATGGCCTTTCGTCGTCCAAGAAATGACGAAATGCCATCCGAAAATAAATTGGCCCAAATCGATGCTTAACGGACTTATCATCCGTGGAGAATAGGATCAGTAGACTTCATTATCGGTGGAGAATAGCTTCAGCCTGATTCCGTGATCTGTAGCCTCCTGAATAGAAAGAAAATGGCATTTCGGATAAATCGCCCGATATCTATGATGGTACCCCTTTGGAATCTGCCAAAAATTGACCCGAAATAAATCCGCCCAAATCGGTGCTTAATGGACTCAATCCTCGTTGGAGAATAGCCTCAAGCCGAATCCGTGATTTGTAGCCTTCAATATACAAAGAAAATGGACTTTCGTCGCCCAAGAAATTACGAAAATGCCATCCGAAAATAAATTTGCACAAATCGATGCTTAACGGACTTATCATCCGGGGACAATAAGATCAATAGACTTCATTATCGGTGGAGAATATCCTCGGCCTGATTCCGTGATCTATAGCCTCTAGAATCAAAAGAAAATGGCATTTCGGATAAATCGCTTGAAATCTGTGATGGTACCCCTTTGGAATCTGCCAAAAATTGCCCCGGAATAAATCTGCCCAAATCGGTGCTTAATGGACTCAATCATCGTTGGAGAATAGCCTCAAGCCGAATCCGTGATTTGTAGCCTTCAATATCCAAAGAAAATGGCCTTTCGTCGCCCAAGAAATTACGAAAATGCCATCCGAAAATAAATTTGCCCAAATCGATGATTAACGGACTTATCATCCGTTGAGAATAGGATCAATAGACTTCATTATCGGTGGAGAATAGCCTCGGCCTGATTCCGTGATCTGTAGCCTCTATAATCGAAAGAAAATGTCATTTAGGATAAATCGCCCGAAATCTGTGATGGTACCCCCTTTGGAATCTGCCAAAAATTGACCAGGAATAAATCTGCCCAAATCGGTGCTTAATGGACTCAATCATCGTTGGAGAATAGCGTCAGGCCGAATCTGTGATCTGTAGCCTTCAATATCCAAAGAAAATGGCCTTTCGTCGCCTAAGAAATTACGAAAATGCCGTCCGAAAATAAATTGGCCAAAATCGATGTTTAACGGACTTATCATCCGTGGAGAATAATTGGTGGAGAATAACCTCCGCCTGATTCCGTGATCTGTAGCTTCCAGAATTGAAAGAAAATGGAATTTCGGATAAATCGCCCGAAATCTGTGATGGTACCCCTTTGGAATGTGCAAAAAATTGACCCGGAATAAATCCACCCAAATCGGTGCTTAATGGACTCAATCATCGTTGGAGAATAGCCTCAGGCCGAATCCGTGATCTGTAGCCTTCAATATCCAAAGTAAATGGCCTTTCGTCGCACAAGAAATTACGAAAATGCCATCTGAATATTAATTTTGCCCAAATCCATGCTTAACGAACTTATCATCCGTGGAGAATAAGATCAATAGACTTCATTATCGGTGGAGAATTGCCTCGGCCTGATTCCGTGATCTGTAACTTCCAGAATAGAAAGAAAATGGCATTTCGGATATATCGCCCGAAATCTGTGATGGTACCCCTTTGAAATCTGCCAAAAATTGACCCGGAATAAATCCGCCCAAATCGATACTTAATGGACTCAATCATCATTGGAGAATAGCCCCAGGCCGAATCTGTGATCTGTAGCCTTCAATATCCAAAGAAAATGGCCTTTCGTCGCCCAAGAAATTACGAAAATGCCATCCGAAAATAAATTGGCCCAAATCGATTCTTAACGGACTTATCATCCGTGGAGAATAGGATCAATAGACGTCATTATCATTCAAGAATAGTCTCGGCCTGATTCCGTGATCTGTAGCCTCCAACATCGAAAGAAAATGGCATTTCGGATAAATCACCCGAAATCTGTGATGGTACCCCTTTGGAATCTGCCAAAAATTGACCCTTAATAAATCCGCCCAAATCGGTGCTTAATGGACTCAATCATCGTTGGAAAATAGACTCAGGCCAAATCCGTGATCTGTAGCCTTCAATATCCAAAGAAAATGGCCTTTCGTCGCCCAAGAAATTACGAAAATGCCATCCGAAAGTAAATTGGCTCAAATCGATGCTCAACGGACTTATCATCCGTGGAGAATAGGATCAGTAGACTTCATTATCATTGGAGAATAGCCTCGGCCTGATTCCGTGATCTGTAGCCTCCTGAATAGAAAGAAAATGGCATTTCTGATAAATCGCCCGAAATCTGTGATGGTACCCCTTTGGAATCTGGAAAAAATTGACCCGGAATATATCCGCCCAAATCCTGCTTAATGGACTCAATCATCGTTGGAGAATAGCCTCAGGCCGAATCTGTGATCTGTAGCCTTCAATATCCAAAGAAAATGGCCTTTCGTCGCCCAAAAAATTACGAAAATACCATCCGAAAATAAATTGGCCCAAATCGATGCTTAACGGACTTATCATCCGTGGAGAATAGGATCAGTAGACTTCATTATCGGTGGATAATAGCCTCGGCTGATTCCGAGATCTGTAGCCTCCAGAATCTAATGAAAATGGTATTTCGGATAAATCGCCCAAAATCTGTGATGGTACCCCTTTGGAATCTGCCAAAAATTTACCCGGAATAATTCCGCCCAAATCGGTGCTAAATGGACCCAATCATCGTTGGAGAATAGCCTCAGGCAGAATCCGTGATCTGTAGCCTTCAATATCCAAAGAAAATAGCCTTTCGTCGCCCAAGAAATTACGAAAATACCATCCGAAAATAAATTGGCCCAAATCGATGCTTAACGGAACTTTCATCTGTGGAGAATAGGATCAATAGACTTCATTATCGGTGGAGAATAGCCTCGGCCTGATTCCGTGATCTGTAGCCTCCAGAATCGAAAGAAAATGGCATTTCGGATAGATCACCCGAAATCTGTGATGGTACCCCTTTGGAATCTGGCAAAAATTGGCCCGGAATAAATCCGCCGAAATCGGTGCTTAATGCACTCAATCATCGTTGGAGAATAGCCTCAGGCCGAATCCGTGATCTGTAGCCTTCAATATCCTAAGAAAATGGCCTTTCGTCGCCCAAGAAATTAAGAAAATGCCATCCGAAAATTAATTGGCTCAAATCCATGCTTAACGGACTTATCATCCGTGGAGAATAAGATCAATAGACTTCATTATCGTTGGAGAATTGCCTCGGCCTGATTTCATGATCTGTAGCTTCCAGAACCGAAAGAAAAAGTCATTTCGGATAAATCGCATGAAATCTGTGATGGTACCCCTTTGGAATCTGCCAAAAATTGACCCGGAATAAATCCGCCCAAATCGGTGCTTAATGCACTCAATCATCGTTGGAGAATAGCCTCAGGCCGAATCCGTGATCTGTAGCCTTCAATATCCAAAGAAAATGGCCTTTCGTTGCCCAAAAAATTATGAAAATGCCATCCGAAAATTCATTGGCTCAAATCCATGCTTAACGGACTTATCATCCGTGGAGAATAAGATCAATAGACTTCATTATCGGTGGTGAATTGCCTCGGCATGATTTCGTGATCTGTAGCTTCCAGAATCGAATGAAAATGGCATTTCGGATAAATCGCCCAAAATCTGTGATGGTACCCCTTTGGAATCTGCCAAAAATTGACCCGGAATAAATCTTCCCAAATCAGTGCTTAATGGACTCAATCATCGTTGGAGAATAGCCTCAGGCCGAATCCGTGATCTGTAGCCTTCAATTTCCAAAGAAAATGGCCTTTCGTCGCCCAAGAAATTACGAAAATGTCATCCGAAAATAAATTGGCCCAAATCGATGCTTAACGGACTTATCATCCGTGGAAAATAGGATCAATAGACGTCATTATCGTTGGAGAATAGTCTCGGCCTGATTCCGTGATCTGTAGCCTCCAGCATCGAAAGAAAATGGCATTTCGGATAAATCGCCCGAAATCTGTGATGGTACCCCTTTGGGATCTGCCAAAAATTGACCCGGAAATATCCGCCCAAATCGGTGCTTAATGGACTCAATCATCGTTGGAGAATAGCCTCAAGCCGAATCCGTGATCTGTAGCCTCCAGAATCAAAAGAAAATGGCATTTCGGATAAATCGCCCGAAATCTATGATGGTACCCCTTTGGAATTTGCCAAAAATTGACCCGAAATAAATCCGCCCAAATCGGTGCTTAATGACTCAATCATCGTTGGAGAATAGCCTCAGGGCGAATCCGTGATCTGTAGCCTTCAATATCCAAAGAAAATGGCCTTTCGTCGCACAAGAAATTACGAAAATGCCATCCGAAAATAAATTGGCCCAAATCGATGCTTAACGGACTTATCATCCGTAGAGAATAGGATCAATAGACTTCATTATCGGTGGAGAATAGCCTCGGCCTGATTGCGTGATCTCTAGCCTCCAGAATCTAAAGAAAATGGCATTTCGAATAAATCGCCTGAAATCTGTTATGGACTGATGGTACCCCTTTGGAATCTGCCAAAAATTGACCCGGAATAAATCCGCCCAAATCGGTGCTTAATGGACTCAATCATCGTTGGAGAATAGCCTCAGGCCGAATCCGTGATCTGTAGCCTTCAATATCCAACGAAAATGGTCTTTCGTCGCCCAAGAAATTACGAAAATGTCATCCAAAAATAAATTGGCCCAAATCGATGCTTAACTGACGTATCATCCGTGGAGAATAGGATCAATAGACTTCATTATCGGTGGAGAATAGCCTCTGCCTGATTCCGTGATCTGTAGCCTCCAGAATCGAAAGAAAATGGCATTTCAGATAAATCGCCCGAAATCTGTGATGGTATGGAGGCGCTTATTGAGAAAAAGGTCCAGGTGCTACCTCGGTGTCAAGTTTGTTGGGACGGCCCGGAGACAATGGAACACTTGCTCCTTTATTGTCCAGTGGCGCGGGCTCTCTGGGATTATTCTGGGCTGGAATACTTGGGAGAGGGTTTGCCTCGCCAGACTTTTTCTTTGTTTCTCAAACGTCTGTTGGGTTTGATCCATCAACTGTCACTGGTTATGGCTGTTATTGCCATCCTTTGGAGGATCTGGCGATCTCGGAATTGGGTGGCCTTTGAAGGCAAACAATTTGGGATTCCAACACTCATGCGACTGTTTAACCAACAGTATGAGGAATGGGTGGGTGCACCAGCGGACCATGCGCCTAGGGTACTAACCTCGATAATGCACTCTACAGCACAATTGGATGATTCCCATTTGGTTTGCATGTGGGACGGGGCTACTAAGGGTGGGTCTCATTCGGCTGGTGGGATGGTTATTTTTGACCCAGCGCGGACACTCTTTCTGGCTAGAGGGGTCCAGTTTGCTCAAATGGATTATCCGGCAGTGGTGGAATTGCTTGTGCTTAGGAAAGCTATTATTTGGTGTGTGGAGCAAGGTTTGTCGGAGGTCCGTTTTGAGGGTAATGCAAAAGTGATAATTGACAAAATTAATCAGGCCAACACAAGAGATAGCCGGTTGGGTGCTGTTCTGGAAGAGATTGATCATTATTTTCGTGCTCAGCCTGGCTTTAGTGTGCGTTTTGTAGGTCGGGAGAACAATAGAGTAGCTCATTTGGTAGATAGGAAAGCCCTCTCTTTGTATCCGACTATGAGTCGCTTCTTTGATTTCCAGACCTGACTGGTTTCCAGGGTGTAACTATCTTCTGTTTGGATCAATATATGATATCTTTTGACAAAAAAAAAGTTTCGCTTCAAATTTACTTATAATTACCATAATTAGTCAGCAGACAGCAGCACATGCAGTTAGTCACATTGATTGGGGGGGGAGCAAGTGGTTAATAATTACTTAATTAGTATTAATACTACATTTTTGTAACTCTTAATTAGTTACATTGCTGCATGCCTGTACCTTTTCCTGGAGCTGGTTTCTTTGAAGAGGACGTGGCCGGAGTCGTCACCACGGTCAGAGTCTTCGCTGCCGGTCCCGGGACTCCCGCTCCTTGTCCCAGGCGGCGATGACTCCGACGACTTCATCATCACCACCACTGTCCCAATATCCCCGTCATCACGATAACAAAAGCAAACAAAATTTACAGTCGAATTCATGGCTATCGATTTTCCATTCTAGTGTCAATACTAAAGATAATTAACAATTATAATTGTATACAGTTTGTCTAAGAAATTTGAATTTTCATTATCACACGGTAAAAATGTTAGTTAATTGTTTCAAGATTGTAACGATACCATAGTAGTTCATAACATGATTATGCATGTGAGAATCTGTAACCAGCACAATATGGGCTCAAGGAACCAACAACCCAGGCATAATGTCTGTCAGAATCTGTGACCAGCTCGTCTTACAATTTTGGCCCAGCCCAACCCCAACTTCTTGGCCCATTTATGTATAAATTATTAATTCTGGCTACCAGGCGGAAACGTGAAACGCAGCGAACCACCAGAAACAAACGGGCCCGGGGCCCACATAGGGAAGCCATTTTTGTTATCACGCGTCCAGTTCGAGCCACCCACGTGGAGCCTCGGTTAACCACAATCCTCCCTGGCAAATAATATCCGTTCTTCCTCCTCCGCTCTCCACGTCATCACTCCCGTTTCCCGCGTCCTCTTCCTTCCCGCCTTTCTTGTCCAGTTGTACACTTCCTCCGCCGTCCGATCCCGCTGTTCCCTTTCTCCCCTCCGTCGATTGCCTCTAGTGGACACGATAATTTCCCGAACTCCATTTTCAAATAAAACCATAACAAATTCGGTTTCCACCAAAAAAGAATCAGATTCTTACATTTCCTCTGCCCTCAGTTTTGTGCCGAACAAACGCCTGAAACAGAATCGCGACGGAATCTTCTGTGAATCCATCTGGGTTTGTAGCTGCTTGATCACGCTGGTAAGATTTTGATCTTTGTATAGCTACTGTTTTGCATTGTTAGTGATTGAGCATCCTATATATGGTGTTTATGCTAATCTTGATGAAATGATTTCCTGAATTTAACAATTTGGTGAAGTGGGCGAATTGGGTTGTCGGAGGAATTCGAAAAGATTGATTCTTTGGGCGGGATCATGGGCGTGGTCACTGTTTCTAGCTCAGCTTCCAGGAACCCATTAGGGTTAACCGCTAGGATTTCGAGCAACGGGTCGAATTCATGGCGGCCATTGATCGTGGCGTTCAAGTCGGACAAATCGGATAGCACGTCTCTAGTCTCACCTAACAACAGTACTCATCTGCAACTGTCGGTGAAATCTTCCGGTAAGGTTAAGAAGGGGCGACCGAAGAAAAGCGATAGGGTCTCATCTGTGCCTAAATTGGATGTGGACTACAACGAGGCCGCGGCGAAGTTGGAGAGCATATACAAGCTGAGTCCTCCATCAGATGGTGAAGATGACGATGTAGTTGTGACTAGAGATAGGCAGAGGAAGAGGAAGAGTCGTGATGGGGCGGCGAAACCTGGTAGAGTGGTTGTTAGGAACCGGGCGAAGAAGGCGAAAAGGTTGAGTCTTGATAAGAGGGTAGCACTTAAGAAGAATCATGTGAAGGTAGAAGAGTGTAGAGAAGAAGCAGAAGAAGAGGAGAGAGTGGTTGTTGGTTCATCAGCTAGTAAGAAGAGAGTTAGGAGGGATGAGGGTGAGAAGATTGACGAACTCGTGAGGCAGTACACCGGTTCGACTGATTTGGCTAGCTTGGACTGGAAGAAGATGAAGTTTCCCCCGGTTCTTCCTTCCTCGGAGCACAACTGGTTGTTCAAGTTGATGCAACCTATGAAGGTGGGTGGCTAAACAATTTTCGGCTAGAATGGCTCGTCCTCTAATAAATATAGTAAAGATGAGCTTTGAATTGATTGCATTTCGCTTTGTTTTGAAGGCTCTTATTCAGCTTAAAGATGATCTGCACAAGACTTTGGGGAGGGAGCCGATCGATGGAGAATTGGCACAGGCGACGAACTCGACTGTGGTTGATGTTAGAAGACAGTTGGAGGTTGGAAGAGCTGCTAGAAACAAGCTCATCAAGGTACTTACTTTTTAAGATTATAGAATGCCTTGATCGATATGTTGAGAAAATGTGCTAATGGTTATTTTGTATTTGTTGCAGCATAATCTCCGTTTGGTTTTGTTCGTGATCAACAAATACTTCTCGGATTTTGTGAATAGCCCGAGATTTCAAGACCTGTGTCAGGCTGGAGTGAAGGGACTAATCACTGCAATCGATCGGTTTGAACCCAAGAGGAAGTTCCGGCTATCTACCTACAGTCTGTTTTGGATTAGGCATGCCATAATTCGGTCCATGACTCTCTCCAGCTTTACTCGCGTCTCATTTGGCCTTGAATCGGTATGCTTTGTGTATTCATTTATGCTTGATCGCTTCCCTGGCTCCATAGACTGGACTTGAAAAATGGTAATCTGCAGATAAGAGTGGAGATTCAGAAGACTAGGCTCCACTTGCTGGTGGAGCTGCAACGAGAGCCAACTGAGGAAGAGATCATTGAACGGGTTGGGATCTCCCCCGAGAGATATCATGAAGTGATGAAAGCAGCCAAACCAATCTTGTCTCTTCACTCAAGGAATGCCACGACTCAGGAAGAGTTGATCAGTGGAATCACGGATGTGGATGGTGGTGAGAACCGAAGGCAGCCAGCTCTTCTTAGGCTTGCTCTTGACGACGTGGTATGTTGACTCTCTTCACATAGTTCGCTTTGATTAATCAAATGACTAAATAGAAGAGAATAACCTTCCATGGGTACTAAAGCTTAATTTATGTCTGGAATTCCTGTAAATGTGCAGCTGGACTCACTGAAGCCAAAAGAGAGCTTGGTTATCAGGCAAAGATATGGGCTCGATGGCAAAGGTGATAGAACACTAGGCGAGATCGCTTCTAACTTGAACATCTCGAGAGAAATGGTTCGTAAGCACGAAGTCAAGGCGCTCATGAAGCTCAAGCACCCTGCTAGAGTGGATTACCTTCGTCGATATGTTGTCTGAACATTCATCTTCTTTCAATGGTTCGTCTTTAACTACTCAAACCATTCCTCCATATCCTTTCCCCGTCCTTGTATATTGATGGTCTGAACCATAGCCTACGTTTACTATACAGCATACTAGTATAGATGAAAGTTACAGATACTCCACACGAATCCTCCTATATCAAGCTTTGTTTTTCGATCATGTAAACATATCTTACAGGATCCTCATGTGTCAATGGATCAGAGTATATACAAGTTTTGTTATGTTCTGCAATGTCTGCGCGATTAATTAATAAAACGATCATATTTGTGTTGACAGTATTACAGTGGCCGCATGTGAATTTGAATCATTAGCCATAAAATGCTCAACAGGGTTCTCAAAAAACCCAGTAAACATTGAGAGGGAAACCAAGAAGCTAAAACTAGGAAGCCATGGAACTACACTTTCCAATGAGCCTGCTGTTAAGCTTTCACTCTTTCATGGTTGTATTAAACGCTTCTCTCTCTGCAGAAGAACATCCACGGCTTTTCATGATCCAAAACCTCTCAATTTCCTCAGGCGTTCGCCCAGGAATTCGTCCAGCAATCAAATCCCACCTGCAAAATATAAACAGTAACATTTTGCATCAGTCTTCGCCAACATAATGATATGTTGCAGTGATTAGTTTTGGTGTTAAGTTACCTTTGACCCACGAGCCGGTACATTCTGGAGATGAGATCTTCTTCTTGTTCATTCATTGTCACCACCTCCCATTCACGGCTGCTAACTTCTGCAGACAGAAGGAAAGAATAAGGGCACCTGAGAAGGTAAAAATATTATTGTTCAGATAAGGAAGAAGAATGAAACCTTGAGAGGCAGAGCTAGTGCTACTGCCTTTGCCTGCTTTACACCGGCTCCCACGACCCATTGCCCGGTTTCTTTCCCCTGTGCTCTGTGCTTTCTTAGAGAAAAACCAGAATGAGAAGCTAGGTGGATTGAGTTTTCTGGGATATATGGTGTGTGTGAACCCCCCAACCAACCTGAAGAAATGGAATGGCTGCTTGCTTGGTCTGTTGACTTGTAGGCCTATTGTTGGACTTTCAGTTAGTTTGATGACAAAAACACAACAACATACAGACAAAAGGAACAGAAAAAAAAAAAATAAAGACAATATTCTCCCATAATTTTCAAAAGAATAAAAAGGGAAATGGCGGCCAGGGCCAATGGGAAGGTTAAATCATCCAACAAGTAGTATGTCTTCTGCTCTGGTTCAGCATGAGTTTGTATGAGAAATTGTGAAGATCTCCTAGTGAAACAAGTTATGAAAGTATGTAATTAATCATTGTGAATGAGCCCTACAAATTTTTGAACTCATGTATTAGAAATAAAACAAGGAATTCAGTTGTTGAGGCCACATGAACCCGCGACATAGAAGAGAAAAAGCAAAGGTGCAGCTTTGAATCTGTGTCCCCATCCAAACCAGTTAAAACTTTACACAGAGAATGAAGATTTGTCTTTACTGTTGTATTGCAAGTACTGAGCAAAGGTGCAATTAGCTGAGTAGCTACAACTAATGATAAAGCACACAACTACTATTGGCAGTACCAAAAGGCAAAAAGGAAGAGGAATGACATGAAACAAAAGACAAACATCTTTTGGGTTGATGCGATCAAGATCACTAAACACCCACAAACTTGTTAAGCCACAACCTATTCATAATCAAGTAAACACCATTTAAGACATAATAACATCTGTCGCACATGGCCACCACAGAAGTGGAATAGATCTGAGCCGAGTACCACAAGACTACAAATCTTTTGTTTGACAGGCACAAACACTTCCACTAATTCAAAACTTAATTTGAAAGCCATGTTTCGGCCGGGACATTTTCGGGAGCCAGAATCCAGTTAAACTAGAAGGTTAGGGGAGACAGCATCCATCTACCACAACCTATCTCAAGCTAGAAAATCCAATAAATTCATGTGAAGCTTTCTGATCCCTCACCTAACCCACAAAACTAAAACTTGGGTATTATTCTATTTCAGGTCCTTCGCCAACATATCCTATCCCAAACCACCAAAATCACAACTAATTCCTTTAATGCTACTTAGACTAGCATCCATTTTGTCTTTAACAAAGGCCATAAGGGGACCTCTCCTAATCCAAGATATATGGTTTCTTTTTATTTCTCCTTTATTAGCTTCTGTTAGTGATCCAAATTAAAACCATATTCTGTAATGATAAGTGTCTGAGCACTCTTCAGGAATTGAAGAAATTTTATCATGATGTCGTTAGTGCATAGTGAGAGCACCAACATAAACATGATAAGGACACGTGAAAGTTTCCATTCAAGCAAGCATTTTAATGAAACGAGTTGGAGACCACAGAGAAATGGGGGGAAACTTCATCTTAGACCTTAGGAATCTCGAAATGGTAGCAGAAAATAACCCTAGCATTTCAAAAGAAACCTGGGCATTCCAATATGCCTCAGATTGTTAGAGACTAACCAGGAAACATTCTGGTTCGCACGTGAAGCTTTTTCGTCTTGTCATCTACAACTTGAGATTTCGTCTTATCACCTTCTGGCTTCTCCTGCAAGCAAAGAGATATTGGGGGGAGAATAAAAAACTAGAACTGATAACATTGATAAGGGTCGATCAGGTTATGCTACTGTCAGCTGGTAGAGAAGGGGATTGATTGATTAACATGTCGCTTACAATTAAGGAACTGTGTGGTCCATCATACTTTCTTCTTTAAGATTCTGATTCTTCAAGAACCAGTAGAAGATCAGTTGTACCTGGTGGTTATTCTTGTGTCAGGAACATATTCCCATCTGGCTGGGAACAGAAATCCTGCATGTCTGGAACTTGCTCTACTAAAGAAGGCTAAACAGCTTGAGCAACAAACTACTTCAATCAAAATTACCATCAACCCAAATGCTCTTAAGGACAACTTGATTGCAAATTAGATGAAGCAATAGACAGCCATACAACGAAAAGAATGGCAAGAAAGGGCACTAATGACAATATGTGGCATTCAAGTCAGGTCAAGCATCATCACTGTGACATGCAAGGAGAATAAGAAACCAATTCTAGGGGATATAGCTTTAGAGACCGAATTTCAACATCACAAAAGACCAGGTGGTTCCTTTCTTTATTGCAGAAAATATCCTTCACTAGTGGAAGTCTCCTGGAGCCTATTTGCACAAAAATTGGCAGCTCACAGGAAAAAAAACACTATCACTACTTTTTCACCATTACATTTCATGAAGAATGCTAATAGACAGAGATTGCCTCTGTTACATCTTTTGAAATAATTCTTGTTTCTCCTAATCTGAAGGTGTCAAGAACCAGTTAATCCCAATAACTCGAGTTGTTGGGAGAGGTTCAATCGTGGATCATATACCACAACACTAACACGCCCCCTCAAACGAAAGCCACTCACAAGGGCTGGAAGTTTGCACATGTCTGAAGACAAGAATACCATGTGCTTAACAAATGAGGGTCATTGGGAATCGAACACAAGACCTCTCGGTCACAGAAGGCTCTGATACCATGTCAAGAACCCGTTAATCCCAATAACTCGAGTTATTGGGATCAACTGGTTCTTGACAGAAGGGACACCACTAAAACCATCATTGACTGGAAAAGTGCAAAAGGAAAATGGTCTGCATGATTATATGCTTCAGCACTGATGGCAAGATCAATAATGAGGTTACAGACAGATAAAACACAAACAAAAGGTGGGGAAATTTTTGGAAAGTATTCGTTCGCATGAACCAACCTGCACCGAAATCTTACATAAAACAGTCATACTAACTCAAGCATTATGCACAAGTAGAAGCCAACATGAGTATCATTCTAACGGCAATAAGGACTTGATTAAAGATGCTACCATTGCTGTATTCAGCAATAAGGACTTGTAGTTGCAGTGCATCATTAAGGGTGCCAAAGGAGCCTCAACAAGATCGATCCACTAAGGCAGGCACACAAATCAGTCTGCCTCATAGTGATGTCTGTACCAATCAATAGCAACCACAAATTTGTTTCAGACACTAAGGCTTGCAAACAATAAACAATTCAATGGGACAAAAGCTCATGGTCATAACCCTTTTGCACAAACTGCATAGTGCAGGTGATGTGGTTTCTTCCACTTAGAGTAGAAACCACAAACCAGAACAACAAACTATTGCTTATGTGTCATTCCTCAAAAATCTTACTGTCACCAACCTAATTCCATAGAAACTTTGCATGTTAGACAAAATAAGGGCATCATTGGAGCAACTGAGCAAGCAATTTACATCCGCAAACTGATAAAGCAGCCAAAAGTTGTGAGGATGCAGATATCAATACCATTCCTTTTTGTCGTTCACCTATATCCCCCACTATATATATAGCTCTTGTAGGTACTAAACAATCCACATGAAAGACATAATCATTGTTGGATTGGACAACTTCTCCATCTTGGATTACATCTTCCTAAGGCCAAAGGAATCAAATAAACATGGGAGACAGACTGCGGCTGGCAATTGGAGTCATGGGTATTTTTAGTTTTCCTTAGCTAAATAGTGTTGTACATAGCAGTACACTGCAATTAGTTGACTTTAATATCATCAAATCTGCATGGTGTCCATTGCAGGCAATGTTACCTCCCTACTGCTTTATTCTGCACCCATGTAATGCCACAACTAACCATTCTAATAGATCTCACATGATGTATTGGACATTATACTACTGTAACTGAATATGCAAATTTTTCGTGTTTCCAGATTCACTTTTGCAAGAGTCATTAAAAGGAAAAGTACAGAGGAGTACTCGTGTGTCCCATATATCATTGCGCTCTTGAACTGCCTTCTTTACACTTGGTATGGACTTCCCATTGTGAGCTACAGATGGGAAAACTTCCCAGTAGCCACCATCAACGGTTTGGGGATACTTCTCGAGTTTTCTTTCGTTCTAGTATATCTTTGGTTTGCTTCAACCAGGGAGAAGGCAAGCTACTTATATTTCTCGTACAATTTTTATTAACAGTTTACTATGTTCTTAATGTATGGAAGCAGAAAAGTATTACCTATACCAAAGTAGCTGACATTCAATGCATTTTAGAGTAGCCTTATAGTATAAGTCCATATATGAGTATCTAAACAGCAATAAATATCAACTAACAATTGAAATGGATGTACAGATTAAGGTTGCAGTTATATTGATACCTGTCATCCTAGCATTCAGCATCATATCAGCAACCTCTGCTTTTATGATTCATAATCATCACCAGCGCAAGGCATTTGTTGGAAGTGTTGGAGTTGTGGCCTCCGCAGCGATGTATGGTTCCCCGCTTGTGGCTGTGGTTAGTCATATGTATACTTCATATTCACATAATGCACTCAAAGCTCTAGAGATTCTCGTTGATTCATTTTTCACTGTTGCTGCTTTAAAACATGAAATCTAATGAATGCAGAAGCAAGTGATGCAGACAAAAAGTGTGGAATTCATGCCATTCCACTTATCATTTTTCTCATTCCTAGCAAGTTCTCTATGGCTTGTCTATGGATTATTGGGCCATGATCTCTTTATCGCAGTAAGTATACTCGTTCAACCAAAAAAATTCTAGAAAAAGGTTCTAGTTTGAACCATTTTCATGCCTTTGGCATTCCTTGTTTAACCAACACTTCTGTATTTGCAGTCCCCAAATTTTGTTGGCAGCCCATTAGGGATCCTCCAACTTGTGCTGTACTGCATGTACAGAAAAAGAGGAATCGCAGAAGTGCCTAACAAATTGGATGTAGTACAGAATGACCACAAATCCACACAGTTGGAGATCATGGTTACTGAAGATACTAAAGAGAAGACCTGAAAATTGTACACTTTTGTGACCCTTTTTTCAGTAAGTATCTTAGACAGTCTCTGAAACGGTTACATGATCGGAGAGTTCGACCACTAGATGGTTGTTTCTCAATTTATCACTCCTAAGTTACTGTTCTTGACTGAAACTAATCTCTTGCAGTCTTGCTTGTATTTATAGGGGAAACCTCATGCTGCCGCAAACATATGAGCTTATCAGCACCGCATGGGCCATCATAATCCAGTTCCCTTTGTATAATTATGAATGTACCAATATGTTATTCCTCTTCTTTATTACAATCTGCCTTCAGCTTACAACCACCCACTAGCTTAGCACAGCAGTGACAGAAACAAGTCTCGTCTTCAAAAGTTGGGATGCATCATAAAATTTGGAGACTAAACCAATCAATTGTCACGTGAAAGTTCTAATCTAGAAGGAGAAAGCAAGGACTTCGAATTTTTTCAGGACTATAACTTCTTTACTAATTGCATCCTAGATAATCCAATGCATATTAAAAATAACACTAAAATAGAAAAAGAGCTTACCTCTTATGAAGGAAATGATGATTACTGCTTCAGCAGAAGTTAAATCCGTGAGAAATGCTGTCATTATTCTTACTGCAATCACGCAATCGGAATGAAGGAAATAACTGGATCCACCATGGCATAAAAGAAAAGGTTAGAGCGCGTATATATTCCGCGATCATTAAGCCACGGTGCAGTCGACCATCAACCACAGTCAAACCTCACATGAAGCACAAGCACAAAAGATGAAGATAACACCGAGTAAAATGAAAACTATCAATGAATAAGACGTACTGATGAAGAGACAATGCAGTCTTTGACTATTTGAAAGGTAGAGAAAATGAATGTTAACTAGACAATGTATGAGATGTCAATGAGAAACTTAGAAACATTCTCCTGAAAGTTGATTGTCAAATTTAAACTTCACCTACCACGAGATAAACAGTTAATACACATGCAAGCTTCTCCCAAGCTATCTAAAACAATCAAATCAGAGTTGCAAGTGAGTACAGAGACCATAAACAAGTTCACTAACAAAGGTGGAGAGGGGATAAAACTTGTACATGTTGGACCAATAAACCAAAAACAGTTAACCATTAGCATGACATGAACCTTTCATTATGCTGTCAACATTTTAATATAAAGTATTTTCTAAGCTAGGTGCTGAATTAGCTTTTAGATTATACAAAGTTGCATAAACAACACTAGAATCTAGGTGGCTTCTAGTTTGCACGGAGAATACATGAAGACCATTGTTCAGCTCGATACAACTACATCCAGGGTGTTTTTTCACTTCTAAGCTCGTCAATCTATTTCTCATAGTCATTTTCCTGCCCCATTTCCCCAAATCTGCATAGATGTTAGACAAAATGACATAAGCTGATGTTGGTTTAGAAAACATAATCAACATTTCCCCAAATCTGCATAGATGTTAGACAAAATGACATAAGCTGATGTTTTTTCCAGAACCAGCCAGCACTAAGCAAAGTCATCCAAACAACAATATCTGCTTCAATTGGCATTGCTTTCACAAACTCCTCAGCTTCTAATACTTGGCCAAACCGACCGTTTGGGACTATTTTTTGCCCAATCTTACGATTGAAGAGTAGAATTTCCTCAGAGCCAAGTCCATTATGTGCATACTCATTCATAAGTGTTGTCCATGCTGCAACATTAGGTGATGAGATGGTTGAAAATAGCATCCAAGCATCATAAATACTCCCACATTTTGAGTACATATCAACAAGAGGTCCCTACATAAACATTGGATTCATAAGGCGTTTTGGTTACATGTGAATGAAGCATTTTACCCAGCTGAAGCGAGCCCAGGCCAGAACATGCTCGCAATATCACAGAGAAAGATGATTGAGTACAGCTTATCGACGACTGGCACATGGTGAGGTACAGTTTCAGAGCATCTTATACAGTTCATTCTTAATGAAAGAAGACACCATCGAATTCCACATCACAGGGTTTCGCTCTCCTTTCACTTCTTCAAAAAGCATACAAGCTTTTTGAATTTCCCCGTTCCTGGCATACACTGAAATCATAGTATTGGAACAAATGATACTTTTCAGGTAGGTTTTCAAACATAGGCTTTGAATCCTCAACTCTAGATTCATTGCATAACCTTTGATCATCACATTGTATGAAACTGTATTTTTTTTATTCAAACCGTTAAAAACCACCTCTGCCTCGTCAATCCTATACAAAAAACCTTGAATAAGCTAGTTGGATGCATCTAAACTTGGGTTAGCAATTCCATTCTAAACATTCCTGGCATAATCGATATGTTCACAATCACAATAAAGTCCAACCAAAGCACCTTCAATGGATTGATCAGATACCAAGCCACTCTTTATCGCAATCCCATGAACAGCCATCCCTGTATTCAAAGCACCAAGCTTCCCATAAACTCTTATAACACCATCCAAAGTGAACTCATCTGGCACCACTTCCCTACTTCTTCTCATCCACTGAAACAAGTGCAGAGCTTTTTCGCCATCACCATCGCTCTTGCCATACCCTGAAATCAACATATTCCAAGAAACCACATCCTTTCTAGGAATATTAACAAGTGCAGAGCCTCACTCATCAATGCACACTGCACGTAACCCACCAGCATCGAACTCCACAGAGTCTCATTCCCACCAACAAACTCATCAAACACTAACTTTGCTTCCCCAATCTCCTTGCAACTCGCTTAAAATTGCAACAACTAGCTGCCAACAAGCTCTAAACTCTCCCAACTAGGTTTCACAACAAGACAATGAATCTGCTTCCCACCAGAAACCGACTCCCGGCGACTAGCATATACAGTGGACTCACTCAACCTGAGACCTGAAACATGCATCAAAGAGAGCAGAGGAAGAGACTCGTCCAACTTCCCCCACTAGGAGTAGCCTGAAATCATGATGTTCCACGACACAACAATTCGTTCTGGCATTCTGTCGAACAGCTTTCGTGCACTGTCCAGCTTGCCCCTTCTTGCGTGCAACGCCATAGCTCTGTTACTTCTATAGATGCCGTCGTCTCCGTAAGTTGCAGTCAGGAAGTGCTTCCAATGCTTGATTGACCCTAAATAACCTCAATCTTCTCCCGGCCAAAGACACTGTTCGTCTCGGCATTCTCAGAGAAAAAGAAAGAGCGGGAAAATTACAGCCTAAGCTTGTGTGCACTTAACTGACTTAAGTAATCAAACTAAATTTTAAAGCCCACGTGGCGGCTCCTCTGCGATCCCTTTAAACGACAAATCGTTCGACGACACGTGTCCCAAACTATGTCTCTGCGTAATTAGTCACAATCTCCATTTCTTCACCAGCTCCATGAAATCCAAGAAAATCAGCCAAATCGCGACCAAATTAGACATCCGATTGATCATTCGCCGGCGGGGAGCAGAAAAAGAAGTTAGCGTATGATAGAATTGATAATCGACAAAGAGGCTCTTGTTTTCATATTTGTTTTGGTCCTGTGTTAAAAACTAGTACTGATAACAGTGGTAAGGATCGATCAGGTTATGCTACTGGTAGTTTAGAAAAGAGACCGATTGATTAACATGTAACTCTTATTTCGGCCGAAATACCTCATCGAAATATTGCATTCAAACGCCTCATAGAGCTAAGGAACTGTGGGGTCCATCGTGCTTTCTTCTTCAAGCTTCTGATTCTTCAAGCTCTACTAGGAGATCGGCTGCACCTGGTGGTTAATCTTGTGTCAGGAGCCAGGAGCATATTCTCATCTGGCTCGGAACAGAACTCCTGCATATATGTCTGGAACTTGCTCTATTGAAGACGGCTAAACAGATTGAGCAAGACACTAATTTCGAACCAAATGCTCTTTAGGACAACTTGATTGCAATATTAGAGGACAACCTGCGACATAACGAAAGACAATAACGTCTTATCTTGGAAGTCACTCACCGAGTTAAGTATCGAAAATACACAACGAATAACGAGAACATCCTGAATGTCGTCCTTGTACAGTTAGGTGGAGCTAGACCATTAGTATCAAAGAGCCCAATCAACTTCATCTACAAACTCGGTTTTTTTTTTAATAGCTTAAAAACTTTATGAGCTATTAAACTATGATCCTATCTCTATGAGCTTGTAAGCTATTTTCCGGTTTCTTAAGAGTTAAGTTATAATCATTTAAATTGAAATATGAAAGTGTTGTAAATTGGTATTCCAGTCAATCATTCAACATATTTTTGCTTCCAACGTCTAATCACACACTTAGACAACACATAAACACACTTATATATAAACGAGTTAGACGCTAGGCAAGGCCCAAACACCATCGTCGTAGTCCGTGTTCAACCTGGATATTTAGTAATTGATTAAGGATGCCACCATTGTCGCAATCAGCAATGAGGACTTGCAGATTGTAGTTGCAGTCTACCAGCAATAAGGCAACCGAAAAAACATAATAAGCAATTGAAACCGAGGAACAACTCTACACTGTAAATTGCAAGTTGGGCCAGTTCTCAATTCACAGAAGTAAAGAACACAACAAAAAGAGGAAGAAATTTTCCAAAAAGAACTTCCCCCTGGATAGATGGATTTCATCCAACAATGAAAAACCCTCAACCGTGAGTATGAACAGCTTCCCACACCAAGTTCTTGGGCACAGGATTAGCCAAGTCCCTGGCCTGCACCGCCACCGCCCTCAGCGTCTTGATCGTCCACACGTTCGCCTCCAGGAACGAGTAGCTCCGGTACGGCAGGTTATGCTTCTTGCACAGATCCTGAACCACCGGCGACACCTTCCTCAGCTGGCACCTCGGCAGCCTGGGGAACAGATGGTGCTCCAGCTGGAACTGCAGCCCGCCGTGGAACCAATCCATCCACGACGGGCACGAGATGTCCACCGTGCCCCTCGTCTGCTTCTCGAACCAGTCGTTGGCCCTCGGCGGACCCAAGTACACATTCGCCGGGAAATGGTTGAGGCAGAATTGAACGTGCTGGATCGACGTCACGGCGAAGGAAGTCAGCACGAAAGCGAACCTCTCCGGCCAATTCGGCAGGCAGGCGACCAAAAGAGGGAACCAGGTCCAGAAAACCAAAATCCCAGCTATGTTCAACGCTCTGTCTGGTACAATTCGTTTGGGGGAAAAGAGGAGGAGGAACGTCTGGAGGTAGAGATTCACCCTGGCGACGCACATCACCGGGTAGAACGTCCAGTGCTGGTAGCTGACGAGGAACCTCGCCACCGGATCGAAATCCAGGTTCCGGCCGTAGAAGACGGATCGGATCGATTTGAAGAGCCGGGTCGAGACGGCGAACACCGGGATGTGCTGCAGATCCGGATCGTAATCGAGGCTGTTCACGGCGAGGTGGTGGGCGTTGTGCGTCCACTTCCACCACGCGATGCTGATCCCGGTGAGACAGTTCCCGGCGAGCATCTGGGCGAGCTTGTTGTACCCTCGCGTCGTCATTACCTGCGATGTAGTCAAAATCGTTTTATTTAAAACGATCCAATTCGAATTGTTTGCCCCTATCCATTCCAGGTAATTGTAATTGTTCAAAAGTCAATTTGAAATTCTCCATTCATCTAAATTTTGTGTTGTCAAACGAACCAATTGTCTCAAAACGAAACAATTAAATCAAATTGATCCGTTAGAACTTCTCATCCAAACGATTTCTAGGCCACCAATACTCTTCTATGTTCAAAATCCAAACTCTAAAGCTTACATTCTTATGCTTCTAGATCACAAAAAGAGGCTCGAATCGCGATTTTGATCACATTGATTATTACCTGGTAATGACCCGAGTCGTGACCGACGTACGCGCTCTGGATCCACAGGAACCCTAGCAGCACCGCGGCTCCGAGGTGGGCCCAAAGGGAATCGCAGCAAACGACGCCGTATACAACCAACGCGAACAGCACCGCTACGGCGACCAGGGCCGAAACGGCGACGTGGCCCTTCTTGTCGAACAGGCCCAGCTTGGAGAACTCGGCGGCGAGGCGGCGGTAGTCCTTGGAGACGTCGGAGACGGCGTAGTCCTCGAGGTGGTAGCCGGTGAAGAGGCCGTCGAGATTCTTCCACGCGGTACCCGGGTGGTAGGCGATGAACGCGTCGGTGACGTCCTGGCCGGCGACATTGGCGATGGCGACCTCGCCGCCGGGGTGCCGCTTCACCCACTCGGAGACGTCGTAGACCTTCCCCTGGATCGAGATCCAGAGGTCCCCCGGCTTGTTGTGTTGTTTCAGATCCTCGCTGGTAATGTATTTCTTTTCCTCCGCCATTGTCGATCAGAGGAAAGGGAGGCAGTAATGGAGAAGGGGAAGAAGAGAAGAGGGGAGATTTTATTATAAATATATAAAAAAAGAAATAAAAAGTAGACGGAGGAGAGAAAGAAACCCAAAAAGAATCAATCTCCGAGATCAAAATATCTGCAGAGAGAAGAACACCCGGAAAAAGGCTGGATTTTTTTTTTTTTTTTATTTCTCCTAGTGGATGGCCAGGTGGGCACCGGGTCACCCACGAGTCACGACTCGGCCTCTTTGTAATTTAATTATGTCCCTACTAATTATTTTTTTTTATAATTATCCTCCTCTCTCCCCCCTTCTTTTTTTCTTTAATCTTTTTTTTTTTGTTTTTTTCTTAATTGGGGTTACGTTGATGAAGAGTTGGGATCTTCTCCGGGAGATGTTTTATATGCAAAAACGGGATTATGTGTGCTAATTCGAGATTAGTAAAAAAAAGGAAACAAATGGAGGATTGAGGTTGAGGATGAGCGGTGGTGGTGGCCGGTGGGGCTCTATTTCCTGCTGGCTTTTGTCGGTATTCATTAAATTGACAGCAATTGTTCGTTTTTTTTTTTTTCTTCTGTTACCAAAGTAAATAGAAAAGAAGACTTTCCGTTTGGCCTTTGTCCGACGGAGGAGGGTGAAATGGGGAAACTGCAGTTTGAGTTCGTCTCTTTGGCGTTAAGGTAGCTCCACGTCTCCACCAGAACATAGCGCGTTCCCTTCAGTTGATGCAGTCATGCCAATCCAAGCCCACTTGTTCGTTTTTTGTTTTCCGTCGTTACTAAGCAAGTCCTCTATGGCTGGCCAATGATACTATTCGTTGCTCCATCGTACGATTGGAGAGGAGAATTGCCACGGAGCCAAGTTCGTGATGTGCATAGCCATTTGATCAGTGATGTCAATGTTGTCATGCAGCGGCGGATTCGAGACATAGTAGAGCAGTGGGCCGCATTTGAATAGAAAATTCGATATCGTAAACAAATGATGACTATAATTTTCATTACAATGTCAATTGTACATGACGGTCTTTATCTATACCAATAACACACTCTATCTCAAACAAAACAGTTAAGCAATCAGCGAGAAATTCATCGCTCATTTTGTTGCATAAATAAGTTTTCACGTGTTTCATTGCGGAAAATGTTATCCCGTTAGTAGCCGTTGAGACGAGCTAGGTCAACATTAGACGAATCAACCGCCAAATCAATTTGTATTGTGTATCCATCTCTGTTTCCACCAGCTTCTCTAGTAATTTTTTCAAGGCAAGAAAACTTCATGTTCATGACTATGAACCACATGAGCAGCAATACTATCGTGGATCATTCTTCAAAGAATGCATCTAATAGTTTTCAAAATCTCGAGGATAAACTCTTGAGCAATTTTATAAATATTTCTTCGTAAAAAAACTGAAAGAACTTTTAGGATCTAGTTTTGCACCACTCAACTCAAGCAATTTAAATGATGACTCATCAAGTTTGTAAACATTTTCTTCATCAAAAGAACGGAAAGAAATCAGCCAGGAGTAGTAGTTTTGAATATGAAATGGGATCACATTTATGTTTAGTTTGGATCTTATACCATGTGCTTTAATCAACTGTTAATATTGGGGGGCAATGAATATTCGAACACGCGATCACTTGATCAAACCGACTCTGATACCATGTCATAAACCAGTTTGTCCAATGGTTGTCAACCATATTATAATTGTTGGTATACATGCACTAACTAACTAACAAATGAAAGGAGTCGAAAGATCATCACGATCAATATTAATACTAGTAATAGGCGCAATAACCCAAGACGCTGCTTCCTTTTCTTCTTCTTGCTCAGACTTAGGGGTGGGCAAATGGTTCGGTAAACCCGAACCAAACCGAACCGAAACCGAATTAATGCTATTCGGTTCGGAATTCGGAAGGAAAATATGGAGAGTTCGGAAATCAGGGCTCTTTCAACAGAACCGAATTTCCGACCGAAAAACCGAAATACTATAATTGCAAGTTCCAAATGATGGATTTTTATGTTTGTAGTTGTTTTTAGACTTAAATATTTGAAATGTTTTAAGACTTATGTGTTGAAAATTTTGGTTTTATCATTGATGATGCATATAATTGATATTTATTGTTTATATTAGGGGTGAAAAATAATTTAAAAGTGAGAAAATACAAGTACCTTCACAAATTCGGTTTTGTGTGAAAAACCGAACCGAATTATAATTCGGTTTAAACTGACTGAACCGAATTATAATTCGGTTCGAATTCGATTTGAGGTTTGGGAGAATTCGGGGACCCGGTATTCATAATTTCAGTTCGGTCGAAACCGAACCGACTGAATGCCCACCCCTACTCGGATTTGTGGCGTCAGGAGAAGATGCGAGATAGTAGTAGTGGCGCAAGACGGCAAGAAGATGGCTGCATGCAAGCACGCGGTCTCGAGCATCGACTTGAACAGCGGGCCGACGGGTTCCGTGGGTCGATGAGAGCGGGTGAGTGCGACGGTCAGCATGGTGGCGTGGGATGGGGAGGAGGAAAAAAAAGTGGTAGGTTCTAAATTTTAAACCCTTGATCAGATGGTTAATTATATAAAAGAAAATGTTATCCATTACGCCAAAAATAACTTCGAGCGGGTTGACCCAAAGCGGACAATATCGTAATCACTCAGTATCGACGAAGCCCGAAATTGTGATGTTCCACGACACGACAGTTCGTTCTGGCATTCTGTCGAACAGCTTTCGTGCAGAGTCCAATTCGCTCGGGTTAATTCCCAGAATACGGCATTAATTAAACATAATTCCCATATAATACATAGGATTTATAAAATTTTCCCAAACTACCCAAGTTTCAAAGAGTTCGAGACCCATAAACTCGAACAACAAGCCAGTTCGACGATGAAGAACTCGAACTAACACCACATCGAGTTCTTAAAACTCGATCAACTGTAGACTGATTTTGGAAGAATCGATCAAGGTAGATCGACGACAAAGGACTCGGTCAAAGTAGAACAACTTTGGACAACTCGATCCCACTTAGATCGATGCCAAACAACTCGATCAAGTTAAACGACTTTAGAAGCCTCGATCCATATCTGCACTAGATCGATGCCTTACAACTCGAACAACCTGAATCGATTCCTATGGCCTCGAACCACTGGTCGATTATCTCTACAAAGTCACTTTCCGCCGACATGCTTCACGATAGGGTTACAGGGATAAGATTCTTTGCTGTACTAGATCGAGTTCTAAGGACTCGAACTAGTCTAGTTCGATTACCCTGAACTCGAACCACTGCTCAATCATTCTGTCCAATCGCTTTCGGCCCGACATGCTCCAGAATAGGGTGTAGGGGTAAAATTATTTATTGTCCTGGATCGAGTTCTCTGAACACGAACCACTGTAGTTCGAGTTTTTTGACCTCGAACCACTGCATCAATTTACAAAGATAAAAAAGTAACCACTTAACACATTCTGATTTCTGGCAGCTCTTATACAGCGTCAGGTTTGTTTCGTTGCCCAGCTTAATCTAAAAGATTGTGAATTGAAGTTAGTAATACCTAAATATATATTTCTTGAATTGAATTCGAAGTACACGTGACAACACCCCAGCGATCCCCTGCACACCACCATGCACGACGACACGTGCCCCCCACAACTCTGTCTCTGTAATTAGTCAGTCCCCAATTTCTCCATCAGCTCGATCAAATCCAAGAAATCAGCGAAATCGACCAAATTGAACCTCCGATTGATCATTCGCCGGCGTTGGGGAGGAAAAAAAACAAGTTAAAACCGTCTGATCGAATTGATTGATGGGGAAGCTGGCATCGGCGAGGGAGTACAGGATGTACGGTCCGACGAGGCAGAGCCGGAACAGGGCAGAGTACATCAACGCGGGGCTCTACCTCTTCGCCACCGTCGTGTTGATCTCCGGTTTCGCCGCCCAGTTCTCCGGCGAGCCGAGGTCCGGCCTCGTCCTCCTGCTCATCGCCCTGCTGATCATGGTCGCCGTCAACGTCCACGACATGGTCGCCCACCTCTCCGGGATCGACTTCCGGCTGCCGAATCTGATGGAGCTCGACCCGCAGCTGGCGCTCGTCGAGTTCGCCGTCCCGCTGGTGCTCGCCGCCGGCGCCTTGCTCTGGTTCCTCGCCGTCCTCTTCCTCTTCCTCCAGGCACGTTACTCACCCACTAGTGCACTTTATTTCATTCTATCAATTCTGTTCCGAGGGATCAAAGATGAATTTCTTGATCCATAAGAAATTGCTTGAATATCTTGTCGAATCGCAAAGAATTTACCCGGGGAAAAAAAGAAGTTTATACACACCAACATTTCTGCAAAATTACATGGAAATGGTTATTTGTTTGAAAGCAGTTACAATGGCGTAAGAATGTTGTTGCTTCACATCACATAATTTGATGAAGTATTATGATCATGTCATGGGTTCGTCTAGGCGCTAGGCAACAACAAAATGCTTCGCCTAGCGACTGCGCAGGGAGTTAGAAATCCAGAATACGATTATGAAGTACCGGTGTCGTCGAGATATTAACATTGGGAAATTAACATCATCTACCAACACACTATCTTCTCTCAATTTTTTCCAAGTAGTTCGAGTACTTTGCGAGCTATTTAGCTACGATAAGAAGTTGTGAGTTATGTTTCTTATAGTTAAGGGTTAAAGAATTCATCATTTGAACTAATGTCGAAGTGATGTAAAATAACTACTTCATTCATCATCGTTTAGTACTAACTGTCATTTTTGCTTCTAGGGGGGACGTCTAGGCTAGTTATGCGCTAGTCAAGACTACAACGTTGGCCTTACTTCTAGCGCCTTCTTTTGTAGATTGAGATGTTTAATGTTTTTTTTTCTTCCAAATTTGTTGTTTACTTGGTACTTTTTTTCGTGATTTTCTAAATGGTTGGCACACGAAGCAGGAAGAGAAAGGGTACAGGTACCTGGGATGGGAGCGACACTCCCTGAACATGGTGGTAGCAGGGACGGCAATGTGGGTGCTCGGCTCGATCCACAACGTGTGCCAAATCTACGAGCGAGCCGACGCCCACGTTCAGATCCTCCAGCAGACCGTGCAGCTCCCGTTCCTGATGGGGAGCTTGCTGTTCCTGGTGGGCGCCATCCTCAACAGCAGAGAGCAGGCCAAGAAGGAGCACCACGGTCTACATTTGCTGGTACTTGCTAGACAAGAAAAAGAGCAAAACCCTAACTACATTTGCTGGCCACTACAACCACACTGATAAATTTTCGAATTCGTGTTATTTTTTGGGGTTCGAAACAGGGGACGACTCTGGTTTGGATGTCGATCTACGGGAGCTTGATGTTCTTCGTGGGCGGGTTGGCCAACGTGGTGAAGGTGTTCAAGATGCAGCAGATGAACGGCCTCCGGCTCGAGAAGCTCCGCGGCGGGGCCCTGGAGCGACTGATGCAGGGGAGGGAAGGGCAGGTGCCTCTGATCATTGAAGAGCAGAGGCGGAGGAGCGTGAGGTTGCCTGCTGCTGCAGCTGGAGAACCGGTAGCAACATCGACGATGCCGGCGGTCACGACGAACATTCCGACGCCGTATAAAGATGTTCTTCTTGGACATGCTCAACCTTAGTTGTTTCTTTGGCTAGTGGACTTCTCCCATATATTCATTGGAAAACCCATGTCCAGGATTAGAGAAATAACGTAATCAATCTCTTTTTTTTTTTTTTTTTTGCTATGGTTTTGGTTTTTCTCTTTTGTATTTTTTTTTGCTTCGTTTTATCGGTGTTGTTCTACCATCGTTTCGACTATAGGACTCGTAATATTTGTGTGTTGTTCACGTGAAAAAGAACGAAACAAGGAGGAGAAGCATTCCTTGATTGGAATGAAATTAAAATTAGTGGTTATATAGTTCCATTGAAAACCCCATGTCGAGGATGAGAGAGATAATAGAATCATCTCTCTTTTTTTTTTTTTTGCTAGGGTTTTGGTTTTTCACTTTCGTATTATGTTGTTTTGCTTTCGTTCTATCATGTGTTGTTCTACATCATTTCGATTACGGGACTCATAATTTTTGTGTTTCTGCAAGTGGAAGAGAAGAAGAAAACAAGAGGGAGAGGTGTTTTGGTATGAAATTAGTGCATATATAGCAAAAAATTTGTACTGATCCTTTGTTGACCTGGTGGCGGGAAGGCGAGGTGCGGAGCTAGCTATCGTGCAGCTGTTCTCGCCGCCATGATTCGAGGATTGGTAGCAGTAGCAAAAAAATTGTTATTAGTACTATTTGACTATCATCTTTTCCTCTTGTTCAGATTTCATTTCCCAAAGGCCAAATCAAAACAAACCTATCGAAATTATTTACTAAACAAAAATTCATGTTTACCGTTATAGAAAATTATACAAAGACATAAGAATTGAAAATAGAATCTTACAAAATTTATAGTACCATACCTTAAATTCAGACTTTGAAAAAACACATCTTTGAATAAGCCCAAAATACACAGGCCTCTTACATATAAACAGGGTCCAGTTTAACCCAAGCCCAAATACGGTAGACGAGAGACAATGACGATTCTACCCCGTCGCAGTTCAACGAATTGCTGGGAATGCCTAGAAATGTAAAAATCGCATCCGGTCCGGCAAAGGCCAACATTCCACTCCTCCGCTTCCCTCCTGCTATCGCTCAACACAGTGGCGCTCGCTCAATTCTCCGGCTCCGGAGCAAAAACCTCGAGCCAGCTAATTGCCGCCGTTCCAGCTGCGTCGCGTTCTTCCAGTCCATAACCCCAATTCTCTCCGGAGATTCGTCGATTCTACGGCCTCTCTCTGGCTCGCCAAAGGTATATGCTCAATGCCGCCTCGGCCTTCATTCTCGCGGGAACTCTAGGTTAAGGTTATTTCTCCCAATTTTGGCGTACTTCCCCGATCGAAATGGCTTGCTGGTCTGTCGTTGCTGTTGGGGATGCTGTCTTTAGATTTAGTTCTTTTGGTTGAATTCGTCGGTATTGGGGTAATTTGTTCTGCTTTTGCTGCTTATGTGGCTGATGGCTGATTCAGCAATGGGTCTATCTGTGGAACGACTTCCTTGAGTGCTTGAAATGTTCTGTAACGTGAAAATCCTACCTCATTGACTGATATTCGCTTGTATTGCGCTTAATAACAATCCACTTAAGCTTCCTGATGGTTTCAAATCGTCCATGTATTGCATTAGGAGCTTCTATCTCTAGCCATCTTTGAGGTTGTCTATTTGCTCACCTGAAAACATCTGGCTGCGTCCCTGGTGGGCAGTTGTTTTGAGGGGTTTTCGGAATGGATTAAGCAGCAACAACTTGAGTTGTGTTGATAGATAATATGTGTCGATTTTCATTTCATCTGCTTTATGGGTAATTGATTTTGAGATGGGGCTTTTGATTTTATTAGTTAGGGTAGTTCTGCAATGGCGTCTGTATCTAGCCAGCCACAGTTCCGTCTCACTCAACCGCCTTCGAAGGTGCTGCACTTAAGAAACTTGCCATGGGAATGCACGGAGGAAGAGTTGATCGAGCTGGGGAAACCCTTTGGTAAAGTTGTAAACACTAAGTGCAATGTGGGTGCAAACAAGAATCAGGCTTTCATTGAATTTGTGAGTGTTCAAATGATTTCCTGCCAACCCGCCTCTTCTCTTCCCCTCATAAAATTGATGATGGACCGTATCAGTGATGCACGTTGTGAACTGTCTTTCAGGTGGATCTGAATCAAGCCATTGCTATGATATCATACTATGCTTCATCTTCAGAGCCGGCTCAAGTGAGAGGGAAGACTGTCTATCTGCAGTATTCTAACAGGCAAGAAATTGTGAACAACAAGACAACAGCTGATGTTGCGGGAAATGTATTGCTTGTGACCATTGAAGGTGCCGATGCTCGCCTTGTCAGCATTGATGTCTTGCACCTGGTAAGAAAATAAATGGTCTGGTGTTTTTGTTACAGGAAGTAAGCATGTTCCAGAAGCAGTTTAGCGATTCCTTTGTTAGGATGCAGATAGTTTCAGAAAGCTTTTTGTTTGACATAAATGTAATGGATCAGCAGGCCCATCTCAAGGGAATATCTTTGATGGCAGCTTAGTGCATCGGGGAAAGAGCGCATGTGTGTTTGTCTCCTTTCTCCTTTCCCTACACTGGCTCTTTCTTCCCTACTCTTCCTCTTCAATCCCCATTCCTACCGTTGAGGCAGTTTATGTTTATTCGTTGGTGGGTTTTGAAAGCAAGGGATTTGCATCAATTCTGATGCAAGTGTCTGTTATTAAGTTGATTGCTTACTCTCTCTCGGGAGTAATGTAGGCATTGGTTGGGAAGTGCTTTAACTCAATTATATTGGCAGTGTGGCTATGACATGTGCCTGCACTTATACATTTTGGATAGTCTAACTCCTCAAAAGCTTCGTCTTTTATCATTCAACTTTCTCTCCTGTAGGTGCTGTCAGTTTTTATCAGTAAATACTTTTGTTATACTTTATGGTGCCGAAGGACATGAAGCTATATGTGAAGAGCATGCCTAGTTAATAGATTTTAATTATTGTGTTGCTTAACTGTCTGTGCTAGTTTTATTTCTAACAACTTTGTTTTCGGTGCAGGTATTTTCTGCTTTTGGTTTCGTGCATAAGATTACAACTTTTGAAAAGACGGCTGGGTTCCAGGTATGCACTTATAGGTTTTATTCCCTGCATCCAATATCTATTCTATCCTTGAAGCTCATCTTTAGCATGTGAACCTTTCAGGCGCTCATTCAATTTTCTGACACTGAGACTGCTACATCTGCAAAAAATGCTCTTGATGGAAGAAATATTCCTAGGTGATGGTTGGATTAGTATTTTTCACATGGTATTTAGTCCCACTGATAAGATCATGTAACTTTAAAAGGCAGATGTATGCATTAAGAAAGTACCTTTTCAGCTTTTCATTTAGCACTCTTTCTGGTATTATGAGTTGTCATACTGTTCACATTGGTCGTTCTTGGACCTGCCAGATTATTTACTAATTTGCCGTCATAGGACTGAATTGCGAAGTTGTGTTTCTTTCAGTAAGTTGTATGCTAATTTCCCGACACTTATTTACTTCTCATGTATTTTTTTCAGCTATCTGCTCCATGACCAAATCGGACCATGTACACTTAGGATCACGTACTCTGCTCATACGGATCTGAGTGTAAAATTTCAGAGCCATAGAAGCAGGTACCCCTGCTTCGACTTCCCTCCCTTATGTTTTAAGCTACCTCCTATCGTCTTATCTCTTCAATAAGATCTTGTATCATTCAGGGGCGAGACCTCCCTTGAGGGCTCTGCTTGTTTTTTTTTTTTTTTAAATTATTCTTTTTTTTTTGTTCTGGTATCTTTTCATAACTCCGCCTCTTTTTTTGTTTTTGTTTCAGGGACTACACAAATCTAAGCCTTCCTGTTGCACCATCAGCTATTGATGGAAGTGGTCTGGTAAGTCAGTACTTTTTATCCACGTTTTGCTTATGTGCAGCTGTGTATGACTTGGTCGGTTGCAGTTGCAAGATGGTGGGGTTGACTAATGTTTGTGTAGCTCATTATTGATTCTAGAATTCACCATTCCGTTGTAATTCCTGTTATGTACTGTCAAATGTTTGATGATGTGCTTGTGGTCATGATCATGGTCTCACGTTTATGTGAAAGAGTTGGTATATGAACTCCCTTGAACAATTTGTCAGGGTTATTTGTTTCTGGTATCTCTGTGTCATTTTATCATTATCCACAACTGCCACTATTTGCCTTAGATGCATTATGATTGATAGAATTGTTTGATCTTATTGCAGTTCACTGTTGGTCAGGATGGGAAAAAGCTAGAGCCTGAAAGTAATGTCCTCCTTGCATCAATAGAGAACATGCAGTATGCTGTCACATTGGATGTTCTCCACATGGTATGGTACCGTTAATTTTTTATGCCTGGGATCCATTTTCCAATTTGAAAATTACTCTAATTAGCATTTATTTGTTATGCTAGGTCTTCTCTTCTTTTGGACCTGTTCAGAAGATTGCTATGTTTGACAAAAACGGTGGACTTCAGGCTTTGATTCAGTACCCTGGTACGCCTCACAACTCCATCCTAAACTAGGATTTCGAAGTGTGGTATTATGTGATAGGGACATCAATGTGGAAAAGAATTTTAATTACCTGTATGTGTCTACCGTTGCAACATGGTAGATAGGTGTTGACATTTCTAAGCTCAAACAATGATCTTGCAGGGTATTATGACCTTGAGACAAAACCTTAAATAGTTGCCACAGTTGTTCTTGATCTTTCCTTTGAGGGACTCGAGCAGCGATTGAAAGTAAACTTTTTACGGGGAAATGTTTTGATTATGGCGTTCTGCAATTGTGTTTTTGGCTTGCAGATGTCCAGACTGCTATGGTAGCCAAAGAAGCATTAGAAGGACACTGCATTTACGACGGTGGCTTTTGCAAACTTCATCTCTCATACTCCCGCCATAATGATCTCAGCATAAAGGTACTTGGACTTTCATCTCTTTCTGTACCATCATGATGGCAGGTTAAATTACTAACGACTGACATTATTAGTGTACTGTCATTTTAATTCCAGGTCAATAATGACAGAAGTAGGGACTACACTATCCCCAATACTCCAATGATGAACCCTCAGCCTTCAATCCTGGGACAGCAGCCAATGGGCGGAGGTCCCCTTCAGCCATACAGTGGAGGTCAGTATCCTCCAACGGCCGAGCATCAAATGATGCCGCCTCAAGCTTCAGCCGGATGGGGTGCCGGTGTTCCTCCAGGTCCTCATTCAATGCCGCAGCAGATGAATAGTAATGCATACACGCCACCGGGTGGGGGCAATAATTATGCGTACATGTCATCAGGCGGGGGCAATAATAACGCGTACATGCCACCGGGTGGGGGCAATAGTAACGCGTACATGCCACCAGGTGGTATGCCCCCTCACGGTGGGCATGGAATGATGCATATGTCAGCCCATGGTGGCATGCCGCCACCATCTTCTTCAATGCCTCATCATTATAGGCCTGCTCAATAGCATCTCCCCTTTTCTCGTGGAATGAGGAGAAGGGCAGAGACTTGGATCACCAGTTCAGAACCAATGTTGCAGCAATCTCTTTCCCTTTCAGATTGCAGCAGAGGGTGCTGGCTGACCTACTAGTGTTCTGAACTACAAAGGTTTATATTGTTGGCTGTAGAATTGAAACGTTTCGAGGTTGTATTTTGTTGGAGGATAATGCAGATATGTGGTAATGTGGTTGAAATTTTATGTTTTTCATCGAAGTTGGATATTTGCATGATTCATCTACTGTTGAGTTTGCTGCTATACTTTTCTTTGCTAGAAAGTTTGCTGCTATTTCTGGTGTTGAGAAACAGGAAAACATGAAGGTAAGCAAGTGGCCAAAAGAGGCTACTTATGGCTCTTCATGTCCCGGCCTTTTTGGTCTATAACTATGCAGAAATATCAGATTTGCATATGGGATAGTTGAGTGTAATGGGTGCTTGGTTTATTCATTGACTTACAGTACTTTCTTGGAGTTGAAGCTGAATCATAGTGTACGCAATGATGGCTGAAACCATGGACTTCATTGAAGCTTTCGTTAGGGTTTTGGTATCAGAGGAAGAGTGCAAGTGGTCTTATGGGTTATATTTATATAGCATGTGGCCTACTTAGAGTCCAATGGAACATTTGCTCATCTTCATAACCATAAGCTTTGTTTAAACTTTAAAGGCTCTTTTTCAACCTTTTGTGGATCAATATAAATTAATTTGTTATATCATTTCCGATTTGAATGGGGTGAAATTGTTGTGCAATTGAATTATCAATGATGGGGAACGAGTTTTCTCACAATTACATAGTTTAGTTATCTAATTTGAGTTGAGGTTGAGCCGACGAGAAATGAACAATATAGAAATTAAACGGAAGATATAATTGAAGTTTAAGGCTACACCGACTTGACTTGATGTAGTTGAGAGGAAACATGAGAGCGTCATTATTTATGTTTCTCACTTTTCGTTTTCATTTTTATTTTTGTTAATGTGTTTGAATAAATAAAATAAAAATTATATTTTGAATGTAGCACGGTATAAGCTTAATTATCATTCATAAGTAAGTCTTACTTGTGTACGATACTACATGCATTCAACCAATTAATATCACTAGAGGACTCATATAGACGTATCATTTGTACCCTATTGGAAGTATAAAGCATGTGCTAATTAGATAAAAACTCGTAACACAAACTACGAAAATATTAACAATATGAATTTAGTTATCTCATTTTCTAATCATATAATTAAAACTGATAAAATATTATAACGAGGCGATCAAATAATATGAGCAACATACATTGATTGTTATCGCATCAATAATTTGACGTCACGTAACTAATATAGTCTAGACTCGAATCAAACTGGTCCGATTTTTATTTTTTATTTTATGGCCTTAACGAACTCAAAACGAGTGTATGGTTCTTTTCCATGGCAGGAGGAATAGTGGCATTGGCAAAGCCGGCGCCAATTTCAATCTCATATCATATGAACTCTATCAGTCAGCCAAGGGGATAAGATTGGTAGAGCAGCCAAACATTTCCTTCCTTCGCTCTATCCTTCCGCTGGCTGCCCGCTCTTTCTTTGCTTTCTCCCATCCCTGCCTTTCTGCTCACTCCATCTTCTCCCTTCAACTCAGCCAGCAGGAAGGCAGCTCGGAGTTAGAGCGAGAGGCAGAACAATCAAAAGAACCCTAATCACCGAAAATGGCTATTGCCCTCCAAGCTTCTCTTCTCTGCCGACCTTCCTCCTCCCTCAAACACCCTTTTCCACATTGCCCACCTCGCCATTCTCCATCTACTTCTCCTTCTGGCCCCAATTTCTCCACTTTCCTTATCCCTTCTCGATTCCCCTTGCGCACTTACCGCCGTTTCTGCACATTGCATCCCGATAACCCAAATTTCGTCTCTTCTTCTTCTTCTTCTTCCTCGTCTTTCCCTCCTCCTTCGGATTCGGTATCGGGCCCGGCTTCGTCCGCTTCCGGGTTATCCAAACCCGACGACTACCCGTCAACTCCCCAATTAGCCTCCGACCCGCAGAGCGCCGGCGACGCGGAGTTCAGGGTTGAGAATTCATCCTCTGGCGATGACGAGGCGGCGGCGGCGGAGGATGGGGAAGGAGAGAAGGCGAAGGGCGGGAAAAGCAAGTTGCCCCTGGTGGTTTTCCTGATGGGTGTATGGGCTGCTCTCCGGAGACGGATTGATTACCTCCTGGCTTCTGATTGGCTTAGCTGGTTCCCGTTTTGGCGGCAGGAGAAGCGGCTGGAACGCCTCATTGCCGAAGCTGATGCTGATCCCAAAGACCCTGTCAAGCAAACTGCTCTCTTGGCCGAGCTCAACAAGCACAGGTAAAAAAGAAAGTTGTCAATCTTTTTTATGGAGAAAGAAATGTTGACAATGATCTTGTTTTATTCTCCATTGTCATTTTGAAGTCCTGAGTCCGTGATCAAGAGGTTTGAACAAAGAGACCATGCTGTAGACAGTAGGGGAGTGGCAGAGTATCTCAGAGCACTTGTGGTTACTAATGCGATTGCTGATTTCCTTCCTGATGAGCAGTCTGGGAAGCCTTCCAGTCTTCCTGCATTGGTAATTTTAGAGTTCAAATTTACTTCTTGTTTGGGATTTTGCTGCTCAGTGTCATTTAATCTGACGAGCCTAACCGTGGTTGTTTCAACCAGCTTCAAGAATTAAAGCAGAGGGTGGCTGGGAATACTGATGAGCCTTTTGTTAACCCTGGCATGTCCGAGAAGCAACCATTGCATGTGTTGATGGTAAGTTCTGTTTGAGCTTCCTTATATTTTTGGTGAAACGTGTGAGCTTCATTCTTTTTCATGTCAATGCGGTCAGCATTGTAAGCTATGTGCCTCTTTGGTTGCCTTTTAATGGTATGTTGTTTTTCATTGTTAGGTTGATCGTAAAGTGTCCCACAAGTCGCGGTTTGCGCAAGAGCTTATCTCCACTATTTTGTTCACTGTGGCAGTTGGACTCATCTGGTATGTGTTGTTGTCTTTTTTATTCTATAGTAGCATTTCTTTAAAGCTGGTTGGTTTGTTCTGGTCATCTTGGTCGTGAAGTGAGTATCTATGATACTGCCGGATTTTGAGTTCATTACTTGAATTCCAGGTTAATGGGTGCAGCAGCTCTCCAGAAATATATAGGGGGCCTGGGAGGAATCGGGGCTTCGGGAGTGGGCTCAAGTTCGTCATATTCACCAAAGGAACTTAATAAAGAAGTCATGCCCGAGAAAGTAAGCCTTAAAAACACCATGATTAGACAACTGTGATCTTTTAAATTATGGCAGTTATTTACATCGGCTTAGCCTTCTGTTTTTCTTTCTGTGGTGAACAAAAGAAATTAGAAAATAGTTATTAGAATATATGGCTCCTAATCAGTCAGCAGATGGAACTAGAATATGTAAGTTATGTCTCTCGGCTGTAATAAGTTGTGGCCCAGGCTATTGTTTCCAGTTTTCCTGTGGATATGCAAATTCTCTGAGTGTCATTTGTGATAAGCAGCCCTGTTGTCTCTTTGCATCTTGTCTTTGTTTTTTCAGAATGTTAAAACATTCAAGGATGTCAAAGGTTGTGATGATGCCAAACAAGAGCTCGAGGAAGTGGTCGAGTACCTCAAGAACCCTTCCAAGTTTACTCGGCTGGGTGGAAAGTTGCCAAAGGTTTGCAATTATTGTATTTTAACATTTCATTTCATTTTAACACTAGTGTTTGGAAATTGTTACAAGGTTAGGTTGCTCGGTCTGAAGATGGTTTGCATGATTCTTTGCTTAAACTCATGAGATTCGGTCGTTCAGAATAGTAACCCTACTGTCAAATTAAGCCAGCTAAAGTTTGATTTTCTCTCTATTTATGATTTCAATCCTGGGCCCTGCTTCTTGTCACGTGACGTATAGTCTGTAACTGGACAGTTAATTAGTCTTCTCATTCTTTTGTTATTCTTGGTCTTTTTGTGGTTACCTTTTCAGCTATGTTTACAATGTATGATAAATTGATGTAACCTTTTTCAGGGAATTCTTTTGACTGGAGCACCAGGCACTGGAAAAACTTTGCTTGCAAAGGTATGACATGGTTTTGCATCATTGGTGAAGTTATATTTCATGTGATAATTTCTACCCGTCAAATGTTAGTTTATTAAGGAAGCATTTCCCCCCTGTTAGTACTCCGCATTCGTCCATTTTAGGCTTCATGTCTGCCTATTTTCTGTTTGCTTTTTCCGACAATAAGGACTTTTTTAAGCATTGACCGAATTCTATATCTTTGGTCCTCAAGGCTATTGCCGGAGAAGCTGGAGTACCTTTCTTTTATAGAGCAGGATCAGAGTTTGAGGAAATGTGAGTAATAATCACCTTAATTCTATGAAAGGATTGGTTAGAAGGGCCAAATTGTATATTTTCTTCTTTTTGGTTAATGCCTACAAGAGCATCCACATGATGCAGCTAAGCTGGTTCCGTGAGATGAGTGAACTAGTCAGAGAAATGTTGTTTCTCAGAGTTGTATTTGGGTTTCTTTTTTCAGGTTTGTTGGTGTTGGTGCCAAGCGTGTAAGATCCCTGTTCCAAGCAGCTAAGAAGAAGGTGTGCACATACAAATGCTTTCTTTTGTTTAAGGATTTAGCCTTTTCCTTATCTTGTGAGTTGTGGCCCCGCATTTTTACCAGTAATTGGACTGAGCAAGATATTGCCAATAGTAATTAAAATCCATTTTCCTCGTCCTAATCTGTATCAGTGATTGCTAAATATCTGTTGAATGGTAATTTTGTTGCATTACTTTTTGTCCAACAGGCTCCTTGTATCATCTTTATTGATGAAATTGATGCTGTCGGTTCAACTAGAAAACAATGGGAAGGCCATACAAAGAAGACTTTACATCAGTTACTTGTTGAAATGGATGGTTTTGAACAGAATGAGGTATGTACTAGAGAGATCGTTTTCGAAAAGTTCACTCTGTCTCCTGAATTTCTTACGCGGAGACTTTTCCTTGCAGGGAATAATATTAATGGCTGCAACGAACTTGCCTGATATTCTTGATCCAGCATTGACCAGACCTGGTAGATTTGATAGACATGTAAGTTCCTATTTACTTGTGGCTATCTGTCCTCTCCACATACATTTTAATACTCTGTAATGTAAAAACCAGAACTCGGAATACTTAACTCTGTCAAGAAAACTCAAACCACATAGTTATCTTCTGAATCTAACTGACAGTAGTCTCTTTTCAGATTGTGGTTCCAAATCCAGATGTAAGAGGACGTCAAGAGATATTAGAGCTCTATCTCAAAGATAAACCTATTTCTGATGATGTGGATGTTAAAGCCATTGCTCGGGGGACACCAGGTTTCAATGGAGCTGGTAAATGCTGTTCAATTGAAATGTTATCCCTATAATCTGTTTTGGTTTATCAGTTCTCTTCCGGCTCTCTTTCTGACATACTTCACCTACTGTGTGAAACTAGATCTGGCAAACTTGGTGAATATTGCTGCCATTAAAGCGGCAGTGGAAGGAGCAGATAAATTGAATGGTGTACAGCTGGAGTTTGCTAAAGACAGGATCGTCATGGGAACCGAGCGCAAGACAATGTTCATATCAGAAGACTCGAAGAAGGTGGTTTGTGAATATAATGCTACAAACAATTTCAATCCTTTATTGATGTTACAGACAAATGTTCACATCATTCCCTTCTTTTATGTTTTCAGTTGACTGCATATCATGAGAGTGGACATGCCATCGTAGCTTTGAACACCGAAGGTGCACATCCAATTCACAAGGCGACCATAATGCCACGTGGCTCCGCTCTGGGAATGGTCACCCAACTTCCTTCGAATGACGAGACTTCAATAAGCAAGAAGCAGTTACTAGCTCGGTTAGATGTTTGCATGGGAGGAAGAGTCGCCGAAGAGCTTATCTTCGGACAGGATCACGTCACAACAGGAGCAAGTAGTGATCTCAGCAAAGCTACAGAGCTCGCTCAATATATGGTAAGTGGGAAATGAATTTCATCTTTCAAGCTATTGTATACTTGTCTGATCTTCATACACTTGACTGGTTCAGTTCTTGGTTAACCAAGGAACCGGAACTGGTTAATGACCTGTACTTAGAATGTCTAATTGATGTTTGATGATATTGTTTTCAAGGTATCAAGCTGTGGAATGAGTGACGTAATTGGACCAGTCCATCTCAAGGAACGACCCAGTTCGGAAATGCAATCACGGATTGATGCTGAAGTATATCTTCTACTAATTTACTTGATTATGGTGTCTTTCGTCTTTCTGTTGTATGATGTCACATTTGATCAAATCACTTGTTCATAGGTTGTGAAACTTCTGAGAGAAGCATACGATCGCGTGAAGGCTCTGTTGAAGAAGGTTTGTTAACAATTGTTTGTGTTGTTCTCCAATCACTCCATCGATGCATGCAAATTTCTAGAGGTTTTTGCTGATATCCTTTTGGCTTTCTTTCTCAGCATGAGAAGGCGTTGCATGCACTGGCAAATGCACTTCTAGAGTACGAGACACTGACATCGGAAGAAATAAAGAGGATACTGATGCCGTATAGGGAAGGGAAGCTGCCAGAGCCTCAAGAGGAAGAACAAGAACAAGGTGACCTTGTGCTGGCTTGATTGACCGTTTCTCTAGAAGGAAGATGATCCCAGGTATTTTTCAGTGGATCCTCAGCAACAGCAAGGGGAAAAAAGAAGGGGGGGAGCTCTCTGTACAGAATACAGGCGCTTATTTGTATAATTCGATTTTTTCGGGCCTCCACATGTTCCTCCCATGATGCACTTTCAGACACATGTAATGGGAAGCTTCTTCATACGCCGGCAGGCAGCCTTCGTCGTAGCCGAGCTACCCTGTCCGCCGGTGACTCGGAAAGCATGTAACATTACTGGTCAAGTAGTGTCTTAGAAATGTTGTAAATTCAACAGAGGAAGGAGTCTCGTCCCCCCTTTACTTTCACCTCCTTCAGGGTCAAATTTTGAGCTACCTTTTTAGACGACTGTAGATGTTTCAGGTTACAACTTTCTATAGCTGAAATCAGTCTAGTTCAATTCCTTGTAGCTGATTCTGTCTCCAGCAAAACTTTAGAAGCATTAATATTCATAACTATGCCATCATATTGGTTCAGTCATCGTCTTATCAGTACCATTTCGTAACTCCATAACGTTCCTGTAAACTGGCTGATAGAAAGAAGAGAGAGGAGTGGTAACTGCAGAAAGACAACAAGATGGATTCTTAAACAGCTACATTCCATAGCTACCTTCAACAACAAGCAACAAGAGTTCATTTCTACACTAAATCGAGTTTTTTGCCCAAATCGCACTACCCTCTAGTCTCTAGAATTACACTAGTAGTAATAAACCAAAAACCAAAGAGCAAGGTGCTCTGATGTCAAGCAAGCGCTATGTACATCAACAGCAACTACTACACAATGATTCACAAGAACTGGAAGAACAAACCAGACGCTGAAGATGGTGGGACGAAAAAGAAGACAAAAACGAAGGGAGCTGAGTTTCCATTTTCACTCTTCTCTCAGTTCATGAGCGTGATAAAATGAGGGATTACAAGAAAAAATAACAATGTGGTCACTGATCATCTACTGGGATTAAAGAAACCCCAGCAGCATTGTAAGTTAAAGAGCCAGCAGCAGCATCTCCAATGGAACCAAATCTTACACGAGAGCAGTCCTCCAGAGCTTCATTCATCCATCATCCTCTGCAATCATGTGCATGCTTCTTATCACGGTCTCTCGGACAGCAGTGTGCAGCTGAAATGCCTCCCACACTCGCTCTCAGACCCTATTAATCGGCTCGGTCCTGTCCTGTACTGCAAGTCGCTCAGACACATCAGCCAGCGATTTCAAGTTGCATTTAATCAGAGCTTCAATGAAGTAGCAAGTCTCGTCCTTGGTGTTCCCGTCAGGCACATCCACCACGAACGACTCAATCACCAACGTCCCTGGCCTTCCATCAAAGATCTCCGGGTGCAGAGAGACTATCGACGAATAGTTCTGGTTGCCACGATACCACAAGAAATTAATCAGCCGCCAGGATTTAAACATTTGTTCAATGAACTAATGAATGAAAAGAAGACTAATTTTCCCAAAAACAAACCTTTAGCCTGTGATCGCCACCAACAATGCGCATGCTGAGGAGATGTGCCTCATCATCGAGAAGCTCTAGTCTTTCGGTACTGGTAGTAGCTGGAAGCCCCGACTTGACATCGATTTCTCTGAGACTCCCGATCTCGAGGTTTCCCCGTGCTACACATCTGCTTATGAATGGCTTGTACTTCTGTGGCTGATCAAATCTCCTAACCAGGGACCAAACCTGCTCATTTTACACCAGGAGAAGCAAATGAAATTAGCATTTGTTCCCAACAGAGAAGCCTCGAGGCTACTGAGAACTACAAAGAACCAAAGAAGGAAACCCAAACAAACAAAAAATCCTAAGAGCTTCAATTACTCCTCTGAAACCCCTCTTATGAACAAACTGCACAAATTAAAGAGACTAAGAGCCAAGATATCCATGGGGAACTGGCATTTAGTAGAGCACAGAACAGACCAATTTCCAGAATAGCTACATAACTAGAACTCAACGATTATGCATTCCATTGAAGAACATCCCAAGTCCTAATTCTTCCCCGAGTCAAACAAATGAACAAAGGAATCATCATCAACAACAAAGGCCAGACAGACGATTAGAACAAGGAAACAAAATCAGATCAAAAGAAGCAAACACCAAGTAGCCATGAAATCAGGTCAAACAAGAGAGCTCCGATCACAATCAGATTGGACCATCGAACACATAGCCTTGATAGTTTCTTTGATAAAATCCCATCGAGGAAGCAAACATAACCTAGAATCGCAACAGTTGCAAAGACGCCTGAAAAAACAAAAAATCAAGAAGAAGCGAAAAAAACGAAACGAATCCTAACCAGATGAACCGGAGCTTTGATGTGCTTGATTAGAACGGAGCTGCACTGCTGCTCGCTAGGATCATGCCTATGGTGCCTCCGAATGTACTCGCTCTCCACGCTCCCGTATCCCTTCGCCGCCGCCGCCGTCCCCGTCCCCGCCGCCGCCGCTCTCTCCAAATTCATCTTCTATTCTCCCTCCCTCCTGTTTCCTTAATCCGGACGCGAAACTCCCCTCTCCACTTTTCCGCCACCTAGAACCGTCAGCAGAAAGATATACAGAGAGAGAGATGAGTTGACTTCTCGCAATAGCCGGCTCCTTCTTCTTCTTCTCCTCGCCGCAAGCAGCTCTCCAATCGATGCTCCTCCGATCGCCGGCCGGTGAAGGGAAAGAGGAGATTCGAATCGGCAGGGCAGGGAGAACTCTTCTTTGTTGTGTGCGCGCGTGTGAGTCACCAAGAACTGCTTCTCTCTCTCTCTCTCTCTCTCTCTCTCTCTCTCTCTCTCTAGCTTTCCTTTGTTTCTCAATTTTCTGTCTATCTATCCGTTCCGTCGTCTCATCCATCGCCTGATAAATATAATCATGAGAATGAGAAATGGGGGCGAAGAAAACAAAAAAAATGATAAAATGATTACAAAAATAGAAATATATTTAAAAAAATGGCAATTATTAATTTACGTATACAGTAACCAATCTGATTTTTTCGCGGATTAATTTTAAATAATCTTGAGCAATTGAGCCTTGTTCTCGCCGAGGAATTACTGCAACGTGCCACTGGGTGCTCGCTCTTTTGGCCTCTTCCCTCTTTCTTGGCTTTTACTGGCATGGCCAGAAACGGTACCGTTTTTATTGATTGGTTTGGTCCCATGAGTACTATAATATTCCATTGTTCATGATTCATGAATATCCAGCAAATAAATGAGATCCAACGATTCGAGTTACGATTATGATAGTAGTCGTTCGAGTTATAATCATAGTAGTAAGTCTTAATAATCTTTTTTTTAGTCGATCCACGGTGTAACTGAATTTAAAAAGATATTGAGTTGATTCGAATGTTTTATAATTTTGAGAATAAGTGAGACATGTATAATAACATCACGTGCATGAGCTTAAAATATGCAGTTTACTTGTGTTACTAGAAGTTATCTTACTATTCGTGTAAAAACTAATAGCAGAGATATTATGACAGTCCTTTTTCTCCATTCGTTTATGCAGTTTTCTAGATCTGTAAATCCTGTACAATCAATGGTACAGATTGTAGCATCGTGTTATAAGTGGACCATGTATAAAATTGGAGGATAGTGGAATATCATCACGTTGATGAGCTTAAATATGCATTTTACTTGTGTTACGAGAGGTTATCTTGCTATTCGTGTAAAAATTAATAGCAGGGATATTTTGACAGTCCTTTTCTCCATTCGTTTATGCAGTTTTCTAGATCAATAAACCCTGTACAATCAATGGTATAGATTGTAGCATCGTGTTATAAGTGGACGATGTATAAAATTGGAGGGTAGTGGAATAAGTGGGTTCACATTTCAAAGGTTTTTTGGGCATTTGTATGTATGTAATGCAATATCACACTGTCTCTATCTCTGATGACCTTCTAAGGCACCCACTGGACCACCCATCATCATCTATCAGCTTCCCTTTCTCAACAAAGAAAACTTTTGATGAATCCCCCCTTAGCTAACAAGTTACCACCAAAGAAAATTGTTTTGTCTAAAATGAAAGTTGCATTCAAAGTGTAGTCTAAATTTTTTTGGTGTACATGGTTGTGTAAAAAAAGGTGTTTATAAATTGCGACATAAAAAATTAATAGTAAACAGTTAAACTTTGCATGTGAAATGTATAGTCGTCTTCGTTTAATCCAATGGATGGTTCATCATTCATATGTCATCTTCTTGATTGTTTACTCATTAACCTTCATATGCCGATGATTATCGAGTCGGCAAGACGACTATCCATCAATTAGAATTGAGCGAATCAGCAAAAGCATTACAAACAAGGTTGTATATATTGGACTCGTCATTTTACGACAATAGTTATTTTTTCGTGAGTTATGTTGTTTATTAGTTTTGCACAAATACCAGTGATGAAATCATAATTTAAACTTAAAAGTAAAGAGGGACCAAGACAAATAAATCGTAGCAGCTACCGATGTTCGAACCTAAATTTTAAAGGAAGAGATTAATAGCTAGCTCTCGTCATCTAATCATTTTCCGATGTTTTCTCGAATACTACATTTCCTAAAATAGATCTTGAGAATGATTGTTGTCCCCTTGTAGACTACAGATAGTTGCTTTACTTGCCATTTCTTCAGTGTGAAGATAACCCAGCCGATATTTAACATAATTGTAGTCTCATTGTATAATTTAATTATTTGTCAAAAACAAAGTACATGATTTAATTAGGGAAAAATGGAGTTTTATATTATTGCATTATTTCAGTCAATGTATGCAAAAATTAAAAATGTTTGTTTGGGAACTAAGTTCAGCCCACCGTACTTATCCATGGAGAGGAGACCAAAACCATTACCCACAATCCTAAACTAAACAACAGTGGATGATGAAGTAATTAAGGACCCGATTATTTAAATCACACTACGCTCTCGAATGTTCGTTTCGCCTTGGAAACTTGTTTGGAAATCCTGGGATCCCTGAAATTGTTCCATTACATGATGAAATCCTCAAATGCAACCACTCTAAACTAGATCAAGAACGGATTCAGATCGATCTATATACACTGCTTATTCATAATTGTAGGGATCGTTTTATGCTCTAATTCATCACTCACAGAGACAAAGTCGATAGAAGGTGATCATTAAACCATTAAAGCTGTTGATTCATCGACAATGTACAATTAAAAAAAAATCCATAACGTGGAAATATAACTGCATATACGATTCCTTTATCTGCTTCCCAGTCAAGGGTACCAAGCCCGACAAGCATCAAAGTTGAGCATGAAGTTTTGTGCACCTAGTTGCAGGCTTGCAGCAGTGGTACGAGAATAGTGCACGAACACGAGAATATGACAGTGTTAGGTTGAATGAGTTACTCTCTCTACGAAGCTCACAAATTGCTTGCCAAAATGAATCGAAATGGACTTGGAATAGCATTATTAACATAGAAATTTTCATCCTTATACAGCTAAAAGCGATGACGCTACTATGTAAGCGAGCTGACACCACCAAGTCGCTCTAAAAGCACAATTACGCTACCACCAAATTCCCCCCCCCCCCCCCCCCCCCCCCCCCCCCCCCCCCCCCCCCCCCCCACCATCATCTTCGCCATCTGAACTACCAAATGCACGTAACAAATTTTTAAAAAGATAACGTCAATCTTGTAATCCATATCATATAAAAACTCGTATCGAATTACATCTAACTAACCGGCCGTAAGTACTGGATGGCCGGTTCGATTCAAAGGGCCGAGCTCCCCGGCTTTTTGCGCGTGGGTCGACGCGGGCCGGGGTTGCTATTATTAGGAGTAGTGAATCTAAGGGCAGCTGCACGTGACCGGTGGAGGACGGTTTTGTTTCTTTTCTTGGGAGCCAGCCAATAGGGAGTGCCCTTATTTTAAGGGACTTTTTTTTCCCCTATATCGGAACTTTTCTCCTTTAGAAATTAACACTATGTTTGGGAAGGGGTGTAAATGGAAGGGGGTGCAAGTTTGGAGGGGTAAACACAAGTTTCAAGGTGTTTACCCCTGTTTGGTTATTTTGTAACAGTAGGGGGGTGCAAAACGTGAGCGTAAATTCACTGTTTCGGCTTACCCCCCAAATTGGGGTGCAAGGGAAGGAAGGAAGGGAGGGGGAAGGGGGAGGAGGGAAATTATGAATTGTTAATTAGATTATAATTACATAATAATTAATATTATTAATTTTTTCTTATATCTATATTAGTGTAGAAGTTGTTTGGGGTTGACCGTTTGACTCAGAGAGCAAGTTTGTCAATGTTCGCCTCGTCAAATCGATATCTCTTAGTTGACCCGAATTTGCATTGAAAATTAGAGATAAGAAGCATTTGTTGAAAAGATAGAGAGGAACAGTTTAGTTAACTCGATTTACTTTAATAAGTAGTTAAAACTTACAGATTCGAACGTGTTTGACTAAGTTTGATCATATTCAATTTAAAGTTAGGCACGAAAACCCCTTAGGATGACCAGTTACGAGTTGGATTTCGAGTTTCGAGGTTGCTCGACCAATGATTATTATTGTTGTTATAAATAATTATATTTGAGCATTATTATATAATAATTATTTTTATTAAAATTATTTTTATTTATTATTTTTATTATTATATATTGAATTTTCATGTTATTATTTTGTGATAATATTTTATAAATTGATACATCTATTTTATAATAATATAATTACTTACTTTTTACTCTATTTGCACCCCCCTACTTTTTCATCCAAACAACAATTTACCCCTCCACCAAGTTGCACCCCCCAACAATTTACCCCTCAACTTGTACCCCCCTCGAACTTGCACCCCCCTTGTTGCCAAACATAGTGTAAAGAAAGTCCTCTTATGCCACAAAGTCTTCGTATTTGGGGCCAAATGGTATCGTTCATTAAAATATAAGGAAACCAAACCAACCAATAAGAAAATGGGTTGATATTGGGTGTCGGATGGCTCTCTCATGTCGATTTTTTTAGTGTAAATAATTTCCATTTTTCCTAAAAAAATTTAGTATTATATGTTATCCATAGTATGAATTTTGAGAATATATATATATGTATAATTTCGTATTGATTCAATTTTATCGGTGTTCATGATAATAATGTACCAACTAGATTTTAACGGAATATTCACGAAGGAACTGTGGTGGTTGAAGGATGTAAAGAAAATGGGTAATGGTGGAACGGTGTGCGGGGAGTAGTTACATATCGTGGAATACAAAAGATATTAACTTTATTGTTGGAGTATATTGATTTTTTTTTCTCGCTATGATAATCAACTATATTTTTCCGATAGTTAAATTGGTGACGTGCAACAAAAAATCAATGTATAGATTTCAAAATTGCGATAATGAGGATAAGCACAAATAAATTCGGGAATTTCTTAAAAGATCTCATTTGATAAAATGTAACGATCAAAATGTAGTAGAGAACATAATCGATTATCGAGATCATCATCGTCATAGACTAAAAGGAACCACAAGAAATTCAGGAGACACAATCAACAGAGACTACTACCCAATACAATGAATAAACTAATAGAAGTCAAGAGGAAATGAGACGTATAAACAAATAAATAGTTTTGGGGAGATGGGAAGATATTAATAATAATTGGTATGGCTGGGCGAGTTTATATGAAATCTTTGGTTGGTGAAAATAAGGTAGGATTTATTTCTGGAATGGCCGAAGAAAGAAAGGAATTAAGATTGTGCATAATACACTTGTGGTGCAGCATTACTCTACTCTCTCATCTCACTAATTAACAAATACCAAAACTTAGGTAGCCCTCATATTCTTTCCACAATTGGTAGGACGTTAGTGAGACTAATGGTCATTTTAAGATGTTTTAGCAATATAGTAACAATTTTAGCTAAGTAGGTTCAAGCAAAAGTTTTAGCTTGCTACAAGCTAGGCTTGGGGCCTCTGACCATGAACTGGCCAACAAGTAATCGTTTTTTTCTAGAGTCATCAAACCACCGTTCTGACAAATAAAATGATGCAATATTCGTATTCTTGAGTAAGTTGATTCATAATCTAGAGTAAAACGATTCCAAATCCTAGCACCTATCACAAAGCTAATATTAGGGTGAGGGGTGGGTGGCCATGACACCACCCATAAAAAAAATTCAGTTAATATATTTAAACTAATATAAATTTTGGAAAACATCGCATCTTTTAAGCCATTGTCATCACGTGTCAGCTACCCTGATTAAAATTCGTCGAGCTTCATTTTTTCCGCTCCTCCTCATTCGAGTCTCTTGCTCTATATAACCTGTTTTGGATGATAAATTAGAGAAAAAGAGAAAATTATGCCATGAACTCCAACGTGAAGAATGAGTTCAAATATACTCGACTATAAAAAAGATGAGATAATGAACTATCACTAAACCAATCATAATATTATCATATACCAATTTGATTAGTGGTACAAATACGATAACACAATACAAATATGATATTATATATGTTTCCAGAAAAAGCATATGTTGGCTTAGCTTACACTTGTACCGATTTTAATCAATGAATACGTACCCGGCCATCAATTGTCACTGTAAATTCAGACTGTAAAACTGGGTTTCACCTTACGAGTTATGATTAACGTGTCGGCATAAGCTGAGGAAAATGACTCGCCGGCCGGGCGGGGCCTATATATCGGGAGGTTGATTAGTACTATATGGATCCAACTTGCTAGAAATGAAAGTGATTTGTATAATGTGTGTATTACTAATGGCCTTAATTGTTCTCTTAATTAATCAACAGTAGTTAACAGTACCGTGCTAATTAGTTGGCTGATCAGCCGACTGACGAAACTAGCATAATTAAAGATCTAGTGAGTGAGTGAGTGAGTGAGTGAGGGGAAACTTTATTCCATATGTTGAGATTATTGGTTACATTAGATCTCATCAAAGATATTCGTGGCAGCCAATTAGCAGCAAGTAATGATATTTAGTATATTTGTAGTTTGACTGTTGTTGGTATGCTCCCCTAGCTACAGGGTTGCGTGGTGACTGTTTTAATGTATGTCTCACTACCGGTAGCCAACAACATAGTGATCGTTTTGCAATGGCGGAGGCAGAAATCTAAGTATTAGGAGGTGGTCAAAGTATGAAGCTAATCAGGAAAGGAATTCGAATTTTTCTGGCCGGATAGGGGAGGAGGAGGATTGCTTTACCGGTTGTTTTATTTTTCAAACTCGTTACAAACTTTACATGAGAATTGCAAGATCCAAACTTTTAGTGTGTGATTGGGCCTAATTGATATATAGCAAAATATTAAAGAAAATGGGTTGAGTTGAAGTGTTTTTTTTTTAATAAATGGTGAAAAAAAATCTATAACAAGTTGTTTCTCTACAGAAAACTGAAACCAAACAACGGTATATATAACGATCATATATTGTCTTTACTTGAAAGGTGAATGAGACTTGATTTGAATTTGGTGACAACTGACAAAGTGTGTGCTATAGTAATCCTATACAGACTCAATACAATTTGATGCATTATATTTACATTAAATCAATGAATGGAGCATCCATAATCATCTTATTGGGGAAAAAATTATGATAAACTTCCACCATTATCTAGTTATAATATTAAGAAAATAGAGTAGAGAAAAAGTGGGTTTCATTCACTATGGAGTCACTTTCACCTCCTTTTTGAAGCCAAAGTGAAAGAGTGGTAGTATCTAAATATCTACTCACATCCCAACCAAACAATATGCTTTAATTTGTTGTATATATATGCTTGTTGTTTGTGGAGCAATTATTTGGCCCTTTAGTTTAGTATCCTTTACCCATTGCCCTAACTCCTAAGCATTTGTGAATTGTGTGTCCATGGGTAATAAGAGGAGCAAAAGTAGAGAGGGAGGGGCCATATACTTGGTGCCTAGTGGTAGTGAGAATGGATATTCAAAGATGAACACAAATACACAATGTTGAAGAATGAAGATAACGAAATCGAAACATTAGAGATGAATGTAACCATGTAAAAATGTGCATGAACATAAACTTGTTTCCATTTGAGTTGTCATCAGAGATTCAATAATGTAACTTATGTGTTTAGCTCCGACTAATTCGTCGTAGCTACGCTTCACCTGGTAAAGGATAGTTTGGGAAACAATTGATCCGCTAAGGTTGGTCAATCAAGATAGTGTTAACACTTAAGACCATATATTTGTAGTTCCGAGCAATAATAAACAAAACTCTAATATCGTTTAGGTATCTAAAGTAGGATACCTCTCGACTAGGGATGTGTAATGATCCGGTCACGTCAAATTCAGGAGAACCACAGTCCAATAGTAAGAGACTTTTATGGATCAAGGGTCGGTCCAACATCGTATTTGGTCCGGTCCAACCGTCAATTCGGTTAATTTCCTTCAGTATTTATAAAATTTGTGGGATCAAGAACCGGAACATATTATACTCGGTTTGGTCCAGTGCAATCCCATACGGACCGAAACGTTGCACACCCCTACTCTCGACTGATGAGTTACAAGTCTCTATCAGTAGCAGCAAGCATTGAAGTATTGATGTGGGTTATTATTTTGTAGGGGCCTGAAATGGGAGAAAATTGGAAGTAGAAACACTTTTGGAATAGGAAAGTGCAATTGGTTGGCCTTCACCGGATCAAATTGACATTCAGATTGGACCATATCAAACTGAATATAATGTAATTTGATCCTCACTCTCATCAATATTATAAATACCAAATAAAAAATGGACTAAAATAACATTTTGACGGGACCGAACCAAACAAGACTAAGATGTTCTCTATTATTAAATCACGATTCTCGTTAGTTTGGTCTCGCCTATGACCCGAGATTGCAGAACTTGCAAGAAGAGGGGCAGGCAGGGCAGATGGGTCCTATCCAATACTCCTATCCAATATGCCTTTCTTCTCTATCTTCTCTCCTTTATTTTAACTTTCCTTTTGTCATCCTTCCTCTTGTGCTGCAACAGCACTCTGTCTGCTCAGTGCAATCTGCATAAGCATATATAACAGAGAGCAGAGGGGGCCTGGGAAAGAGCAGACCCAAATTCAACCAATGGCTGCTCTGATAAATGGGCTCTGCAATTTTGCAGCTTAGATCTTTCAACCAATGAGGAACGAGAGAGAGAGAGAGAGAGAGGAAAAGGGTGGCGTTCATGCGCGCAGGCAGCTTTGTGCTCTGAAAAGACGCCACATTGTGGGGAATCCCAGGCGACACTTGTCTTCATTTTCTTGAATCCAAGTCCCCCACTTCCATGGTTGGCAATGGAGGTTGGTAGGGCTAAGTATCCATTTAGTTATTTTTAACCAAACTAAAAAGAGAAGTGGGAGTGGCCACCACCCATGAAATTAAAGATAGAACCACCTTTTGGGATTGTTTCCCCTCTCATAATTCACTCCTTTAAAATTGGTACATTGAGAGAAACTTATGAGTAGGTGATGGTGGGTTTGGTTTATGGTAATATCGCTGGTGTTGGGAGCTAATTTGAAGATCTCGGAATCAAATACGAACAAAAAAGTTTTTTTTAGTAGATTATCGTCAATAGCATGTATAATAACTTATGAGTTGATTGGAAGGGATGGCAGAATATGTGTTTGGATGCGAGATGATTCATCGGTATTAATTTATTTAGGGATGATAAACGTCTACATCGTTTCACACGTAAGTTTTGTAGTATGGAGAGGGACATGATTAACATGTAGCATGTAGAATTTGGAATTGAAGGGCTCAAAGTAGAGGCTTAATTAACATGTAAAATTTGGAATTTATAGGCTCAAGTTGCTCATATGTATTTGATTGAAGATATTGGTCACGCCACACACGATTTGCTAGCCTACGACCACGTATTCGCCAAGACACACCACGTAAAATGAAATGCCAAATTTTTTTTTTTTTTTTTTACTTTTCTCGTATAGTTACCTCACCGTCCTTACGCAGCTTGCAAAAGAATTGTTGGCTAACAAAGTTACGTAAAGTGAAAAATATTATAAAAGACTTTAATCATTCCATTGATCACAATGCGGATCGTTCTTACCTGTCGCAAATTATGTTTATAAATTGGAAAAATTAACTTGCCAATGTGTCACACGTTGATTGGATGATGAATCTATCTCTCCAAGCCTATGAATCACCCAATCTCTAATCATGAAAGTGAAACAATCTTAACCACCCTCATTATAGATTCATCAACATTTTGTTTGGATAGATTGAAAAAGAAAAAAAAGAGAATTAAGCGAACAATGATGAATAAACACAAAAAGGCCAAATTGTAGTTGTAGTACGTGTCTCAACATTTGTGGCAAAGCGTCGCCTCCTCCAATTGATTGGAAGGGCATCAAGCAACAACCACCCCCCAAAAATCTCCAAAATCTCTGCTGAACCAATCAGGAGCCCCCAATTGAGAGAGCATATTTAACCCCAAAATTCAAAGGGAACAACATAAGTGTACTTAGTGGGTTCTTTAGTACGAATAATCACACTCACAAACACATCAAATCAATCATTTTTTTAAAGGCTAAACTATTGTTTTATTAGTAGAAACCGCGTTAAGTGAAAATACACAAATAAAAAAGAACATTGAATAAGAGGAAAAAAGGACACCCAAAATAGTGAAATGTATGCCATGGATGCATCCCACTAATTAGTTGTTAATGTCGTGTTTTGTAGTGAATATATAATACATACATGATGACTCATATTCCTTCCTTAGGTGTTCATTATAGATCTCTAAATATCTTGTTAGGGTGACATAATTCTTATGGCTTGATGACTCATATACATATAGATATTGTTGCCAATGTGAAGTTAAACAGTTGAGCTTGAATCGGTTGGAAAGAAACCGATACATGTTCAATGTTCCCCCCCCCTCCCCCCCCCCTCGTGGTGTGATCTTCGGGCTCTCCAATAAGGATGCCTACCCGAGAAACAGCCTACTGGTTATTGACCAGTCAATCAAACGCTTCGACACACAAACCATGAACTATAAATTTTTAATAAAAGGAGATATCTCTTACCAAATATCAACTTAATGAGTTATAAATCCGTCGAGCACGATATCACTTGATAGCAGAAGAAAGAAGTATTGAGTCACGGATAGGAGACCATTCACTCCGACGAAGCCACATGAAAAAAAAGTTGCAAATAGAGTGACAAGGACCCAAATTCTCATGTCAACGAGTCGTTATATCTCAATATGATTTTATGAATGAAATTGTTGTCAACCCTTTATGTAATCCCCCCCCCCCCCCCCCCAACCCAATTCGATCACTCTGTAAATGAGGAATGTACAAGGTCTAGCAAATCAACCCTCTGTGTAACTTGGCTTGGGAAAATTTTCATACAAAAATCACAAATTTGAAATGTGAACTTGGGCCATGGATCAGGTACACAGATTACTAATCAGGCCCCAAAATTTTCTTCAACCGGGCTCAAAATATTATTTTGGTCCATTTAATTTGATGGGCCGGTGGGCTTCGGCCGCAATCTACGTGGCCAAAAGCCGAAAACTACGGCTAGCCGGCCTTATCCAATTCCACAAGTTCCTAAACTACACGTTAGCGTTAACCCAAAATATCTCGCCACGGCAACAGAGAAGAGAAGCATATCCTATTTTAGTCTCTACGCCAACTATCTCCGACTTTCTTCAGCTCTGCCGATCTCCCCCTCTACTTCCATCGCTCATACTAAATGTTAATCGCTAGCTCATCCCTCAGAAACTTTGCCGGCTAGCTGCTGCTCCGGTTGGCCGGAGAAAGAGCGAGCTGGACTTCGGTTGATCGGAAGAGATGAATCCTCTTGATCCGGCCGGCGGCTCCTTTCATTTCATCCAGGTTTGCAGCAGCGATCGGTTCTGTTTTCTCCGATCGTACTTAAGATCTCTCCTTTCCAGCCTTCTACTTAGTTGACAGACCGCTTTTTCTTGATTCGAGACTGATTGGTGTTTACTTTCCTGCGTTTTCCTGCATTTTCCTAGCGGCCAAACGCCCAAAGTGGCAATGAATTTTCCCGCTGTTACCAGCATACAGATCGGAAATGGAAGCTTCAGCAGTGAGAGTAAAGTGGAAAAACATTCAGGAACTTGGATCGATAACCGGAGAGCTTGTCGAGTAACAAGGAACTGAAAGGTAATTTGATTCATCCTGCAAACCGAATTTGATCCATTGAAGTCGCTTGCTTTGAATTTCCATCTCTTCTGTATATAAAGAAGAGTAGAATTGCATTGCGCTGAATCGTAAAGGATAGAACAAAACAGTTTGCTTATCGTTTTCGATAGACTCTGTTCGATGGAATTACAACCGAGGTTGAAAACAAGGGTTTTCTCAAGAGTCCAGCAGAGTTCTTGATTCAACAAAAAAGGAAAGGAAAGGTAAAAAAAAAACTGAGTTCATAGTTTTCCATAGTCAATTTCAACTCCAGCCACCAGCTAAAAAACACGGAGGCGAGATTCGAAGGACTTGGAATCGAAAACTGAGTTCCAGCTGTGACTTCTTGCTAAAACTACAAGCTGGAACTTCTGTAGTTACTTATAGTTCCTGAACTCGGATTGATTGCTTATCTACTGCTTTCTATGTATGAGCTTTATCTCCACTATATGCCTGTTGTTGCCTATTGCCTGGTGTCAGTTGACTACACCCCATATTTGGTTGAGCGATCTGCTTGAGCTCGAGGATTTCCTCCACCTCGCCAGGCGTAGCAGAAAACTCAAAACTTCGGATGGGTCGGTTAGGGAGTAGGATGCTTTAGTGTCCTTAGGGGTGGAAGTTACGATGATAGGGTATCCTTGTCCTCTTTGTTGTATCACCTGCGATAGTTGTAAGTCAATCATTAGCAGCTGAGTCGTAATTGCAGTAGGTTGTTAACCCCTCTGTTATGGAGATTATAATTGAGTGATTGAGTAATACCTTGAAAGCATCTTCATCTGTCCGGTCATCACCGATATAGACTGGAAGTACGTCAGAGTTACTTAGCCCTAAACTCTCTAGGAAATACTCCACAGCATGACCTTTGTCCCACTCTATCGTTGGTCTTATCTCCATAACCTGCGCATAGGAAGTGTAGAAGCATGCATTAGAACTTAAAAGTACGATCCTTTTGCTGTCGCCTGTCGACATCTTTAGCTCAATAGAGACTTGTGCTAATCACCTTTTTCCCCCAGCACAAGTGAAACCCTGTGTAGTTCTCCAGCACAGACCTAACTTTCTCCTCCAGATTTTGATAATCCTGAAATTCAACATCCAAACCTCGAATTTATTAGGTTTTTAAATTGATTTGATTTACTAAACTTCCTAACTAGCAAGTGATGCTGTTTTACCTCATCCTTGACCTGCCGAAAATGTACAGACACACAAAATTGATTATCCTCCACCCTGGCCCCTTTTATCTTTGATGTTTCCTCCTCCAGTTCTGTCAATATCTGTGATTAATTCAGTCATTATAGTTAGTAAGAACAATGGTGAAACCATTTTGAAGAAGTTTATACTTAATTTTAGCTTTGCTTACCTTCTGAATGGTAGGCAGAAAACTCTTTGCAGGCTGAAAGAGCACTTCAGTTCCCTTCTTGTCCATTACGACAGTTGGGGTGTTGCCGTCGAAAGACTTAACCGGCCTTGGTGGTGCCATGATGTCCATCCCATGGCTCCCAGCATAATATACATTACTCAACTGTACAAACTCCTTGACCTTCAGGAATAAAAACAGAGCACTCATTATATCTCGGTCTTCCTTTCATGAAGTAAGAAGAACCAGTTGATAACAAAGCCAAGAAGAAAACAAGGTCAGACTCTTTGCTTACCTTGTTCCTACTCCTACCGCTGATTATAGCAGTTGGAAAGCATTTAGCAACCTCACGAACAGCTGCACGCATCTAAATGACAAAAGCAAAATTTCATTTCAGTACAGATTCGAATGTGCTTATTTCAGCTGAAGTGCCGTGGCATGTTTTCATTTTTACCTCTTCAGACATGAAGGCGGAGTCAGGGTCATTTACAATAGGGGAGAGGGTTCCGTCGTAATCTAAAAACACGACGATCTTCTTCCCTTTTGCTACCTTCATCATCTGATCGAATGAGTGCAATGCTGACGGGTGTTCCCCCTGCAAGTTCGATGTCAAAATCATCAACTTCTTGACCTCCCAATTTAGTTGATGAGAAAGATGAGAAGGCAAGGTAAAGAAGAATAAAAACTCACCACCCACGACCTATATTGTACATCTGCTTCAGTACTCTTGGCCCTAACATGGTCAGAACTGGGTGTGGTTCTCGTATTTACAGGATGCGGATCGCTGTTGCAGTTACCATGCTGCCCCGCCTTCGGTGGCTTGTTGTTAGAAGACGGTCGCTGCTGAAGCCCCATTGCTTGGTTAACCCTGGAGAAGTTCCTCTTCAACATACCTGCATTCCCAAACAAAACATACATAAAAGGAACAGAGTCAGCTACTACAGCAACGACGAAACCACCCACTGTTTCCACATTATTGGAGAATATTTAGTTTGTTCCACCACGTACCTGAAATGGACATGTTACTTTGTCGAGTGGCGCTGTTTTTGTTGTTATATATGGACTGGAATTCTTCTTCTGCCGCCTCCTTGCCCTTTGACACAAATCTGGCAAAAAAAAAAAAAAGAAGAAAAGGGATTCCACCCAGAAAATGTCAATTATTAGCCGCCGCCTGAGCATAAATTCGACAAAAGAAAGCCAACCCGCAATTCCACAAACGGATGTACACTGTTCATTGCATCATATAATCATTTCTTCATTAAGCATAAACAGGTGGGGGTTTCCACCATCACCATTTACTTGCTAATTAAACCAAATTCGTTCCCCCCAACACACAAATCCTATATATAAATAGTTGGATAATGTTATTGTGTTCTTTATTGCCATATCCAAAAGAAAAGACATATCTCCCTTTTGGGGTTTTCCATGTTCATATCTAATCCATTCTGTCTGTTTCAATCTCAAACACTGTTTGTTCATCGCGACTGAAGTTTGAGAAAAGATATCAGCAGATATGGCAATCTGCAGAACCTGTGGCAAACTTCTCTTTTTCCTTCCTTCTCTCCAAACCTATCCATCATACTATAATCTATCCTTTCAAGCCACTGTCAATCAAGTAAACTGTATATGCGTGTAATTAACAATCATTCATCAAACCAACAAGTGTTTGATAAACTTCACAGTGGCTGTTGCTGTCGAAGATAGACAGTTAAACAAGAGAAGGGTCATTTTCAAAAAATGGCTACTTTCAGACCTCTATATATAATATCAACCCACTACTGATCCACTCCACATAAACTAAAACATACACCAGTTGGTGGGAACAGAGAAGAAATTGAACTGAGTGGAAATGCACAGATATGTATGTATCAGTATGACTAAGACAACTTTGGCATGAAAGAATCAAATCATTTAAACAATTAGAACAATGAGTAGGCTACAGAAACATAGGCAAGGCCAATTATGTGCAAGGGTTGTTGTTGTTGTGTAAGGTCTTAATCCATCAGTCTACTCAGATTGACAGTGATATATGAGCTAGCTACAGTTATTTAGTGTTCAAATGTTCCAAAACATTATCTATCAGCAATAATTGAATGAACTATACAGAGTATATTTGTTTGTGTTTTGTCTCTTACATCCCTTGCAACATACTCAAAAGATAGCTTTAGTACACCTCTATAATATTCTAAAGCTAGTGTATAGTATACTTTCTTGTTGATAATCAGGGTGTAATAATCGAGAGCTTTAAAAAGTTAATCCCTTTCTTGTCGATAAGAAGTGTGACAAATTTTCACGAAACTAGCCATTAGTTAGTTCATCACATTATCTAAAACTAATATAACACCTTATCTTATCATCATAACTGCCAAAAGCAAAAGGGAAGACTGGAACTGTCAACAGTCAAAACGAACTCCCTTTTATTTTTTTTCACACACAGAGAGAGAGAAACAGAGAGGATAAAAAGGGTGGAAGGAAGGTAAAGGGAGAGATCAAGAGAACACTAATGAAAGACCGGCAACAAACGGAAGACCAACAGCACACCATCAACACAAAAGTTGACGACTTTAAAGCTTCTTTACACGTCCCTCTCCAACACAAATATACTCAAAACTTCCACATGATCCACTTAACGAACAAAGGTAGATTGGAAAGCCTTTATCATAATCTGGATTAGATTATGAATCGGCTGATAAAAAAAAGACAAACCCGTGGAAATTACTCTGTTGGGTAGTTGGGCGGTTTCTCCTCCTGATTCTGACCACTACTTAGAACACCAAAGTACTGCTAAGGAAAGAACAAGTTACCGTAAGAAAATGGTATAAGATCCATAATAAAAGTCGTCGAAATTTTGTGCTGACATACTCTACGACTCGATCTGCAGATGTGTATTAGAAAGGTGACTTGAGTTACTACATGCATACACGAGACTTAGCACAGGGATGTGTAAAAAGAAAGACTCTGCATAGGAAAAGCACGATTCCACTTGTACACACTGATCACGTGTCGGGCAGCTATTGAACAATGCATGGGCCAAAAAACCCTTTTCCTGGCTAGCAAGGCTCGACACGTTCTAACTAAAAGAGAAGGAAAATTGCTGTAAAGAAAAGGGTGGTGGCTGGTGACTGTGTTGCTCACAAGCAGACAGAATACACGACGGGGGAATGTCAATTTTGTTACCGAACCATATGAAGAAAAAGGGTTTAAACTTTTTTAATGTTAGGGAACTTCCCACTTGAGGGGATGATAAACACTTAATTAATTAGTAATTACTGATCGTTCCCACCAATAACAATAATTGGAGTTTCCACCGTGGGGGGAAAGGGAACTCCTCTTCTCCTCATATTATTATTATTGACCATTGTTGTTATTAAAAAGAACAAACAAGTATTGATAATTGAGTTTGTGACTAGTAGGTGACACAGATTATTATAATCCTAAATAATATTTAGTTAGGTTTGGGGATTCAGAGATTAATTATTTTGATTAAAGAAAGGCAACCAATGCATGTCTTAGGTGGTGACACTTTTCAATCGGGCTTCGTGTTAACCAGCCAGCTGATCCGGCCCAATTTTCTAGGTGTTCTCACCAAATTAATCATAATCGAACACATAAACCAACCGCAACTGCTGCCTATACTATATAATAATAATAATAAAACAATCACTAATTAAAAAAACCAAACCGAAACTTATGGCTGTCTATTGTCTACAACTCCATTAAACAAACAACCACATGATATTGGTACATCCCTCAATTAATTATTAAACATCGAAATGAGTCTCTCTAAACATATTATTTTATTATAAGTATTTTATTGTACCGTTTGATTGAATGCCTTCTTCTTTTCTTGTTATTGTTAATCGACTATTATTAAACAACTGAACGACACAACAAGTTACGAACCTAAATCCACTATCTTAACACGTAAAAATCACCTCTAATTCAACAAAACACTGATGAACTATAAGGCAAAGTTTTGATCCAAATAGGTAAAACCCAAAGATGACTTTACGTTATTAACCGATTTCTATGCAAAGAAAAGTTTTGCAAAATTGGGTTTTTGTCTTCCTTTACAAAGACACCTCCCTCCCAATTCCCATCACCATCTTCATCAAAGACGAAGCATCCCAACTAAAAAAAAAACCTACTTTTTTTGGCTACTTTAACCGCAAACAGCTCACTTGGTCGGTGGACCCACCAGAATCTCTGCCGTCCACGTGGCCGTCAACTCCCCCATCTGGCCATTTTCCATAACTTCTCCCCCATTGGATCAAAACTGAGGAGTGGAAAGACAGTTGGTCTCCCGGGAAACGAAACGGCTTTTAACTAATTATTCCACTCTCCCCCCAGTGTCGGTTGGGCCTGAAATATGACAGGCCCAGTCAACTCATGGGCCCGTCCCCGCCTACACGTGTGCGCCGGTGGTAAGTCCTCGTAACCCCCACAGTAAAAAGTAAAAAAACCGCTCGGCGGGTGAGAAATGCAAATAAATAAAAATAACGTAAATAAAGACCTGACTCAGTAGCTCACTCTCAGCAGGAGAGCGCGTGGAAACCAGCTCCTTCGCTGCCGGGACGTGAGTGGATAGCCACGCGCGAAAACACGCGTGGTGGATCCCGTGAGAGTTCACGAAAAGGATCTTCTAGGAAGGAAAAAAAAAGCGAAAAAAAAAACAACAAGAAACGAACCATAACTGATTTTTTCGTTTTATTCGCAAGGTTTCTCGGCGGACTTCGCTACTACCACTCGCGGAAATGGCACAAAAATTCAAATTCTAAGTAAAAACAATATACCAAAAAGAAAAAGAAGAAATAATTAGCTAATCGTGACGCTCTGCTCGAGCGGTGGCCGGAGTTTGAATTCCCGCCGCCGCGAACGAAAATTGAACTTCCGGCTATCGCCGGAATCGGAATTAGACAGGCATCGATTCGAGCATGCAGCGAGATACAAAAAATCGAAAAGAATTTCGCAATGAGAGCGGAGAATGGAAAACGGAGAAGGACGAAGGACTCACCCGGCGGTTTCCGCGATCGGCTGATCGAGAGCGGAGGAGATCGGAGAATGACGATCGGAGCGACAGCAAGAGAGCAGCGCCGCCGCAGCTAGCTGGACAGCTACTAAGCAAAAGACCGCGGAAGCTGAATTTTGGCGAGAGAAAGGGAATCGAGACAGCGGAGGAGAAAGTGAAGGAAAGAAATGGAAGGGATCGAAGGGGGGGAAGGAGAATGGAGAAGAAGGGGATTTATTTATATACGTAAGGAAGAGGAGGGTTTAGGGATTTATGGAAAAGGAGGAGGGCAAAATGGGGATTTCGGGTACTATAAATGTTTTGCGTGGGCTTCTGGAGGGGCCCATTTTCCGATTATTTGGTAATGTAATTATTTGTTTCAATTATTTACCAAAATCAGGACATTTTATTCCTGGGCTTCTTTCCTTTTTGTTCGTGATTCCTTGGTAACTCCCCGTGGGAGAATTAATCTCAATTGGCTTTGTTTCCTAATTTGCGTTTTGTGGTTTTGGTAAGATATTTGGGAGGTGGACTAATTGTTTTGTTGGGATTTCAAAGTAACGTGTTTTAAGAAAATAATGGAATTTTTCACCTTGAAAATGAGATATCAAGATCGATAGTTGTGAATGTCGTGAATATGTGATTGACTGATAATTAATCAATAAATCTGTAAGTTTGATTTTTCCGGGAACAATGAGAACTTTCTGATTGTTCGGTTAAGTCGGAAGGAATTTAATCGATGTTTAGGAGCGATATCTCTCTCATTTGATATCATTGGTCGATGAATCGATAAGTCTGAATATGTTATATTAGAGATAATGAGTTTGAGTATATCAGTTTTCCAGCTAACGCTTGTGGACAATTTTCTCTTTCCCGGTATTGATCAAATCGATCGATATTTGGAAGTCATGTGGATCCAACTCAATGTAAATATGGTGCCCTGCTTTTTAATGTTTTGAGATTGTTGTTGACTTAATGATTTCATAGAATAGCACAAATGTTGAGTGGTTCACTCGTGTCGGTACAAAGCACTCTCCTCCTGTACGTGTCTGACAGAAAAAGCGGTTACGCGACACGTTAGTTAAGTACATCTTGTCTCATCTCATTAACTTATTCATATATACCACGTGAATCCCTGTTAATTAGTATAATTTACTGATGCGATTAAAGGCCTTAAAATTATCTAACTAATTCTAGACGGTCAGAACTAGATTAGCGCCTAATAATTCTTCCAGCATACACAGTTCTCAAGCAATCGAATTCTGCAGTTAATTAACTCCACAGTACTATAATTATGCTTTCTTTCTTGGAAATTTCAGTTATTTATTACTATTATGGTTGTGAAGTTGGTACCTAGAATAATTAGAAATCGAAGATTCCACAGAGCTTAAATTCAACGTCGACAGAATATTCAAACAGAAAAAGAAACAATTCAATATATAAAGCAAGTAGACGCCGTGTTACTGAGAAGTCTTGTTTTTTGTAATTTTCCCATTTTTGATTCATTCTGACAAAACAAAAACAAAAACAGTACTGGAATTTCTTGACTTGACGAGAGAACGCACGAATATTTGATCTCTATTATTACAATCATATTAATATAATATACAGTTTAGAGTTGAACAAACGAACGTAACGTTTTCAAGATGTTAATATTTAAAAAATATATATTGTAACAATTTTGGTGGTAATTATAGAGTCGGTGGAAGAAAAAAATAATATGGGCTGGATAATCATTGATTCGTTGATCCTGCCGCCCTTGATTTGCCCATAGTTCTTAATATTGTTATAAGAAGCCAACCGGATTAGCGAATGGACCAGTAGAATTATCAAACCAGTTAGAATAGCTTATTTGTTTGGAGGATTATGGATGGACTAAACAATATTGATGATTTGACTCGTGCACTGGTTCACTATATTAATTATCATAAAATAAGAAAAACATACTTTAACGTAAATTCAGACCATCCAACAAGAGTTACTAATTTTATTTCTACTTCTTATTTTTTTCCAATACTCCTTACCTGATTAATGTGGTCCACTACGCGTTGTAAGCGTAATTACTAACTTGAATTTAATAAAGAATTTATGATTTATTCTGTGATTTAATTTGAATGATATTTTAGAGCATTTGGTGATGGAAGATACAGATATGAAATTGTTTATGGTTAGTGACAAATTCAGTACTAAATCAGTGTATCATATGTGTATTTTATACGTTATAGTGTATGGTACAGTTCTATCTATGGTTAACCAACGATTCTATAACACTTAACCGATGAACTATAAGTCAATAACTTTCCGGTTCAGCACCCAATATGGTTCCGATAACATAGGTTTTTATGCTCTGAATCTAAATACAGGAGTTGCTATTAGATGCCTTATCATTAACTATCACTTTTGTGTGTGGGGGGGACTATCGCCGTAGCATTTCGAATTTGAGGATGATGTATATGATGTAAACTTACATGTTCGATTAATTAATTTTCGATATAATTCAGAATCGATCGGTTCATTTGTCTTTATATGTTATTCACAAGGCAAAACTCATCATACAGTGTCTTGAAAACATTGAAAGAATCGGAATACGATTATGTCCTCAAAGATTGCAAACGGGAGCGAGTGGCTAATAACTTTTGCCCCTCCAAATTGGTAAATAATTTTACATTAGATTAGATTGAAATTCTCATATATGATCCAAATATAGGGCATGGAATATGAGATAACACTATAATGGAATCGGGGGTGTGGTTTTTGTTCCACAAAATGTGTTGAATCGAGTGATGATGGGATTTTATACCGAAAGTGAAAAAAGAATGAGAATCCCCCTCTCTCTTCTCTTTTGACTAATTATAACGAGGAGAACGTGAAAGCTAGTTACCTCACTCGGAAACCTTGTGTTATTCTCACATAGCTTTTCTTGATGCTATGCACCATTCTCCTAATTAAAAAAAAAAAATCCTCGACTCTACCATTTGATTCAAGTCAACATCTAAAGAAAGAAAACCCTGCATAAACCAAAAGAGAAGATTTCACAAATCATCATCATTGATACTTTCATTTCCCGTTCCCCGCGTCGAATATACTCCATCAAACTTAATACGCTTTTCCCACCACTGATCGCGTCACACATAATCAGTTACCAAGGTATATATTTATCCTCACTTCATTGGTATGTCTCTCACAATCACATGAATAAGCATAATTCTCAAATAACTATATTTGATCATGCATTTTTTGAAGTAATTTCGTGAAGTTTAATTACTGTGGAAATATAATTCTCCGTCGCCAGTGGAACCCTGGAAAGGGAGCAAACGTGTCCGCATTTCACACGGCAAACGACCCACCGAACCGATCGACACTCCCACCTGACCGTCGTGGTGACAGAATATATTTATTTATATATTAAAAACTGTAACAGGCGAGGAATCAGCGGGCAGAAAGCAAGAAATCAACCAGCTGCAATAAAAGGTTTTATGAAACCAAGTGCCAGATTTGACTCCATATAGGTTAAATTAATGCATTATCAATGCGTGGAATTCTCTGCATTTGACCCTTTCACATGCATTCCATTCAGCCACCTTTCGTTCTAGACACAGAGACAGAATCAAACAGTAACGTTCAAGAGGAAGAAGAAAAAAAGAGAACATAATAAAACATTTCTACCTACAAACCACGGTTGGTGTTATAAACGCGCCTGTTACGGATTGAAAAATCGCCGGAATCGATAAAGAAAGAATACGAAAGCGAGAATCGAAAAATACAGATACACGATTTACATGGTTCACTAATACGATTAGTGTTAGCTAGTCCACGGGCGAGAGAGGGTCAGTTTCATTATATCGAGGAGATTACAGATTACAGATGAGTATATGAGAAGTATTTATAGTACTTCTCCGTATGGACCTAAACCTAATCCAACCCGCACCCCCACCGGGGCGTTGCCCCTGGTCCCCACTCGCTGACCGGGCAGCGAGACCCTCCGATTAATCCAGTCGTAACGACCGATAGTCCGATTCAAGTCACATCAACAATTGGCTATAGCTAGCTGCATGCATGAACGCACGCTAGCTAACTACCTAGCCTATAGCGTGGACGCCGGCCGGCCATGTGTTTTTCTCTATTACTCGTCGGGTTTTTGTGTACGAACCCTACATATAGCCTAGGTATACAGCTATAGCTAATTAACTCCAATTAATAATGAAGCACCGGCCTCCATTAGTTAATGATGGTTAGTCGGGAGTAATTAGGACCACAAATCACAACGCAATGCATTGGATGTTCCCGAATATACCAACGACTCGAGCTGCGAGCGGTCACGTTTCGTATAGTTATATTTATATAAGAACAGTCAGAATTGAACCCAGTTGCTCTTAGAAGGTGTCTATGAACTTTACAGCCTGCTTTGGTTGGTTGGTTGGTTTGGAGTCAAACGTGATTGTATGATGGCTAATTAATTAGCTACGAGATCTGTTATATGCATCGTCCATGAAATCGTACCGTACCGGCGGTTCAACAACGAAATATCAGTATCGGAGGCTAAATCGGTAGGCGGTAATTAACGGTCTAACGGTTGAACTACGATTAAACCACGGTTTTATCATATAAAATATCATATCGCTGACTTTTCCTGTATGATATTCGGTACGATTTCATGGACCAAACTTATATGAAGCTAATTAACCCTAGGTTCCCATTAGTCAGCAGTCGTCTCTTTCCTGCGTTTCATGGATCGAGAAACGTTCAACTTCATTCATTAACAGCCTCGTACGTTGGTTTTCCAACTTCGTGTGATCTATACTCGGATGGGCCAGATTTCGTTATATATTAATGCATTAAGAATGCGTAGAATTCACTGCATTTGACCCATTCACTAACCTAATTTGTTCGACACAGAGAGACAGAATCAAACAGTAACTTTCAAGGGTGGGAAAAAGGAACAGAATCAAACAGTTATGTTTATATAAAATAAATCAACCAGGCTAAATATATATATAGCTAGGGCTAGCTGCATGCATGAACGCATGCAATACGCCAGGGTCAAAAGTCGACATATAGTACGTGTATTTCTTTCTTCAATCTGCAGCTCCTCTTTTTCTCTCCTTTTCTGTGTTAATTTCGGATGGTAGGGCGCCGTAGCAGCAAGGGTTTGCCGGTGCGGTTCATATTCTCCGCCGTCTCAGGTTGACAAATCAAACTAAAAGTGAAGATGCTGTAACATCTCAATCCTTTTTTTTTATCAAGATGTTGTTTGTTTTGGTCTTTTGGACCTATTTTGCACAGTTTTGTTTTAGGTGTATCATAGGTGACTTTAGGCAGGGGTGGAGGGCCGGTCAGTTCGGTTATCAGTCAACCGAACCACCTCCGACCACCTATCGAAGGAGGGCTTAAGCATTCGGTCTTCGGTTAACCGAACAGCCACCAAGACCAAAACCATATCACCCCAGCCTCCGAACACCGACCGAGTTTCGATTATCTTGGTATCGGTTAGTAGATAACCGGCCGGTTTCGATTGTGACCTATCGGTTAATCGCTAATTAACCGCTAACCGACTGTCCATTCCTAGGTGACTTTGCGGTAGATCGCCACACATCTCACTACCATGAATCCTACTTTCTCAATGTGAGATTTGTTCAGATATATACAAGTTTTGTGTACCCACATAGCCTAGGTAGCATAGGCAACTAGGCATAGCTATAGCTATAGCTAAGCTCCAATAATGGAGCACCGTCCTCCATTTGTTTATATTTAGTCGATCGGGTTCGGGCCGATTTGGACCACAAATGCAATGCATATGCATGTTCCCGAATATACAACGAGCAGAGCTCTGGTCACGTTTCGTACGAGCCGCGAGTTTTTATATTCACAGTCAGAAGAACATGATGACTCACTTGGTCTTAAAAGATCTAAACAACTTATTAATTTACAGCCTGGTTTGGTTGGTTGGTTTGGGGTCAAATGATCATTGTACGATGCCTAATTGTTTAGCTACCAGATCTTGAATATGAAGCTAACCCTACGTTCCCATTCACTAACTAGGTCATATCATGCTTTCTGTAGATCGAGAACGTTCAACTTCAGCCAGCTCGGCCATCGAGTTCAAAGCATGGGAATTTCCCGCATTTGTTTTTTTCTGGAAAAGCTTCATGTGGGCCAGAGGCTAACTGTGGGCTGTGGCCCATCAGGCCATCAGTAATAGGTCTTCTTCACTAAATGGGCCAGTTGTATAATCTTCAATTCCTTAATTACTAGCCATTTGGGCCCGGTTTATCCGATATGGGCCTAAGCCCAACTACAATCAAGGGGGGAAGTTTTTCATGAAAATAAGGATTGTGTTCTTCGTTTGTGGTTGAAATATTGACTCCAGAAACCAGAATGCCAGATGTGCATATGATTTCGCAGATCTGCATCCCGATTCCACCATGTAAACTCCTTCAACCCAATTCTCCAAATGATGTCTTCGAAACTCCTCTATATTTAACGAAACTCAATAAGGTCGATAGATGCACCATTTCAGCTAAGAAAAATAAAAAAGAATGAACATCACTAGCTTCTTCAAAGTTTAGACATCTAAGAAACCCAAATCACAGCAGGCTCGAGCAATATCCAAAAGCATCATTACCACAATAGAAAGCTGTAAAAAGAAAAACCACCGGCTGGTAACCTTCCAGGGTACTACGTACTAAAAGAGTGGTTCTGTTTTGCCTAGAAAACTGTCCCAAATTCTGCAGCCACAATAAGCTGCAGAACAAAACTCAGGATCTTCTTGGATCCCGGGTAGTAATAGAACTAGTAATGGCACAAGTTGAAGAAAGCATCTACAATATTTCCTTCCTTTCTGGATCAGCTTTACAAAAAAAGATCAAAAACTAAAACTTTGCCTATAATTCTCCTGCACTCTGTATCTTCTTCCTTCCTTCAGCTGTCCCCTGCATTTGCTGAATCCAAAATGATCATCTATAGTAATGAACAAACCCTCCCACTAGGTGTCTCCTTCTACCTAACTGCCGACTCTAGTACCTTCTGCTGATTCTTTGCTACCATCGATCTCGCCAGTGGTTGTTTCAGCCTTTTGAGCCTCCGTCGTAAGAAGCTCCAAAGGTATAGCTGCAGGGTCCAGCTCGTAACAACCCTTGGGAGAGTTCTCGGCTTCTTCGCCCGTGAGTAGATGGTGCGGGACCTGATGTGAGAACCGGAACATTTCTTCTCTTGGAATCCTCCTACCGACTTCAGAAGAATCCGCCGGCTTGGCAAAAACCAATTTAAACCCATCGACTTTCACCAGAGGAACGACCGATATGCCCTGCTCCTCGTCATAATCATCCACCACTTCCACCATGTCGTACTTGTGCATGACTTCCTCGGGGGTATCCTGATTCCATTCCGGGGACCAGTTTCTGTATAGAGCCCATATCTCGCCTTTCGAAGGGAGTATTCGGATGACCCCACGAGCTCCCTTTGTGAATCTCACCCTGTGGGAGAAAGCATTCAGAGCTTCATTGATCTCGTGTTTCCCTGTCCTGAAATCACCACATGTTTTGAGGAATCCTGAACCCACCCATTGCAGAGAACCAAACTCACTGTTGGTTCTCGAGTTGAGCCAGCTGATCTTCAACTTAAAAGGGTTCTCCGATATCATCTGAATGATTCGTGCGTAGTAACGAGGCATCCCATCGTTCTCGTCATAAGCAGCCCATACTTGGTCATCTCCGAACGAAGTCTCAGTTCGGTCCAAATCAAAGTTGTGAAAGTCGGAATCTGGGACAGTAATCGATACTGGCTGAAGGGATGTCACTTCATTATCTTTATCTGGAGAGACCTCACGGTCATGGACTGAATCCTTCCCCTGCTTCTCTGAATTTGAAGGAATGCTACGAGGATGGTCATTCTCATGAATATTGTTAACAAAATTGGTTCCATTGCTTTTCTGCTTCTTACTGTTGCTTATTACTTTCTCTTCTCTTGAGTTCCATTGTTCCAACACTTTGCTGATTGTCGAACGGGCTTTTCTTGCCAACATGTTCCGAAGCTCCAGAGGATTTAACTCTCTTCGTACAGTACTAAACCCAGGAAAGTCGGTAAATCTGTAGGTCTTTTCAGCTTCAACAGAGACCTTCTTACCTTCGAACACATCTCCAGTTGCCGCCTTTCCTTTGTCGGAGAAAACCATGTTGTAGGTGTCATCTACTCTCCTCTTTTTCAGCAACGGATCATCTGCAGGAGGAGTGGCACCAGCACCCCTCTTATGCATATGGTTCCTATCAAACTGAATATTATTTGCAGTTGGAGCAACAGTTTGACTGGCGGTTGATGGTGGTGTGAAGGTCCCACGAGAACCATTTACATAACTTCCGACTCCAAAACTCTCTCCTCCAGATCTTTGAGCAGTACCATAGCTCCTTCCACCACTAGAAGCAGCAATGTTGTTACTTGCTGCAATATTATGCTTAGAATTTTGATGATGTTTCTGACGATGAGATTGATTCGGTGGAGGCTTATTAATGTTTGGAGGCGGAGCTCTCTCCTCAGCAAGAAAGGCCTGCTGACAATTCGGGCACAGGAGGGTGTGATTAAGATAAATCCTGAGGTACTCATACTGGGTCTTGCATTGGTTACAAATAGTCCAGAAAGTATCCGGCTTTTTCTGGGAAGAGATATCCGCCGCAGTTCCTGCAAATGTGTTCTGTTTTTTTAAGGAAGGTGAAGGAGTTGAGGAATGCCTGCCCTGAGTCTTTGTGGAAGAATTGGTCGAAGTATGAATGCCATTCGCACTAGGTTGAGACGAGGGGACTTTGCTCTGATTTTTAGGGTCTCTGTGGTAGAATGCAGTTGGATTCAACTTCTTGTTGTATGCTACTCTCTTGTCTTTATCTGAGAGCAAACTCCAGGCTTCTGAGACCAGCTTGAATGCCCCGTCAGCACCCAGGGATTTGTTTTTGTCCGGGTGGAGGGCCAGAGCTAGCTTCCGGTACTGTTTCCTCACTGTATCATCATCAGCCAATGAGCTAACACCGAGCACGTTGTACCAATCGACTTCACCATTGCTTATTTTATTCTGAGCAGATATATAGACTTCTAGGGTTGTCAGCATTTGAGGTAGGCCTTCCAGACCAGGATATAAGTTCTGAGCCTTCATGACAAACTTCTTGGCAGAGAGATAGTCCTTAGAATTGAACTTCCTCTCGGCGATTTCCTTAGCCCTGAGTGCTTCATCTTTGTTGCACTCCATAATAACCGAGTGAATCCCACGAAGGAAAAATTCTTCCTCTCGTGTCTGCTTGGATGCAAACTGAAATTTCAACCAAAATTTTCTAGCAGCCCGCCCTAGTTGAGCCTTCAAACAAAATTACCGGATCAGTAGCTTACTGCAAGAATAATATAACCCAAAAGATCAAGGATCAGTAGAATCTCAAAAGGAACAGATATTGGATCTATAGTACTGAAAACTACCAACTTAGGCATAAGTCACTAGTCTCATCATTCACAATGCTTTTTTTTTTGGGGGGGGGGGGGGGGGGGGGGGGGGGGGTTGGCCTGTTCTGGAACTGCAACACATCGAAATTCTGTCAGACTAGCATAGCAATATCACAACTAAAATCAACAGCTTTGTAAGGACAAGCCTAGTTGCAATTGCAAAATATACTTAAAGCCTAACTTTCGGTATGAAATAGTTAAAGTTTTTAAGGTCTTTATGCTGTTAACTGTGGTCTAATTCTCTGCAATGCTAACAAGAAATGTGTGCATATTCTGTATTCTGGTCTTGTTACAGCTGATACGGGTAAATTCTTCTGATGCAATGATAAGATGCAAAATGAAAAAACCAGGGTTCATCACACACAATAAGGAAAATTATAGAATTGCAACTCAGACTGTTGCTCAACGCAAACGAATCTTGTGCTGTATGGTAGGCTAGTAGCACAAAGCAATGCCAACATAATCACTGCGAAAATGCTTGTATCATATGTTTAACACATAATTATAGTTGAAATTTGAAGTTGACTTTACCTATCTGAAAAGTGCCAATCAAATAGTAATGTAAAATGCTCTAATTCTGTATACTTATTACTTCTAAATCATTAAACACTAATTAAGACCCAACAAAGTACCACACAATAACATTGCTTGAGAAAAGGGGCCAGAACTTCCACTGGATAAAACTTGAAACATAGACTTTTCAGTTCAATGATCAGTTGGAGGTTAAGAGCCAGGCATGAGCAATCAATCCTAAATTCTCTACATGTCCAATTCCAAGTAAGAAAAAGGTAAACATAGGTCACATATCACCCCATGTAGGCATTAATCTACACTGACGAGCACAACCCTTAAGAGACCAAAACCAGATTCAAAATGCCTGCCAACTTCCAGTTGCCTCCACCGAAAGCAACAAACAGAATCCCAATTACGTTTAAGCAAAGCCCCATCCATAGCCAAGCTCAAAACATACCATTCATTCGCAGACATCCAAACACGGCGACCCCCGCTCGTAGATCTACAGTACGTAAACACGTAAACTGGGCCCAAGTTGCACTACATTCAAATTCGCTTCGCGGCATAAAACCCTAGAATTTTGGAAACACGAAACCGGCCTCGAAATCGACAATGGCGAACAGATGACAAACGATGATGCGGAAGCGCGAGGAAACAATGGAAATATTGAGGAATTGAAAAAAACACCAGGACCGAGTTGCGAGAGATGAACAGTTCGTACCTATTCAAGGCAAAAGCGCCATTCTCCAAATGATTGGGGGGAATTATTTTTGAATCTGAAGAGACCAGTTGCAATCAATAGTATTAGAGGCAACACCCAAACCCCATCAACCAACTGACCTGGAAGAGGAATTTCTCTGCTTCTGCTCTCTCTCTCTCTCTCTCCCTTTCCTCCTTTCTCTCTCTAGTTACAGACTCAAAAAGAACTTCTATGAGAGCCCACCAACAATGGAATTAAAAAATATTTAACAAATTGGAGGAGAAAAAAGCAAGTATGGGTTTGGTTAAGTATTTAACCTAAGAATTAACCCAACCACATGGGCAACTTTTTTTTCTTCTTCTCCTCCTCTCTATCTCTCTCTTAAAGAATCTCAACTAGGGTTGGATTTTTAACCCTTGGGTTGGGTTACATATTTTGCTTCCCATTGGCTATTAACTTGACCATGGTTAGTTTTAACCTTTCTCTTGGGTCAGGGGCTAACCAAATCTGGGGTTAGTTTCTCTTCTTCTCCTTTTTTGAACAAGTACAGGGTGGAACGGTTTGGAACCTGTTTGATCGTATCCATTAAATTGTGTATTGTTGACATAATCGATAAGATTTATCATATTTTTCCGAGAGTTGTTGACGACTCTTTCACGATTTCACCGGTAAACCCGAGATATTTGTCTTACCGAGATGGACACCAATTCAATTTTCACAACCACTGGATCGCTTGATTCATGATTGTCATTAACGAAACGTGTGGTATAGACAATGTCACTTCACTGCAAATAAAAAATATAATTATGGCATTATATATGATTTTGTATATATAATAATTTGTTGCTTTCATTATTTATAAGAACTGTGGTTGGTAAAAACCATCAATCGCGATAGATTACACAATATAAGTTTTTGGAAGACTGAGCCCAAACAAACTATAGTTTCCAAAAAAGATCTTGATGGGCCGAAAAATGAGCAACCGTGTTATTTCTTATGGAATTAAAGCGTCATCTTACACTTTATGCATAGAAACTTTTGATGGTACGAGCCATCTGTCGGATCAAATCTTTTCATATGTTTTCCATTAAGCCATGGTACTAAAGTCTGGTATAACCCTAGCCAATAAATTGGTCAATACCCACAATCAAAGGTCTTCTGCATTATGCCCAAAACTTGGAAGGAACATGCTTTGCATGTAGCATGTTTCTGCTAATTTCTACCAAGTGACAGTTCTTTCTCAGCTCTACTCCATTTTGTTGTGGAGTACCTGGGCAGGTCAACTGACGTCGTATTCTATTCTCCTTGAAAACTTGTGTGAATATAATAGAGGTGTACTCTACTCCATTGTCTGTACATATACACGTGATATCATGGAAGGCTTTGCGTTCAACAAGTTCTTTGAACATTTTAAACTTCTAAAATGTCTCTGATTTCTCTTTCGTGAAGTCAACCAAAGTATATCTTGAGAAATCATCAATGAAAGTAATCATGTACTTCATTCCATACAATGAGGTCTGCTTCACTGGTCCAAACGCGTCTGAATGCAGGGGCGGAGCTACACAGGGCCTAAGGCCCCCCCCCCCCCCCCCCCCCCCCCCCCCCCCCCCCCCCCGAGAATTTCGAAAATCACGAAAGAATGTACGAGTATTCTGAAAATTACGAAGTAAATACAGGTTTATAATAATGGTCGCGGGTTAAAAGGTATCTAAAGTAGCCGATTACCCTAGTGGAGTTTTTAGTGGTTTTGTATCAAACAGGTCAAGGGTTCAATCCTCACCTATCTTAGTTTTTCTGTTGGAGTTTTTTACAATTTTATAGCTTTAATGGAAAAAATTTCCCCGATAAGTTTAACAAGAATGTCAATCTAATTATTTGACAAAACATCTCGTACATTTTGATAATTTACACAATTAATTTATTTATATAGTTATATAATTATTTTGATTTTTTTCTTATTACGATAATATACGAATCATTTCCGGCCCCCCCAAACCCAAAATCCTAGCTCCGCCCCTGTCTGAATGGGCAAGTTCCAGAGGCATTTTAGACTTGAACTTTCAGTATTCATATGGTAGTTGACGAGCTTTTCCATACTGGCATCCAACACATACGATATCTTCACTTATATCAAGGTGAGGAAGTCCTTTTAGCATGGACTTCTTCATCATGACTCTAAACTTTTGATAGCCAATGTGTCCGAACCGAGCATGCCATAAGCTTGTCATCATACTCCTTGTTGTGTTAGCATAAGCAACTTCTGCTGACATTACATAGACAGACTCCAGCTTCCGCCCTTGCGTGATCTTATCTAAAGTTGGTTGTAAGTTGCGATACACCTTCTGATGAGGATGATGCGGGCATTGCCATGCACGCCATGCACCAGGCCGGCCACATAGCCTATTTGTTTCGTTTTTCATTGTTTAAGGACCTTTGTGTACTTTTTTTTCATCTTTCCTTGCCAAAGTCGGTTAGGTTGTCTTATTAAGTCTTATATATAGGGTTTTTCATTGTTCGTAGAAGACAGTTTTTGATATTGAATAAAAGAAGAAAATAGGGGTTTCCTCGCAAAGATCGACTCGGCTATTCCCTTGAATCAACGAGCCTCGATTTATTAACCTTACCCACGTACACTGCATCACCTTCACATCTCTAGTACCGAACACCACATAATTTTCAGATGTTGTCAGTTGTGATACTGCCATCAGATTCTTCCGCATTCCAAGGATGTAGTAAATGTTTAACAGCTCCACTTGCTTATTGTCAACCCGATGAGTAACCAGTGTTTCGCAAATGTGGGTGATTGATAGTTTAGTGTTGTTGGCGGTGATAACCACCCATCCACCTCTGTACTAGGACACGTTTAAAAGCTTATGTCCATCACTAGTCATGTGATTTGAGCATCTTGAATCCACGATCCAGCCATTTTCATAATCAATGACATTTTCGTCCAATGACATAAGTGCTAACTCTTAAGTGGTGCCTTTTGGAGATTATGTTGCTAAAGATGCTTCTAAGTCCCATTCATCATCATTCACCTTGGAAGACGTTGCAACGTTGCCTTCTTCCTTTTTGTGCCAACAATCTCTGGCTAGATGACCTTTCTTGTGGCCAATGTAGCAATTGCCATTTTCTCGGTCATTATCCTTCATGTTCTTTTCGTCACCACACTTGTTACGATGGTTGTAATTTTTCTAAGCTTCCCTTTGGTAGTTGCCCCATTTGTTGTTCCACTTATGGTTCTTCTTTAACCCCTTTTGGCCGCTTGTCGATGCAAGGGCCTTCTCTCCACCATTGGAGTATTTACCTTTGTTGAGCAGAGCCTTCTCCTCTTCTTTGATTGACGCCTTTGACATCTTGTCATCAAGAATTTCTACATTTGTAGAAGATTGTCCAACTTTGCCAGGGTTGGCTCCTTAGTTCACCATCTTGTTGTCGTCACTATGCCCTTGAACTCTAGTCTCAAGCCACAATTGATAATTCTTCTTGTTCGAACTTCCAAAATTGGATTTTTAGATTCCAATATAGAAATTTCGACACAAACATTTTTTACTTTGTTAAAATATTGACCAATGGTCAATGTTCCTCGGTATAGTGACGCCAAATCATTCTCCAAACTTTGGAGTTTCGCCTCATTGGTCATGGGGAAGATTGTAGAGAGAATATCCCAAGGTTCTTTTGAGGATTTTCTTTCCTTGATACGATGCAAGAATTGATCTTCTATTGTGACTGCAAAGATGTACATGATCTCATTTGTTTTTTGCTTCAAGTCCTCCAACAACATCTCATCGATTGGTGGCGGGTCGGCGATAATTTTCCATAGCTTTTGGCCTATGAGATAAAACTCCATACGGGTGCTCCAACTTGAGTAGTTGGTCTCGTTCAACTTTTACATGACGGTAACTGAGGATCCCTCTATCTTTTTACTTTGTAACTTATCCAAGTTCTCTATTTCAGTCTTACTAAAATAACTACAACCTCTAACCGCCTGATGGGGTTCTCGTCACTACTGGCTCTCAATTGAACCAGTTTTAAAGCACAATGATCCCTTTTCTGATGTGAAAGATCAACCTAAACTGTAACCACAAAGCATACGAGGAATAACCTTGACAGTGATAACAAGGAACCCTTTTCTTATGTGCAACTATGCAAAATCATCTTAAGTCGCAACCACAAAGAATACGAGGAGTAACTTGACTTTGATACTACTTGTAGGAAAAATTGGATCGAAATTCTAACAAACTTTCTTATTTCTTCCCCTCCCACAATTCAATATTGCTCACCCTCCCTTCCTTCTTTCTCTTTTTCTTCTTCTTTTTTTCCCCCTCTTTGTTTGGGATGAGAAATACACACACAATCCAAGCTATTTATAGCCAAACTCCTGCACCTAGGCATAAACTTTGTCACCATAAACTACCACCCTACAACTATTTAGCCCCACAAATATTAACGGTTTGTGGTTCTTAAATTTTTTTTCTTAATCCACAACTACCTTAATTAATACAACATCTATACAATTTCACACACTTCACAACTCTAATTAGTTGTGTTATTTGGCTAAATATATTTTACTAAGAATCCGGTGTTTTGGCATGTGAAATGCACTATTGTCAACTAATAATTCAGAACATGCGACCTATTTGTTCATTTGCTATTTTGCTTACCTGTAAAATACAGATTCGAAGCAGCTGGCCACTGACGGCAACTTCTTCTTCTTCTTCTTGTTTTATTAATAAGCTGACGAGAAATGTCTTGGTACAAGTGAAATCCCATCTGCAGCTATTGGGTTATCTTGCACGGTTTGTTTGGCCAAAAGTTCATTCACCTTTGTTCTTGAGAAATGAGCGGTTTGCTTGGTGGAATGGAATATAATTTGGCAGAGAAAATGTTTAATGGGACAAATGTGATTGATTCATTCCTTTTACCTCTTTTGTAAAATCTAAAGTTGACGATCTCTTTAGTAGTAATAGTTGATTAACACTTAAAACTTATTTAACGTGTAGAATTTTATACTTTTCATTAAGTACTGGTTATTAATCAATTTTTTTCTCCAATAACTTAAAGTATTGCATGTCTTGTATTTTTGGGTCCTATGTTTGTAGGAGGAAGAATTATGCCTGCTCATGTGATTAAAATGCATTTGTTATTTGTTTCGAGTATCGTGAAGAAAATGTAGATTCAAGTCGACTTAAAATCGATTGAGTTTTTCGATGGATTGTAAGTTCGAAGAAGATGAATTTGTGTTTTCATTGCACTGCCCAAATAAAATTAATCCAATATTTTGCTACATATGACTTTACTTATTGTTGGTATTATAAGTATTCATTTCATGAACATTCGGGCAATTTAACTTCGTTTCTGTGTTACTAATTAGCTAATTTTCATCACTAACCTATTCGTTAAATCTCATTGAACAAGTAATTTGGGGTTGGATTTTGTCCGAACATTTAAACAATCTATGATTATTAGGTAATAGTTGATTTCGGCCATTAGTTACTCCCTCATACAAGATGCTTCACATACGTGTTTTCTTCTTATTTCTCGTCGAATGTCTACGACAAAAACAAAATAATCGTGTAATAACTTTTGTTAAGGACCAATGGCACATGAAATTATAAGTTCAAGGATGAAATGAGGGAAACGTCACACAATCCCTCGTCGTTTTGTCCTTGGATCTATCGTTTCCTTCTACTCACTCGTGCCGTTTAAGAACGAGGGTTTTTCTAGTACTACATCCCACACAGAAAGAAAGAAAGAAAGAAAAGGAAAAAAAGGAGCCGAGAAAACCGAGAGAGATTCATAAAGGAGAAAGGGCGGCCGAATCCCAGCAAGTGGCCGCTTCATCCTTTTGCGCCCTCCCGGCGCCGCCATCGCCGCCGCCTCCTCTGCTGCTCCTCCGCCGGATTTTCCGGTAGCCGAAAAATCGGTAGAGAGAGGGAGAATCTGGAGAAGAAATTGACTGTTAAAGAGCGCAAACAAAAAACTGCTGCGGAGGGAAATCTGTGTTCCGCCGCCGTCCGGAGCGACTGTTCACCGTCTTTCACTCATTTCTAAGTGAAGAAACCGGTCTCGGTCGTCGGCAAAGGGAGAAATCGCGTGACGCTACGTTCGCCGCCGTCCTTAACTGCTATCCGGTAGTAACAAGAGCAGTATTGCCGATTTCTCCGTCAGTTCGTGGTTCATTTCTTCCGTCATCGTCTTCTCCGAACGCTCAGAATCTCGGTATAGGCTTCTACCTAACGCTATCTTTTCTCCGATCGATTTATGGCTTCTTTTTGCCTGCGTGAGTGAGTGGACTACTGAGAGAGTGAAATCGGAAGGATGAGAAATTTGAAACGAACATTTTTTTTTTTGCAGGATTCAGCAGCTATGGATTCATCGCCGCGGCAGCAATGCAGCAAACAAGAAGATGAAAGGCCTGTGGCAGGTGGAGTCGGATCTGATTCCATCTCAGGTTTAACCAACAATGGCAGGAAAATCTCTCGTCACGATGTCAAGATGGTGAGCCTAAACAGATACTCGTTTTCCATTGTTCATTGTTGAGGGATCGAAATTGAAACTCGAGAGTTGAAGTTCATCAATGGTTCTTGTATTGTAGGTTCAGAATTTGATAGAGAGGTGCCTGCAACTGTATATGAATAAGAACGATGTGGTGAATACACTCTTGGAGCAGGCTAGAATCGAGCCTGGGTTTACAAGCCTAGGTGAGTTGATTGATGCCTATATCTGTTTCTTGTTAGTGTTAGTGTCTCTGCTTTCTAACCATATACATGAACCTTTTGACGCAGAATTCTTTTATGTCGGCCTATGTTAGCTACCTAATTGGGAATAATAAGTAGTGACATTGATCCACATGAATCACAGTAAATTGTTCAAATAGAGACTTAACTTGAAAGCTGAAGGCAAGAGACAAACGAGCGAGCCAAAAATGTAGTTCTCGGACGAGCTAGGGCACGAGTAGAGGCTATCAATGTGCTTTCCTAATTGGGATTTCAACTTTCTGGCAGACCCTAGCTCTTTTTTGACAAGCTGGCACCGGCCTAGTTGATGTGTTACTTGTATGCGTGTCGTGCACAGAAAATTGGCAAAACATTGAATGTCCTACTGTGATGTGCCATGGATTTGCTTTTGGGTTGATGCTGCTAGGGTTTTATATACCGGGGAGCAATAACGTCAACTCTCTTACCTTAGTAGAACATACCTGTGACTGGATTAACAACGGTTTGTTAAGCTCTATGATGATTATAGATATTTTGGAAGGATTTTTTCCCCGATTTGCTTTTTGTTTGTTTTGATAGCTAACGTTATGATTCTGATACCTCTTTATCCTACCATTGTTTAGTATGGCAGAAGCTGGAACAAGAAAATGTGGAATTTTTCAAGGCTTACAACGTGAGGCTGACCCTGAAAGAACAAATTGATCGGTTCAACCAGTTACTCATGCGACAATGCCAGCTAATGCACTATCCTGCTTCTCAGGATTTTCCATCTCATCAGAATGGGGATGCCCAAGTGCCTGGTAAGTTTTCGTGTGAACGTCTAAATATCTATCCTTGACAACGCTTCAATGATGTTTCTTTTTTCCATGCTTACACGGAACCAACGATCAGGAAAAGCACATAACTTTTTGGTTGATGGATAAGCTTAGAAGTTAAAAGCTAAACTGGTGGAATATCTTCATTTCACTCTGACTGAGATGCGGTTCTGTTGTCTGTAGTACAGTTACTGGGTTGCCCGCAGAACCTAGCATCTTGCAGCAGCAGTCTGGGATTTCATCAATGAGTCATCCCCAGATGCATCAAGTGAGCAGTCTGTCTGACTGCCCAGTGGTGAACGGTTTCCCTGCTTCAGGAAGTTTCCACCAATTGCACCTGAATGCCAGTAGAGAGTGAGTACCATCTTTAGTTTTTCTTTTTTCCCAATGACTTAATCTTCTGGGGTATTTTAGAAGCTTTTGACTGCTTTCCCCGTTAATTTGATCTATCTTTGTGTTTTGCAAAGGATGATAATGGATGGAAATACAACAGTGACAGCAATTCCCCTCAATCAGTCATTGGAGTCCGAGGTGGGCGGAGTTCCTGCATCCAATGGCCGATTCTCTCTCGGCTCAGTTGAGATGGCTGGATTCTCAAATCTGGATTATTTGCCACCAAACGCGTCATTCAATATGATGCCTCCTCATTTGCAAGATGGTGCTGAAGGCGGTTGTGATTATCGCGGGATGCCTGTCCATTCGTTCCCACATATTCCCTGGAACTTGAGCTTCCCAGATCTGGGCGCGGACTTGGCAAGTATTGGAGGTGAGATGGACTCCTGTTTCCTTGATCTCTATCAGGCTTAGACGTAGACAGTATTTTCTTCCCACGGTCTGGGATTGTGACATTTATTGTGTCTACATTACCAGATCACGGTCAAATGGAGAACTACTCGGGCTCAGACATACTACTCGATTCAGCAGACGAAGAGAATGACATGGGTAAGTTCGGTTGAACCGTTCGTTTTCATTCCCTTCCATATTGAGCTTGTTAAATCAGCGAGCTTGCTGATATGACTTTGATCCCTTTCGTTGGCTGCAGTTAAGGAGTTCTTCGTGGATTCTGTTCCTCCCTCGAGCCCTCAAATTGAAGAGAAACCTGACGTCGGGGCTCTATAGAATGCAGTAGTGTTAACAGTAGGCAGCAGCAGCAGGCAGTGTGAAGTTAGCCTTACTCTACTCGCACAATTTTTTTGAATGGGCAGCCTCATCAGACCAGCTCTATAGAATGGCTGCTATAGTATCGGGTAGTTCTCTACTCTTGTTTACATCCTTCCCACCGGAAGCTAAGGTGGGTTTCCGAAGCCCATTTATTGGGCTTCCTATAAACTGTAGGGCATTTCCCTTTAAGGTATTGGGTTTCTGGAGGCCCAAGTTATTATTATGTATTCACAAACCTTTGTGAAGAGAACCTCAGTTTGACAGATGTGCATTGGGCTCCGTAGCTCATCTGATCATTCAAGCATCAAGCAAATTCTTGTGGCCCATTGTTAAGAGTGATCGAATGAAGATAAAAAAAAAAAAAGGAAAGGAAGCAAATTCTAGATTGGCTTTCATGGTTTCTTGTTGTTGACATATAAACAGAAAATAAATAGCAAATGGAGGGAGAAAATTACACTTATTTTCAGGTTAGGCAGGAGGGCAACGACGGAGAGAAAGACAAACAAAAACAAATGAATGGGAAAAAAATTGACTTCTTAAATATGAACATTTTTCGGCTAGAACTCGACGGGACATGCACAGATTTCTTTCTATGTAGAGAGAGATTATGCCTAAAAAAGGTTTTACTCTGAGCCTACACATGCAACAAGAACCAGAACTCAGTTGCTGCTGCTGCTCTCTTTATTCTCGGGTGGTGTATCCACCGCAATGATGGTTGCCGGAGCATCGTTGTGGTGGAATCTCACCACTATGCACGTAATGTTGTCGGCGCTGCCCCTCGTAAAAGCAGTTTCCACAAGCTTCTTCGCTGCCACCTCGGGTTCTTCCTCTGATCGGGCGAGCGAGATGGCATCCTATGCACAGAAGGATGGGCATATGAGCTAGGGGGGAAAGGGTAATGGAAAATCAATCAGCAAGAGAGGAAACTAAGGTTTGAAGCTCACCTCGTTCGGTACCACATCCCATAGTCCGTCGCTTGCGAGGACTAGCAATTCAAACTCATCATCTACCTTCAGATCCTGGCCAGTCACAGAAAACTTCTTAAGTTGAAGTGACAGTAAGATTAAAATACAGAACAGGTTTACTTCACCGAGCAAGGACGACGATATAAGCTTCCGGATTATGAGATTGGGAGATTGATTACCTGGATTTCAGGTTCTGCGACTACATATTGCTTTAACATACGGTTCCCAAATGCACGTGACATGGCCAAGACACCGCCAACCCTCCATGTGCCTGAGCAGTAAATCAAAGTACTCCATGAATTTCCACAATTAAAAACTAAGTAGTAGCAAATCAGCTTCATAAGGATCATGGTTATAACTTTACTCTACACTTCCACAAGCAGGATGTCAAGTAGAATTACCTGCCCACATCACTACACCACCAGCATTTTCAATTCTCTTCCGTTCATCACTTCTATTAGGTTTATGATCCTCGGAGAGGGCAATTGCTGTCCATTCACAGAAAGGAGAATGGGGAAAGCATGGTTAGTTTTTAAACAAAGATAGTAGCTGCAGTTAGCAGACTGATAAACAAGGAACAATTTGCAGTTCAGTGGTTGAAGATGAGATATGAATAGCCATAACAAGGTTAAGGTAGATTGAACTGCTGAATTTCACTCTTTTTAATTGAATATGATCAAGACTCTGTTGTCTGACTTGTCTCGGTATTAATCTATATCTTTAGAACTGGTACAATGTCTATGGACTAACACAAGAGCTGCTACGAATTCATCTCTACAATTTAAGTGCTGAGGCCCTATATGCAATTCCTACTTCCACCGTCTATTATAAATCACAACATCATGTCCAACATTATAAGACAAGGTGCAGCTTGACGGTGAACAGAAACAGACAAACAGCAGTAGCAAATTGGTACCTTTCCCAGCCTTGGATACCACAGTTCGGGAATCCCCAACGTTGGCAACATACAGATGGTCGCCTACTAGCACTGCTGTTGAAGCAGTAGAGCCATCATCTCTGTATGTCTCCTTTTCAGAATCTAAGAAGTCGGCATCAGTCTGCTGATATGTTGCACCTGCATGACAATACCAGTATTATTGCAAGTACATAAATGTCACCAGCAGTAATTGGCTAAATATGTTCCTAATGAAGTATGACAAGAACAAATGTAGAACATACTTATAGCTGATTTGGTATCTGACATGAATTTTGGGTGCTTCATTAGATTCTCAAATAGTTGTTGCTTTAAATATTCAGATGCTCGAGAACCACCATGACCTGAAAAAATAAAATAAAAATGTAACGGTCATCACATGATATTCAATATTCACCTACAGCTAGAAAATGAAAGATTTGATAGGATGGCGATCATTGACACGTGTATAGTAACAAAAGCATACACCTTATAGTCCAAGCTGCCGAGTAACGACAAGATGTGCGAAAATGGTTATATCCCAACCTAATGGGAAGCAGTCTACTATATGGGAGCAAATATCTAAACCAAAGTTGGAAATCATCATCTGACAGGAGAGATCCATTATCATCTTTTCTTTTCTGATGACTGTCTGATTCATTTATTGAAATTGGACAAACTCAGGTCAATTGCCTCTTTCATAAAATGTACTTGTTGCAATCAATTGAGGCCAAACTGTATATGGAAACTAATAAACCGGTTCCACGCGCCACCATATGCATCCACGACAACACTAAAGATTCCCAACGGCTTCCAAACAGACTCAAAGTTTGACCACCATGCATTCAACATACATTGTCATACTATAACTGGAAAATATATTGTAGGAAAATCTAACCATCAAATATTCCAAACATGCAGACTGGTTTCTCGTCAATCTTTGAAATTTTGATATCGTAGCAGTCCTCCATGGATGCTCTCTTTCCTCTGAAACTTGAGTACCCACAACTCAATTTCCCATCCTCACTGCCAAGAGCATCAGATACATCTGTCAGTAAGGCTTAACAGAAACATGTCAATTTCCTCAGGTTACTTTGTTTTTCTTAAAAGAATAAGTAGCACAAGATGCAATGACAGGAGATATCAGAATGCAATTACGAAATGATATCAATTATTCAGTTCATCTTAGCGAGAACCGCCTAGGACGATCATATATACAGGTAAGGCCAGCTAACATTCCTACCAACAAGCTGATTAATACAAATTCCTTTTCATTGGCATGGGAAATTAGTCATAAGAACAATCTACAAGCACTGAAGCAGCCTATCATCTATTCCTTGCGCTTTACCCTTCCACATTGCTCAATCTAGCAACAGGATACTACCGATACACAATTTCAATCACCAACAATTTAACAAACAGCATTCACGATCCACAGAAATGTAACGAAAATCCATTAACAGACAAATCACTTATTACGCTTCACATATATCATGAAATTGCAAAGAGCATTCTGAATCCAGGGAATAACCTTTTACAAGCTCCACCGAGATATCCGCCGGCTTCTTCTTTCTCCGGCTGCAAGCTGCCGCCTGCTGGCGCGGCTTTCGCAGCGGTGGATCCCGTATCTACCATCATGTTTGTCCGAACAGGGAAACTAGGATTCAACTTATTATTATTATTCAGGCGAAGAAGGCCAAAAGTACTACGCGAAGAATAAGTCTTCCTCCCGCCGTTGCCGCTGGATAGCAACCTTGTTCTGGAGAAAACAACAGTTTGAGCAATCACACTCCTGATGCAGCTGTTGCATACCACCATCTAAAATCGGCCGGCTCTGGCCCTTATTTGGCGCCAGATCACTCTCCTCGTCTGGTTACCACTCGCAAAAACGAAATGAAAAGCCGCTGCATCACAAACAAACAAACAAAAAAAAAAACAACTCAAATCGTCAATCCAAACAGAAATCGAAATCGTCCTCCATCCTCAGAAATCTCAGATCACAATGCAGCATCGGAGATTTCAGAATAGACGCAAGAAATCATAAGAAGATAAACAAACGCGAGGCATTCAAAAAGAACACAGATTACGGCCGTATGCCTCATCGGAATTAAAACAGTAAACAGAAACAAAAGAACGAACGATATGATAGCTAGCTACAGCTGCAATCATCCATCACCTAACTCCCGGATCAGAATGCAGCATCGGAGATTTCAGAATCATCGAAAAAACACACAGACTCGAGCTGAACACAGATTACCGTCTTCGATTCAGATACCTCCTCGATTGAAACAGTAAGCAGCCAAAAAAAGGCAGAACGGAGGAGAGATCGGGAGTCGCGATTACCTCGAATCGTTCTACTCATGGAGCCGACGGGAAAACCGAACTCACTCGGCGTCGGAACATGGAAAGAATTTCTCTCGCTGTGAACGAAGCACGGATCGGTCTCTGTTGATTGATTGAATCCGCAGAAATTATACTGGTAGCGAATCAGCGGAAGAGCGGATCGGGAGATCGGAGCGGTGATCCGGTTAAAATAGCAAAACGGATCTAAATCTGATAGAGAGGTAGAGAGGGAGTTGGTTGGGAGAATCGGGAGGTGGAAGAAGAGAATGGATTTTTCTTTCTTTCTCCCTTCTTTCTCTCTCTCTCCCGAGAAAGTGATGGAATCTGGGGGAGGAGCTAAAGATGGGAGGGAAGGCAATGGAAGGATAGAGATAGAGCGAGAGAGAAAGAAATAAAGAAAGCCAAAAACAAACAAACAGAATTGAAAATGGGGGAAATAAGAAGAGAGAGAAAGAGAGCGGAAAGGGTGGGAAGGGTTTGGATTTATATACGAGTGATGAGTGAGCTGAGTGGAGTGTCCGAAGTGCGTTTTGGCAGGGACGAGGAATGGCAACGTGGCACACTTCATGCAATCAGTCAATCAAAATCTTGGATTTTTATATTATTAAAGAACGGTTTAATACACTTGTATATCCAAAACTTTCACGATTGTGCTAATAATGTTCAAATTTCCGAAATACCACTTATATCCATGTTTTAAAGTTGTTCTTTGCCAAATCTATCCGTTTCCCAATATAATTTTGGTTAAATACACTTGTATATCCAAAAATACCGTTAAAGAATGTGAAGGAATTGATTATAAGTGGTATTTCGGGAAATTTAGATATTATTAGCATTACCACAACCGTGAAAGTTTTGGATATACAAGTGTATTTAACCTTAAAGAAAAAAGGAACTATTTTTCATAAAAGAAAAAGAAAAAAATATCGAGCCGCGGTGGATCCACTAACAGATAGGGATCCATTCAAACTGATCTGTTCTACCGACTACCAAGGCCCCGGCCCAACAAAATATCAATTGCCGCGGCCCGCGTGGGGTATCTCAAGATTGTGGGATTAATTACCAAATCGGTCCATGGAGTATAGTGTTTATACGAAGTGGTCACTTGTCTTTCGAGAATGGCTTATGATTAATCGTTCTACAATCGTTGGTCACTTATTTATAGAACCATTCATATAATCAACCAATTTGGATTAAGAGAAGAAGGCAAAAGTGGAAATAAAGGGATGAAAAATAGAGGCGACGAGGGGCAGGTGGGAAAACGAAATCAAGAGAGTCGATAAAATAATTGATTATGATTGGCTGGAATTTTATGTTTCTGTCTTTAATAATATTTTTGAAATTATTTTATGGTTAAACTATCATTAAAAAAACCATCTTGATCATTGTAGTTTAGATGGCTTGTCACTGCTAACTACTGTTTGATCCATTAATGACCGTCCAAATAGATGAATTGATACCCTACTGCAAACGATTGACTAATTTCACTGATTTGATTGGTCGGTCCCATCAGAGTCCAGTAACAAATCTGTTTGTTCTCAAATTAGTATATATAAGCATAAACTTCTAACAAAATGATAATTTCGTGCATCCAAACACCAAACTGCTTTGAACCAAACCAAAACCCATTTTTTTAACATCCAATTACCCTAATCGCTGTATTTGCAAGAAGCAACGCAGTGACAAAATTAGGCTAAACCCCATTATGAATAATAGGTGTTATAATATGTTGAGAGAACCATCATTCATTCATACATGTGTACTTATAATCATTGGAGGGTAAATTATACTGAATCTATAGTTCATTAGATGGATTCATTCGAATTTAAAATTACAGACATGAATACATTATACCATTGAGTTGAAGTTCCTTTTTATTTGAAGGGGAACAATTTTGTATAGTTCATTTGACTGATTCGTTAGCTTTAATCTATAAGTTGAGAGAACTTGTTATGAGTTATCACTCTAATGGGAAATCCCCCTTTGTACATATGGTTGAGATAATTACTTTTGCTTTTATACAAAATTTGCGAAGTTTAGTGTTTCGGTTAAATGATTTTTTTGTAAAGCGGAAGTTTAGGTATTACCCAATGTCAAAGATATTTACGATATTCAGTATCTTATCACTAGCTTCGCTCGCATTACCGGGCATGAGTGGTTTTTTTGCCGAATTGATAATATTCTTTGGAATAATTACCGGACCAAAATATCTTTTAATATAAAAAATACTAATTACTTTCGTAATGACAGTTGGAATGATATATAATAGGCTAGCGAAGATATGACAAACAAATAAAGTAGCCCTATGTTCGGATCTGACAATACCATCCCATAATCAAAAGGTACAACGGCCCGAGCGACCAGACTTAACATAAATGCTTTTTGTAAAATATATCATTTCAAAAGTTAAGTGTCATATGCCGGTCTCAATTTGCTTCTCAAACCCTAGATTGAAACTCCGGATGCTCTATATCTGTGTTGCTAGTGACGATTATAAGGTACAATGCGATCATCATGCATTTCTTATACTTTGTAATAAAAGCATTGAGGCTTTAAAAAACTATATGAAAATTTATAGTTGTTTATCTTTTACGTCCATATTAATTAGTTCATACATAGGAGTTTAATGAAATTTGATAGAGAATGGTAGTAGGTTAGGTGACTGGTGTTTCAAAATTCTCAAGTCCCATTTCGACTAGGATTCACAACGGGAGCGAGCCCGGCCCAATTAGTCAGGCAAAAGCCCAGCCCGCGCAACCATGTTTTAACCAAAACAAAGAATCCAGCGTGCATGACAAAGACGTACGGTTGCAGGTGCATGCATTAATTAATTTGTGCAAATTGACACTTAATTAATCAATAAATTCCCCTGACAAAACGAAACACAAATCATGATCAATTATTTAAACGGTCAAACGATGGATCAGGAGAAAATTTAACATTATTTTTTTGGGGGGAGTTGATGGGAAAATTAAGCATAAACGTTAATTACGAATAATTAAAACGGCAGGAGTTCAGGGAAAGAGAGAGGGATAGGAGGAAGCATTCAAGCAAACTGCAAAAGTCATCCTGCTAATGATAGGAAATTACCGAAATAACAATAGTCAAACAACAAATTGCGAGAAAGAAAGGAAGGAATGGCTGTACGTTTGTTTGCTTTGACTTTTGCTGCGACAACAACACCCCCGTTTGTTACCCACAAAACAAAGAATATTCATTTTCTCAGAGCTTGTGAATTGTGATCCCTGTCTGTCGACCGAGTTTTTTTTGTCCCCAGCTGGGTACTACAGAGAATAATTCTCACTTTGAGGCAAGTTTCAGTAAATCGTATTGGAGGTTATACCGGAAAAATTGAGTGGTTGGGTATTTTATACTAAAATTGTGGTTTAATCTTGATTGGACCATTTTCTACTGCTAAAACCACCTACCATTTTGAGTTCGGTATCCGGTATTTACCGTCCGACCGGCCGGTACGGTAGGGTTTCCTAAACCTTGGTTCGAGGCAGTCCCTCCATTTACCTCATTCACGCTTCGAATATGAAAACATATGTCTGTTTGTTTGTTTTACAGACGTTGAACCACGCTGGATTTGATTTGTTTGACTATGTCGAAGAGAGGACTCGTGAAGTTGGAACTCTAACGAAAGTACTGAGTTTTAGAGCCAGAAATTTTATCAAGCATAACATAATTAGTATCCGTTGCTCGTAATCTCCTACTCCAACAACCCTTTTTTTTCTTATCGAGCAACAACTCTGCTTCGTTTCGTCGACCATCATGAGTAAATCTCCTGCACTCCAGCTCGGTAATATAGCTCTTGTCATGTTGTTAGCTCCGTCCACCGTGGAGTAACCACGAATATATCTAATTAAGGCAAGTCCAACATGTATTTCATATCGTGAAAAAAAATCTAAACAAACATGCATCATGCAAATTATGAAAGGATGTCACTCTTAAGGTATCCTACCGAAAAATCATTCGTGATTTAATCACTTATCTGATTCTTAGGTGTTTTTTTCGCATTGTTCATTGTAATAAATACTTTTTTCAACACTTGCAATGACAACTTGTAGCAACATATGCTACTAAGTTTTATGTTTGAATTTTTGTTTATATTAAACTAGGCTACAAATATATATCAATTAGAAGTTAAATATAGATCACAAAATGTTGTTTGTTAATAAAGTTGTTTACAATTATAGAAACATTTTGGGTCCATTTTTTTTTCTGTGGGTAATATTGTTTGGCCAGATTTGCTTTAGCAAAGTTCATAACCCATATCTTCACGTGTATCCCATCCCCTCATACATGCCGTACAGATATCGCGTAACATGTGTTGCCAATTATTCATTTGATTAATTATTAATTATTCCTGTGAGAAGGAGTTGGCATAAAGTGTATAACATGATCTTATTAATTATTAAGGTTTAAACTCGCACATTATTAATAATTATAGGTTTTGAGTGTTCGTTAATTAGTGCTCTGTTACGAAGAAAAAGAAGCAGCGTATCATATGATCATATTGTTGATAATGATGTCACATACACTATTCATGATTGAAACATTGTCCTAATTGTTGATGTCACATACACTATCCTTGATTGAAATATTGCTAAAAAAAATTACACACGTGTTTATCATTCTGCATTCCATGTCATTAATACATATCACATATGGTAGACACACTAGTTTCGATTCGAGTTAGACTGAACAAAGTTGAGCGCTTACCAGATAGACTGATTCGGGGGGTTCTAATTAGGATGATCAAAACTAACCAAACAAAATAATTCGTCAGCAGTATTAATAAAATATCAATCTACCCAATCAAGATGGATTTTTCGAACGAATCCACGGTAAACCCCAAATATATATAATACCTGGTGATTCTGCCATTGTGAGCAGATGATTCAAGACGCACAATCTCAATGGTGAAAGTGGGATTTTAGAGTTAGTTGAGAATGCAAATAACGAATTAAGATTACTGAATTTTTCGTGATTGTTTGAGAAACTCTAATTGTTCTTATCCTACACAAAGTAATCTCGTTATAAAATATAAATGGGCTATATAACCCATCTTTTAAACTACACATATCCATCGCACGAATTGGCTGATTCCCTCTAATAGATAATATTCTCTACAATAACAAAACTAAATTTTGATATTTTTTTTGGTTTAAAGCAAAATTTGATCTAGTGATGAAGAAGTACTTTAATTTACAATAACGAAAGTGTCGAGGATTAACGTTTAACCGAATAGTAATTCAAACATTCCAAACGAAGATTAACTACAACAGCTTCTAGCCACGAGGCAGCATTTTAGTTAAATTGATCGGGTTGCTACCAATTTGGTCATTGAATTGATTTTATTTGTTCATTGGCCGATTGGATCCATTTATAAACCGATAAAATGCAAACAGAAAAAAACAATTAACAGAGAAGCTAGTTTACGCGTCAGCATGACGGAGTTTTTTTTGGCGGGATGGGGTTGAGTCTCAACGAGGGTTCATTTTCCTGGCCAACCGGATGCAAACTGGACCCAGAAAACGAAACGAGAAGCGTATCTTTCTCGAAAGGACAGTGGGTCCCACTCTCTGGGTTTGGGATATTGGTTCGGCCGGTCATCCTTGACCTTGACCGCCATCACTGGGTTGATTTCGACGGGTTTTCTATTTTTTTTATTTAGAGTTTAATATTCCTGGAATTTAATTGGGTTTTGGAGCATTTTTTCATCAAAGGTAAAAATGTGATCCGACCAAAAAAAAAAAAAAAGTAAAAATGTGATGGGAATTTTGGCTTCGATTTTGGAAGCTAAGCTACTAAATTTATATAAGTTTCTTGTGGGTTTTACATGTCAAAATCTGTGCAAAACTTGGAAAAATGGATGGGTATGTTAACTCCCGCATTTTTTAATCACTATTGAATACTCCCGCTTAAAATTGATATTTTATACATTTTCTTGATAATTATGAGATTGTTTAATGCAATTTTTAACTACTTCGCGAAAAATGAGGATAGACCGTGTTTGTACCAATAATACTAGGTCTACAACTACCGGTAAATAAACCAACGGTAACTAGTGCTAATGTAAAAGGAAAAAAATATCATATCTCTTACTCTCGTTAGTAGTAACGAAAAGAATACAATATCAACATTCATTACATCGAGATATCACTCTAACTTTACAATTGTGACTTCCACTTCTAATTCTAAACATTAAGCACCGAGTTTTCCATTTAGCTTGATGGTTATAGAATAATAGAACTATGATATTTGTAATCGGATTCACATTTGTAATATTTTTGTTCTGCTTATCTGCGCACAAAGAAAAAAGCTAGTCGTTAAAAGGGCCCGCCTCTCCTCCATGGTTTCCTGGAAATTTCCGTCGCCTCTCTCTCTCTAGCTCACCAGAACCATTAGAAAAGTCTCGAACTTTGTGCTCCGACAGAGAAACCAACATTGTTTTTTGGCCAGGGTAGAAACCAAAGTCTCCCAATTTCGCTAATCCCCTCACTTTGGGTTTAATGATCATAATAATCCAACCAGACCATTCTTCCTCTTTGGGAACACCCACCATATTTTTCCTTTCCTTTCTCCCCAACTCTTCTCTGCAACTGCAAAAGTTGCAAACTTCATTTCCCTCTCAGTCTGGATTGGGCCAAACTGGGCTGCTCTCTGATTCTTCTGGGCTGCCGGTTTTCTCTGCCGGGTACTGAAACCGTGAACTTCTGTTCCCAGCCTCAAAGAATTGATGTCTAATGTTTGAAGAACTCGCCAGAGCCCACAGATGTAAGTCTAATCTAATTGCAGTTCTGTGGGGGGAGGTTTTCGTGGTTGTTAAAAATGGTGTTTTTGATGTTCTTCACTCTTGCAAAACTTCTACTTCACCCCTTTTGTTATGCTCGAGTGGGAGTTTTTGAGATCCAATTGGTTGCTTTCCCCTCCTTATTTCTTGTTCTCTACATTGCAAAAGGTTTGGAATTTGGATGAAACTGCATCGTGCTGATGAGGAAAGGTCGCCTGTGTTCTTTTCCTCTTCAGGGGGCTTTTGCAGGAATTATTGTATGGTGATTTGTCTATGAGGAAGACTGTTTGTTGAATCTAATTGGGGGTTTTCCCATTTGAAGAAATTTGCTGCTTTCGGTTATGAGCTATTCACAAGACAAGTTTGTTAGGTAAAGTTTGATACTTTTCCTTTTTCTAGCAGTTTCTTAGGCTGTAGATGTTTTGTGGCATTTGATGGGTTATGATGATGGATGATGGATTGTTCAGGTTTCAAGATTGGAGATCAGAGAAAGTTCCGGAATCGGATTATTCGCCCCGGGATGGGTACCGTGGAAGAGTTAGCATGAAGATAAGCTCATTCTCTGATAAGTTCAGGAGAAGATTGGAGTCTGGTTCAGAGAGCATCAGTAGGATTAGACAGACCTTGAAATCATACTCCTTTAACAATGGTAGTTCGTCGGACGGCTCTAGTTCTAGAAAGAAGGTCCTTGATCCACAGGGAGCTTTCCTACAGAAATGGAACAAGATATTTGTGCTGTCATGTTTCCTTGCTATCTCCCTGGACCCTTTGTTCTTCTATGTCCCGGTGATCGACAATGATAAGCACTGCCTTAAATTGGACAACAAGATGCAGATAACAGCGAGCGTGCTGCGTTCTTTCACGGATATATTCTACATACTTCACATTGTCTTCCAGTTTCATACTGGCTTCATTGCACCTTCCTCCCGGGTTTTTGGAAGAGGTGTTTTGGTTAAGGACAGTTGGGCCATCGCGAAGAGGTATATGCTTTCGTACTTCTTGATCGACGTTCTTGCCTTGCTGCCATTGCCACAGGTGAGTCGAAAGAGAAACTTCTACCGTAGTGAACCAGTTCCCTTAATGCAATTCCTGAATGTGAATGTATGTTGCTGAAATTGTGCTTGCTTCTTTCTTGTGTTACAGATGGTGATTCTAATAATCACTCCCAGGCTGCACGGATCGAGAACTCTTAATACTAAAAACTTGTTGAAGTTTGTTGTAATCCTCCAGTATCTGCCTAGGATCATGCGAATTTATCCGTTGTACAAGGAAGTTACACGAACCTCTGGCATACTCACTGAAACGGCATGGGCTGGAGCTGCATTTAACCTCTTCCTTTACATGCTTGCTAGTCATGTAAGCTCCAGTGATCAATTTCCAAATTTGCAACTTTACTTTGGTTCCATCCAGTCTTTTTTGGTCTAACCTACAGTGTTTATTCTTCAGGTGCTTGGAGCATTTTGGTACTTGTTCTCCGTGGAAAGACTAACAGTCTGCTGGAAGAAAGCTTGTGATGCTAACTCGTGTGACCGGGTCACGCTGTACTGTGATGGTCCTCGTGGCAATCTGACATTCTTGAACACTTCTTGTCCCGTCAATCCTGAGAATGCAGATGTGTTCAATTTCGGAATATTCCTCGATGCCCTCCAGTCTGGTGTTGTGGCATCTCACGATTTCCCCAAGAAGTTATTCTACTGTTTTTGGTGGGGGCTTCGCAATCTCAGGTAAGCAAATTATCAGTCATTGATCATAGTTCATTTCACCCCATAGCCTGCTTTATGTGGCATGTGTTTTTTCAATTGGCAGTTCTCTTGGTCAGAACCTCGCGACGAGCACATTTGTCTGGGAAATTTGTTTCTCGGTTGCGATTTCGATCTTTGGATTGGTGTTGTTTTCTTTCCTCATTGGGAATATGCAGGTTGGTAACAGAACTCGGATAATTACTTTTCAAAACGCTTGTAGTTCTTTTATTGTTTCTTATGGACTAGAATCGCCATTGCCATGTGTTTGAAACAGACTTACTTGCAATCTACGACAACTAGATTGGAGGAAATGAGAGTGAAGAGGCGAGATGCAGAGCAATGGATGTCCCATCGTATGCTCCCGGACAATTTACGTGAGCGAATCAGGCGCCACGAGCAGTACAAGTGGCAAGAAACCAGAGGAGTCGACGAAGAGAACCTCGTCCACACTCTTCCAAAGGACATTAGAAGGGACATTAAGCGCCATCTCTGCTTGGCACTCCTAATGAGAGTAAGTTCTTACCTTCGTAAATTCAAGAAGGACAGCGTCTTCATATTCTGATCATCTTTTCGCTTTATGTCGAATGTGTATAGGTGCCAATGTTTGAGAAGATGGACGACCAGCTTCTCGACGCATTGTGTGACCGCCTCAAGCCAGCGCTCTACACGGAGGAGAGCTACATTGTCCGCGAGGGAGACCCTGTCGACGAGATGCTGTTCATCATGAGGGGTAAACTTCTCACCATGACAACAAACGGCGGAAGGACGGGCTTCTTCAACTCGGAGTACCTCAAAGCTGGCGATTTCTGCGGCGAGGAGCTCCTCACGTGGGCCCTCGACCCGCACACCTCGTCGAACCTACCCATCTCCACGAGAACCGTTCGTACCATCACGGAGGTGGAAGCTTTCGCACTGACCGCCGAAGACTTGAAGTTCGTGGCCTCCCAGTTCCGTCGCCTGCACAGCAAGCAGCTTCGCCACACGTTCAGGTTCTACTCGCAGCAGTGGAGGACGTGGGCCGCCTGCTTCATCCAAGCGGCTTGGCGAAGGTACAGCAAGAAGAAGCTCGAAGAGGCGCTGAGGCAGGAAGAGGACAGGTTGCAGGACGCGCTGGCCAAGGCGGGTGGGAACTCTCCTAGCCTCGGCGCTACCATCTACGCGTCGAGATTCGCCGCCAATGCCCTGAGGCTGCTTAGACGAAACTCGACTCGTAAGGCTAGGATCACCGAGAGGCTCCCGCCCATGATGCTGCAGAAGCCGGCGGAGCCTGATTTTACTGCTGATGAACGGTAGCTTGGGGAAGGGGGAAGTAACCTGTTGAGAATTCTTTTTTTTGGGGTTTTGGAGTAGTGTTCAGTCAATCAACATTCAACAACAGAAAGTACGAGGGATGATTGTTTCTTATAAGTTAAGGTTGAGTTGATTGTTTCTTGTAACCTGTACAATATTAATGTATATGAGAAATTTTCAAATGGGGTTTGTTTCTTTCTTCCTGAAGTACTCGATTAAGCCTTTCAAGCTTCAACTTTCTTAAACAACGAGTCGGCCGCCATTGTAGAGTACAGAGTGCTGTTACTACTTCTTGCAAACCCATTTTCTTGTTTTATCCATATAGTTTTCGCTTCCCGGCCCTAACAGAGTCAAGCCACTGAGCTTTCGCGACTTTACACATTCAAAAATTCATTGAACACAACTGAACAGAGAGCAACAATTTCACAGAAGTTTTGATTGCGTGTAAAACAGCCAATGAAAACATGATCAAAAACCAAATACACAATGCTGAAAATAGCTAAGACAATCCAGGATATTACAATCAATCATCAGTGATAAATAGGCGTATGCGTCGGTAAGAATAGAGTTATTATTACAGTCGTCAAATACCAATAATGAGGTGAAACTGGCGCAAGCAACGCGATAAGACACGATGCAACAACGAGTGTGGCATCACATTCACATCCGCTCCCCTCGGACAAGGAAAGGAACTGTGGCGCCTCGAAGCAGGCTCACCTCCCTTTTCAAGAAGTTGGGCAGTGCAAAGGCAGCTCTGTGCATCTGATTTCCAAAACAAAAACTTTAATCTTAGCACTTCCACATGTCTGTATGTATGCTTCGAGTGACATACAACACAGTAGAAAACATGAACAAACACCGGCAGGTAGCTTACCTCGGAGTTGTAGAACCTAAGTTCCCTCTTGTGCTTCCCTGCTCCGTCCACCTCCTCAATCGGGTTGACAGGGTTCAAAAAATCCACAGCAGGGCCCTCCGTGGAGCACAACACGAAACCAATCACCCCACTGCAATTCGCAGATTCGAGAGCAGCAGCAACGATCAAAACTAAAGCACTTTCCTAGCCAAAGAAGACATGGCAAAGGAAAAGAGAATCTCGTGTGATGGCATTTACCTTGGGTACGTTGGCACGCTGGCCCAGGCATAGCGAACTGAGCCCTTGAAAGTCTCGCGACAGATGGAGATCATGTCCTCGATGAGATGCGTGTGGAGCCACATGCTCTCAGCCATGTTGCAGAGGACTCCGCCGGGCCTCAGTGCTCTTGCTATGGTCTCGAAGAATGGCTTCTCGACGAGCTCTTGAGCAGGGCCTGAGATGAGAAATAGAACAGTTGAGTCAAACTTGACATCATGCAATCAACCATCAAACAGAAAGTATCAGGGAAGAACATTTTAGCATCTAATGCCCGGTAAATGTACATTTATTGACTGTTAAGGACTTTGAATTTGCAGAATTGCAGACTTCAAATACTATAGAGCATACATACCTACAGGGTCCGAAGAATCAACAATGATTGCATCATACTTCCCTTCAGGAGTACGCTGGAGGAATTCAACAGCTGATTAAGATCAAAGAAGTCGTTTTATCAGTCGATACCGAGAATTGTGCATTGAATGTACCAGAGACAATGTCTAGCAAGATGGGGGATAAAAGTGAGAGCATACCATCACCAACGTGGAGATGAACACGCGGGTCCTCAAATCCAATGGATAATTCAGGAAAGAACTTCTTACTTACCTAGAATATCAGCAACACTGCACTGTGAGAAAAAAATGACTGCAGGCAGAGTCTAAAATCACATAAACAAGGAGTGGCACTTACATCTATGACCATCTTATCTATTTCACATATGTCGATGGTCTCCACTGAAGTGTGACGAGAGATCTCCCTGAGGACACCTCCATCGCCACCGCCAACTACAAGGACCTGTAACAATACTCCGCTTTATCAGGACAAACAATCTGGAAAATAAAAGTGAAAGTGTGAAGCTCCAAATCCAAAACTCACAGCTTTCGGGGATGGAATTGAGCAGAGTGGGAGATGTGCTATCATTTCCTGGTATGCACATTCGTCTTTCTCGGTCAACTGAACGATGCCATCAAGAACAAGAACTTTTCCATACGATGATGACTGTCATACGATGGGGGTTGAGATAGTGAGAAACTCTCATTAAAAGACATTAGTGGCACAACCAAAAGCATATGCAGAGAAGTGAAGGATGGCAACCTGAAAGACCAAAACCTCCTGGTAGTCTGACTTTCCCTCATACAAAATTTCCTCCACTTCCAGTGAGTGTGCTTCTCCTGCATACATTGAGAAACTGATCAATCAACTAAAGAGGACGGGAAACGAAACCAATCGGCAACTAGAGGATGCTGTAAACGGCGAGACAACTAACGGCAAGAAATAAACCGGTTGCTTCCTAAGATATGTACAATGACCAAATTCCTTGAATACTTTACAGGAGAATAGGACTAATGCCATTGTTTGAAGGTTTTCTGCCGATATGGAGATTGGAGACATTTATAAATCATCTCCAAGTCAGTTAGGGCTGCGAAATGATTAAAAGGCAAGACTCAAGGGGGCTTTATACTGAATTTTGCACGTGTACATCATGCCATATGCTTAAATCAACCTTCAATATTAGGGATCATCACAACTTAACATGATACACGAAATCATCTGGAACTTGAAAACCAATTCATGCCAATAAATCAAGTTATTCTGAGGGGGATCAAAAGTGAATCTTAAACCTTTCACTGAAAAATCAGTTCAAGGTCCTAACCAAAAAAATCACTTACCAGGCCACATAGGGTTGTTAAAGTAAACAACCTTTCTCCCAGCTTTGCCTGTGAACAAAAATGACAACAAAAGGAAAGTTATCACTTATCAGTAACCATTTCTCACCAGATCAGCCAGCTGATCAGAAGGTGGAAGAAGAAGAGGAAATCAAAGGATATCGACCAGAGCAGGATTGAGATTCCGAGAACCACCCAGAAACAACGGTAGAGTGGCATTTCGCATCAAGCTCAGCAGCTGATGAAGAAGCCCTGGCCTTTAGACAACAAGCAGGGATAGTAGTGATGGGTTTCACTGAACCATTATGGCCATTACTCTCCTTCCCATCCATAATCTTCTGGCATCCCAAATCTCTTCCTGCGTCTCCCTCCATAGATTATCTTCTTCTTATCCGGCTCCAGCCTCTGCACAAACAACCCATCAATCGTTTCACATTTGGGATTCACCCAAATCACCAAAATCTCAAAACTTGCGGGAAAATGAGTCCAACTCTCGTAGCTCCACAGCAAATAGTTGGTTCCAAATCAATCAAACCATTAACGTCACATTCAATCAGAAGCCAAAAACACAAAAACCCATTTCTCTGCAATGATCATAGAAAACATCATATGCTAATCACACAGTTCTGCATGCCAAAAGTTCAGCTCAATAGAGTACATCAATCAACGTGGCCATCATCACCATTTTGAATGATTCCCACTCCAAACAACATAACCCAGAACAACAGAACGGAACTTTCAAGTGAGAAAACCTGTGAACAGAATTTAAAAAAAAAAAAGGGAGGAAATCCCAATTTACCTAACTGGGTAATTTACCGGAAAAATGGCGCGACGAACAAATAAAAAAGTTCCCCAATAAAAAAAAAAACCCCTCGCTCTCGCCGGTTTCAGCCAGAGATTGTTGGTTGAGAAAAAAAAGAGAGAAGCCAGTAGAACACAAACCGCTGAGGGGGAGAGGAGAGGAAAACGGAAACCAATACGCAGCCAAGTTTCAAACAAATGATTAAATAATCCGACGGATTCTGCGGCGAAAATTACAGTTAAGTGCACGCAAGAGGCCAAAAATAACATGAAAAAAATATAATGTAGCGAGCGGGAAACAGGGGGAGAGATTAAAGAAGAGAAAGAAAAGGAAGGGTTCTAGCGAGGCTTGCCCGGCGGGAAATGTGTGAAGGGGAGAAGATTGGCGATATGCTGCCGGCCGGAAAACGTCCTGTGGCGGTGTAAATGTTGTCGGCGGCGGAAAGATGAAGAGGAGCGGTTTCTTTCTTGGCTGGGGTTTTTGGGATTTCTCTCCTCCTCTTTATACTTTCTCCATTCCTTAATAAGTGATGCAACTCTATTCCCTTTTTATAGCGAAATTAATTTGATGAGGCTTGAACCAAAAGGGAAGTGATTAATTTAATTGATCTCGATTTAAAGTTTTAATTAAGGTGGATGCTTATATTGTTTTAGTTCGTATAAATTTTAAGGGGCAAAAGAAAAATTATGACATAAAAAAAAAGAGACAATAGATAAATTAGGTATTTTTATTAAAATTTCTTAAAATATGATGTTATCTCAACGGCATAAATCTACCTTTTTTTTTACTCCACATGTTAGGTGCTCTTGAGTCTTGAGTCGTTTAATTTGGTTGCACAACATAGAATTGGCATTGCATGTACCGCTTTCTTCTTTAGTTAATTGCACCGTCTACGTGCTACTATGCTATGTTAGTCTCGACATGATTCGTGAAATACTTTAGCACGTGAAGATGTTTTTACTATGGACCAATAGTTTAATTTTGGTCTAATTTTCCGAATTAAAAAAAAAACAAATGGTTGAAGTGAAGGGCTAAACGTCCAAAGTAATTTTTCTCACGCAAAAGTATTCCTTCCAAACTCAACCTACCTCTTTTATGTTACTTCTAGTTTAGTATTTGGGTTTGGAGCATCATATGTGATAAAATTTTAAAAAAAAAAATCAGGGACTAAAAGTTAACTTTATTCGCCAATTTCATTTTCCATAACTTGGCCAATTTCAATTTCATTTGATGCTATACATACACGTGTCCGCAGTTTATCCCACATGTGGTATAGGTATACTTTTCTTTATTTTTGTGGAATGCTTCCTTTAATATTGGTGTATTCTTCTTCTCACACAAAGGTGCAAATCTGATTGGATTTCAAGGAATCTCTTTTTCTTCGGGAAAAAAAATTATTTCGTTCAGAAAAAAAAAAATAAAGGGATAACATCACTTTACGTTCCTACATTTTTCATCAAAAAGATATTATAAATTAACAAACGTATTTTCTATGTTTAGTAAAATAACATTGTCCTCTTCATCAACAACGCGACTGTAACTTTATCTGAATGCAGGAATTGGAAATCCGAGCGTTCACCACGAACATCATATAGTACCATGAAGGTGCGATTTCAGCCGTCGACGGTCCAATAACCGTCACAGTATATACACATCCAACGCCTTCAGTATCACATCAACAATTCTCAACAAGACTATCCTCTGATCCATGGCGAAGGAGTGGGTCGTGAAGGACAGTGCCACGATCCTAACCGACACCGCCTTCCGAGCCAAGTACCGAGTCACACAAAAACTCACAGCTACTTAAATTAGGTATATGTATCTCTCTAATCTCATTTCTCAACTACTATGAAAATAATGGAGAATCTTGTTAGGAGTTTCAAAGTTTGTACCTAAAAAATTCACCTGAACATCTAGCTAATTACCCTTTTGTTGTGGATAGGCAAAACTGGACAGGAAATTTTCAGTTGACTATATATAATTGGATGGACTTTTATTTGGTGGGTGGTAAGTCTTCCATTTAGGTTATTTTTCAATAAATATGACTCTTCTATTTAGTTTAAAATTGACATAAAAACTCTTTATCAATGAAGTTAAAATTGCAATTCTGTATAATAGCGTTGTGGTGACCTAGAAATATAATAACGCAAGTTTTTAAAATGTAAAGCGTAGAGTTTGACTACACTTATAAGGGAAAACCACGATTCTTTATAGAAGCGTTTTGGTGACCTAAAAATATAAAAGCGAGATTTTGATTACTTCCGGTATACTCATTTTCGGCCACGTGACTCTTTTGTGTTTGGTTGTTTTCTCGATAAAAATAGCGAACTTTTGAAAGAAAAGAAAAAAAATGCATCCCACATAGTTCATTGTCTGTCCACGTGATTATGCTTTTTTTTTTGTCATCCGTGATTATGTTTCGTATGAGGTGGTGTAACAACTAACAACTACATCTAACATGGCTATTCATTCAATTAGCAATATCTTCATATATATGTAGTCCATTAATATTTTGTCAAGTCGCAATCTAATGACTATCAAAGAGAACACAAGTACACAAAGATTCAGTAAGTAGGCCAGCCAAATTCAAAAAAGTAGACAAGCATCATGGTGGGAGGAATTGGAAAATCGATAGGTGATATCAAGCAATAGCTTAGGTTTGGTGGTTGACTGTTGATTAAATGAACGATGCTGAGTAGTCCAAAATAGCAATATTGTAGGCTATGTCTAGGTTCTTCTAATTCTATTATTGTTGTATTATACGACAACGGTAGAAAATTCGAATAATATTATGCAAGGTCGAAGAAGGCGTTAGCTAAGTGTTGGGGCCCTGCCTAGTATCTAGCAATTTAAGCGGTATATATAGGTGTCTTCTCAAAAAAAAATGGAGGGTTTTTAGTAGAAATAGCAATTTTGTAGCGTGTTTCTACTTAAGTAATTTAGCTCGTCCCCAATAATAACCAAAATATGTCATGATTTCCTAGAATCATAACTTTATAGAAATTGTGGGTTGTGCCTGATATGCAGTCGAGCATGGTGAAGAGAAGGCAGAAAACGTCGGGTCAACTAGAGCTGGACAATAACTGGAGAAATTTTTGGGTCAAGAAGTACACTTGCCTCACTTCGATTATTCTTGCCTAACTTTGTCTAGGCGCGCGCCGGCTAGGTGTTATGAATACCTCATTATTTGTCTAGAGTCTAGACGGAACTTTTTTGTCACACCTTCTTGAACACTGGTATTATAAGGTAGTCGAGAACAAATACATGATGATTTGATCGTTGAATTTACTATTTTTGGAGCTTCCTATGCAAAATAAAATATAATATGAATAATTTAGTTATTACCCTGAAAAAAACAAATACCTGATTTCCGCTACTATTGTATCATGAGATTCGTCCAAACAATTCATTTCTCTTAAAACAAGCGAAACTACCTCACCTCCCACAAAATAAATATATCTCATTTCTTTTCTTAAAGGGTTTGTTAGATGAAATCGTGATTGGGAAGCGGGGAAAAACGGAAGCCAGAGATTAGGTGGCAATTAATTAAAGCTTAATCATGATCATGATCATCATCAATCATACCCGTGGCTGACCCGCTAATCAAAACTTATGCCAACACTCTAAACACACTTGTGAAATGGTCAGTCTAATCAACTAATCATCAACACCGTAAGCTGCCTAATTACCCGAGATTGACCGCCAGGCGCCAACTGCTGATGATGGAGATTGAACGGGCCGGGTCGGGTCTATATAGTCCGGTTACTTGGTTGGTTGATCCAATCATTCTAGAAAGTAGAAAATGGCCGCTTATGAGTAGGGGTCTCCATTCGGGTTCGGGTTTTTTGAGTTCGAGTTCGGTTTTGCTTATCGGTTTTTCGGGTTCCGGCTAAAACTTTCAATGAATAGAACTCAGCACATATTTTTTTAGGCGTTCGGGTTTTCGGGTTCGGTTTTGCTTTAACCGAACCTGAACCCAATAAGGAATTTTCGGGTTTCGGCTAACCGGAACGCGCAAGTCCTTCTCGGGTTCGAGTTCGATTTTAGTGATTTTTGGTTTCGGGTTTTCAGGTTTTTTCGGGTTTTGGTTTGGGTAACCGAAACCGACCCGAACTGACACCCCTAATTATGAGCTTATTACCTCTAACGATTCGTCTTTTCATCAGAATGAACACTAGCTAGTCACCTCATCACGTTCATATAGTTAATGATTTCAGTTCAAATAAATTCTAAAAATGTGAAGTTATTGAAAGTGAAGAAGAGGAAGAGAAGAGAATGACTAGTCATGGACCGATTTCAGAATACACGAATCATAAAAACAAAAAACAAAACTCTCAAAAGGTGACAAGAAAGAAAGAGAAGAAGAGGAAGAGTGGCTAATTAGATGGCGTGAGTGGTGAACAGTAATACGCGTGAAAACATACCTCACTTAACATTACTCATTTGATTTGACAGGTTACGAAACATGCAGTTATTTTTTCGTCGTCGAGAAAGAACCAACCCTCTAACACAGGATCAATCATCCAACCCCCAACGTGTACCATTTCACTTTTGTTTTAGTCACCAAACGTCCAAATCTCCAAAGTTTTGAGAAGAGAAAATATGATGGGGGGACTGGGCAGTGGGTGGGAGCCATACACCTACACATGAAACATGCCTCGCTAGCTCCTTTTATGGTCACCGACGACAATTTTTGAATTTCTTCCTTTGACGTTGATATCCAGAAAATACGATAACGAATGGAGGAAAGCAAAAGGTGGCCAGAGGAATTTCGAAAGGAGGCGACGATGTTTTTGATCTGACAAGATAAATGCTCCAATCCGAAAATGTGTTAAAGGTGAGAGGTACATTGTCGAGAAAAAAGGAATCCAGCATCGACGTGTTTTGGCTGGGCCTTGGGGCCCCAATTTGTTGTATCTTTAGTCGGGCCGGACCAGAAAACTAAAAAGCCCACGCTTCGACTTATTGGAACTAGTATGCCGTTCCGTTTTTCAGCGAGTCCATGTGTCCAAATGGTATGTTCATCACAAAGAGTCAAAGACGAATGGGCCTAGGCCACGGGTAAGTCCTCGTTCAGTCGTCCGCCGTTTCTATAGTAAATACTCCGTTTAATACACGTATATGTACCCGTATATACTTTATTTCGTATTCATATTATTGTCAAGCCGTTTTATTTGTTTCCGTTCATTTGACAACTCCGGTACTAAACACGTATAAAACTCGTATTACACGTTTAGGTGACTACTTCGGTGCACTCACTAAAATGAGTGCGTTCAATGCACCCAACTCAAAAACTAGTCTTAAGGTGTCGAATTTTGAATTTTAATTTGTAGAATTAGTGTAATATGATGATATAACATATGATAAGAACTAATTAGAGGATTACCCTAAGCCCTAGACCTCCAATTTTGAGTTCTATCCCTAAACCCCAAATTGTAAACCCTAACCCTAATCCTAAATCTCTAAACTCTATATCCTTCAAATTAAAGTAAATCTTTAATGGTTTTTGTGCAAATTCATGTGCGTTATTGTTCATCACATCATAAGTGATGATTGACATCATTTTGACATAAATCGCATGTTTAAAATAACAGTTATGGAGCGAGTGCACTGAATGCACCCAAAAAAGTGAGTGCACCGAAGACGCCACCTACACGTCTATGTGATAAGTTCGTGAAGTATTGTCTAGTAGGATATGTAGATTTTTTTTTAACAGTGCAGACACATAGTTTATTTATATTATTTTTTCAAAATATGAATTTTAATTTATTATTTTAAAAAAAATTTATACAAATTATATAAGTATTATACAAGTATGATATTTCTAATATACAAATTATTTAATTTATTATATAATTAAATTTAATTTTTAAAGAGGACACTCCTGTGAAAATTTTCTGAATCCGCCAGCATATCAATATAAATATACAATTTTCCTAAACAAGAGATTCGATATAAATATTCATGAAGAACAACAGCAATATGTATACATAGTACATCACCTATCGTTGTGTTAGAAACTTGGTTGAATCTGGTCGAATCGATATGGAGTTGACCAGATCCAAATAGGTTTTGATCCAATCGTATTTCCTTCCAATTTCCACTTCTCCATAAAACCAATTGGTTGCAAACCCAGTTAAAAAAAAAGTTAGCTCCCTCTCGAAGCCAAAATCGATCAGACAACAAAATAACCAACCGATATTCCCGCGGTTCGACTCCCCTCACTCGCCCTGGACACGGACCCGTCCCGCTCTAGTACTGTCAGCACCACGTGCGGGACGGGCAGCGTGTTGGCCCGGCATATCGGGCAGTTCGGGTGCGAGAGAAGCCACCTGTCGATGCACGCCACGTGGAACACGTGGGAGCAAACGGGCAGCGCCCTGACCGGTTCCCCTTCGCTGAAATCCGACAAGCAAACCGAACACGTGGTACTCGCCTTCAGGCTCTGCTCTTTGCTGTACTTCACCACCGGAATCAACGCCGCCGACGAGTTACTGCTGGTGCTCCGGCCGTCGACGTTCTCCTCTTCCCTCGCCGCAGCGGAATCGGGCGAGTGCATTTGGTAGCAGCCGACGACAATGCAGTGGTAGGTCGCCACGACAATTGCTCCGGCGAGCATCCCGAGGATTCCGATCATGAACGGGATGACTTCCGCCTGCTGGTGGTGGTCTCCTCCGGCCATCGTATACTTTGGGAGGTAAAAAGTGAAACTGAGCGACTTATAGAGATGTTGGAATTGAGAAACATAAATCTGCCGGCGGTGGCGTTTCCGGCGTCACTTTTATAGCGAGCAGTTTTTACAAATTGTTGGTTTCTCGTTTCTCTTTCCCTCTTGGGGGAAAGTGGATTATTTATGTATGTGTTGGGAATGTGAAGACGAGAAAGAATTCAACATAAGAAACAAATTAGACATCCAAAATGGTGCGCGGGTAAATTACTAATTTCGATTTAACCTCCTAATTGTGATTTATGGATAACGTAGTTTAGTTGAATCAAGGGTGGAAAAAGGCAAGATGCATCCATGTTACAAGTCAAAAAAGTGTCCCCCATTGACATTTTTGTGTTTTTTTCTTTCTTACCCTAAACGGATTTTTCGAGTTTTAGACGCAATTGACATTTTTGTGTTTTTTTCTTTCTTACTCTAAATGGATTTTTCGAGTTTTAAACACGGTAACCAAATAATGTCATAAATCAATTGGTTTGAATAACTCGAGTTGTTGAGAAAGATTTATGTATGATATTTAAGCGTTTTCTTACACGCCTCCTCAAATGAAAGTCGATTCAAGAGGTTGAAGTTTGCACAGATCTCCTCATACCATGTGCTTTAATACAATAGTTAATATTGGAGAGAGAGAGGTTTATGTAACCGTACTTAACCACGATTCTTACAAATGTGTTAGATTCACGCGATTTTGGGCTCAGCCCACAAACACAACACGGAAAGGCCCACGTTAAAATGAAAGATCGAAAACAGTTAAACCCAAACAAGAGTCATTATTCAGTAATTAATGACTTATTCAATCTAAAAAAGTTCCAATTAATCCTCGAAACCTAAACATAAACCTCAACAGGAGGAAGGATATCTTGGTAAATTTCGACTGTTCTCGTAGTCTTCTAGATCGAAGCTCTAGAAATCGTAGCAGCGGCCGTTCCGCTCCCAATCGCCGTACCGAGTCGGCTCGGGACCTCTGGGCCCGCCGATCTCGCCCGTATCTTCGTTCAGGTCAAGCTCGTCGCCATCTCCACCCTCTTCTCCTTCTTCCTCTGCCTTCTTCTCGCTCTCAGGCTCCGGATTCGGATTCCGCTTGCTCGGCGGCTCTTCCTCCTGCTGCTTGGATTGCTGGGTCTTCGTCGTTGTCGAGCTCACGAGTCTGCGGAGGGAGCTAATCGCCGGATCGGATCTGGTTACGGACGCGGCAGGGATTGCTGGGGAGAAGGAGGAGGAGGAGGATAAGTTGGAGAATAAGCGGCCGAGATTACTTCTCGCCATTGTCGCCTGATTTATTGAAACTGAAACCCTAAAAGCCCTGAAAATTTCTTCGCCTTTGGATTGAATGGAGATTGAAGAGGGAGAGGATATATTTTGGTAGCTGTGACAATGCCACGTGCGCAGTAGTGAGCTTGCCAACGCGACTGAGAGAGATGTCTATCTGGGCCGCACTTGTCGAGCAAAATAGGTCCATGAGATTGATGGGTCGGCCCAAGTACTTTTTCTTCACAAAGGGGGTTATTTAGGATTTAGGATTGGGCTCTTCTGTAGCCTTGTCGAGTTTATTAGTACAAAATTAACATATCATATTTGACCGGCAAACGGTTCTTTCAGAATTAACCATTTTTAAAATAAAACATCTAACAAATTCACAGCCTTTATACGTTGGCTAGTAAGGCAAATATTCTAGTAAAACATAATAGAGTGACACAGTTTGGGGAAAAATAGAGGAGAAAATTTTACTATGAGTAAGAGATTATCATGTAATGATCTCTTAACCCATGAATTACTTCGAGACTCCAAGGAAGACAAACAAACTGCAGGTCGAGTCATTAGGCCCATATCTTTTGGAAGTTTGGGCCACCAGCCCACAAGCTAGTTATATATATTTCTATATTGGGAGCAGATTCCGTCGATAACTCATTTGGTAATAACAATTCGTAACCACCATCAACAATCGTACATGTGATAGATTTAATTTTTCTCTCTGTTAATTTTTTGGATGATCGCATGCTTTATTCCATACGAGAATGTGAGTTGTATTAGGTTATAACACAAAAGTGTTGTTATACAATCATAGTATAACAAAATCTACACGTACTAATCATACTTTAATAGTAATAATAATAAAGAATAAAACTATAAAAATCACTTAATAACACTTGTGATATGAAAAATAGAGACAAAAGTTATATAAAAAAAATATGTGAGTTAGGTCAGAAATTATCCACCCTACTTTAACTTGATAATAATACATTGATCCGGACAAATGTTTATATCGACGTCATTTCAACCAAAATCTCGAATCGACAAAGATATTGAATCCTTGACAAGTTCGTATTGGGCTCCAGGTGGTCAAAACTGGAGCCCAGTTCGCTCGCAATAAGCGACCACCCAGCTGTCCACAAATAATGAGAGAAAAATAATCAAAACAATAAAGGACAACGGGACAAATGATCGGATAGGTGATGCTCGTCAATGGCGGATACACTCAGACAGACAGAGACCACTTGAAAGAGTAAAGTTTCAGAGATAACAAAGAAAGAAATGGGCGGAGAAGGGCAGCTTCTGAGGAGAATTCCACGAATCAAGTTCCCCAAAAGACACTCTTCCTCAGGTAACTGTCACGCATCCCAGTTTCTCCATGCCATGATCTTCAATTTCAGTGGCCCATATCAGGGAAAGAACATAGGGAGCTTAAATCTATATTGATTTATCAGCGAAGGTTCTACCAGAAGCAATGGTTGTTTAGTTTGCGGAATTACATCCCGCGATGATGCTTTTGCAGTGGCAATCGGTTTGGTAGATATCTGTAAAGTTCGAATCTTTGAGCTAAATTGAGACCATGGCTGGGTTATATCTGTAAAGTTTGGATCTTTTTTTTTGGTACAGTAAAATTAGGGGGTTTAGGTAGCGAATGATTGATTGTTTTCTGTGGAGGGAATCTGTAGGCTCTCAGGAGGGTCGAGAAATAGCAACAGGAGTAGGAGAAAAGTACCAGTTTCCTACCCAGGCTTCTGGGTCAGATGTTCTGCCATCAACATCCGACGCTGCTGATGTTGGAGGGAAAGCTTCTCTTCAGCCTAGGCGAACCCCGGTCACCGAAAGGGAAATCGAGGCTGTGATGGTAAGTAAGAAAGAAACAGAAGACTTCCCTAGTTTGCTCTCCTCTATTGTTTTGCTGCAATCCTGTGATGATGATGATAAAGGTTGCTTGATAACCACACATAACAATATATGGTCTGTGCTAGTAACTATGCTGTGCTTGTCCAATGAGCTCTTTTAGCCTCTGTATGATGTGCATTTAATCATTTATGATATGATCTGCTCAGAAAGTCTCCTTCCTGGATTGGCCACGCTTCCTCGTATGAATGACATGATACGGGGTTAGAACATTTCCCGGATAGCTCGAGTTAGTGAGATGAACTGTGTGGTTTGATATGGATCGCGGAGTCTTGGTTGTTGAGAGAATTCTAATTTCAGCGGTTGATTGTCGATGCATTTGACAATGTGATTGTCTACTGAATCATTCCCAGACAACTTAAGTTCGTTTTCTGCTGTCAAAATACTGGCATAATTTGTTCCCCCTCTTCTCATTTTGCAGCTGGGTGGCTGCTTTTGACGGACTAGGAAGCGCGCAATGAAGCAGTTGAAAGTGCGATTTGGTTGTCACGTGTTCGTCACCAGTCGCCAATGAATAACGTCTGGACACTGCTACTGTAAATTTGCACCTCTTCAATAACAAACACTCGGTGCGACCATTTGCTTATGGTATGTACTTTACTTCATAGCTTTGAATTTGCTGTAACAGAAGAATGTACAATCACCTGATCAATGAATCAGCTCGCTTTTGTTTCGACCATAAGAAGCTTCATCAGCCAACATAATTGAACCATAAGAAGCTTTTATTTCAACTTATGTACACGCTAATGAAACCCACCTGGAACAAGTACTACACCGAAACAACACCCTGTTACATGAAACTATATTCGTTGGCAGTTCTACATATGTCAATTGTTGCCTCTGGAAAAGAACGTGTTTGAAGTTTGAACGCTATGCATTCGTCGAAGATCGCTTTGATGTTGCCTATAAACTAGGCAATAGAAAGAAGAGAGATTAACTACACAAACAAAAACACTGCGAAAGCAGGACACAGAAGCTTGGGTACAGGTTTTCTTCTCTACCAGGACAATCATATGTTTGAGAAAACTGGACGAATCAAAATAGTATTAGATTTCCCCCTTTACAATATAAATTACATATATATTGCTTGCAGTTGAAGTTGGAAAGCGCCTAAACAAACAAAACTGCACATTATTCTTTCCTCAACAAACCCAACACAAAATCCACCTCTCAAAACTAAGGTGGCTGTTGAAACTATCAAACCTATACCATGGGGGCAGAGGGAAACAAAAACACAAAAAGGAACAGCATCAACACAATTCCTAGTTCCTGTACTACTATCTTCCAGCTAAACCTTTCAAAGCCATCTTCAGCTTCACAACATGACTGACATTGTTGCATCGTCATCATCACGACCACCGATTATTTATCTCCGAGCAGCCGCGCTGTATGATCCATCAGCAATGGAAAAGGTCAGAGCTTTCCATTGCCTATGTCATGACCCTGTGTTTGTCTTCTCGCTGCTTCTTAGTCAAGTCTCGCTCTCTCGCATCACCACGTTCCTTGCTGATCGCGTCAGCATCCTCTTCTCGCATGAGGTACTTGTCAACCTGGGATGCAGTCTGTCTTCCCTCGGATATAGCCCATACGACGAGGGACTGGCCTCGTCGGCAATCTCCAGCAGCAAACACGCCTTCCACATTTGTTGAGAATCGGCCATAATCAGCCTTGAAGTTCGATCGTGCATCTCTCTCCACACCCAACTTCTCTGCCAAGTTCTGTAGAAGAACAAGAAGTATTAGAAATTGGAGTAAATGAATCAGGAGAAAACTGAGCAGTAAGCAGACAGGAGAAGGATAACTGACCGCCTCGGGACCAAGGAAGCCCATTGCGAGCAGGGCGAGATCAGCCTCAATCATCTCCAACGAACTTTCTACCTCCTTGAACTGGAACTTCCCGCTGGCATCCTTCTCCCAGTTGACCCGGATCACCTCGAGCCCCTTGAGCTTCCCGTTCTCATCTCCCACGAACCGTTTGGTCAGCACTTGGTAAGACCGTGGGTCCTTTCCAAATTTGTTTGCAGCTTCTTGATGTCCATAGTCCACCCGGAAGACACGAGGCCACTGCAAAACAAAGATTGAATGATGATGTGAAATGTTCCAGAGTCCGATCAGGGTTTTATGATTCGAAGATTCAGACCTGAGGCCAAGGGTTGCCTGGTGCTCGAGTCTTCGGTGGCTCAGGCAAAAGCTCTAGATTCACAATGCTGTTGCAGCCATGGCGAATGGATGTCCCGATGCAGTCTGTCCCAGTATCACCTCCGCCGATGACCACCACTTTCTTCCCCTTGGCGGATATGTAGTTGCCATCCTCCAGATTGCTGTCGAGCAAGCTCTTAGTGTTGGCGTGAAGGAACTCCATGGCGAAATGGACTCCCTGCAGGTCCCGTCCAGGTACAGGAAGGTCTCTTGGCTTGGTGGCTCCGACTGCCATAACAATGGCGTCATTGTCCTCCCGGAGCCTCTCTAGAGAATACTCAGGGTCAACTCCGATGTTAGCATTGACCACAAAGTCGATGCCTTCCTCTGCCATGAGGTTGACACGTCGTTGAACTACATCCACTTTGTCAGTCTTCATGTTGGGGACTCCGTACATCATAAGCCCTCCGATCCTGTCAGCACGCTCATAGACAGTCACCAAATGGCCCATTCTGTTCAGCTGATCGGCAGCGGCCAAACCTGCTGGTCCACTTCCGATTATCGCAACTCGCTTCCTGCAATACCGAATGCACTCCATCATGAATAAAAGACATATAGACACATTAACAGAGGAACCTAATCGAGTGACAACGTACCCAGTTCTTTTGAGAGGAGGCCTTGGCTTCATCCACCCTTCTTCGAAGGCCTTATCGATAATAGCACATTCTATGTTCTTTATAGAGACAGGATTCTCAATTATGCCAAGAACACAAGAACCTTCGCACGGGGCAGGGCACACGCGGCCAGTGAATTCTGGGAAGTTATTTGTCTCGAGAAGACGATCCAATGCTTCACGCCATCTGTTTTGATAAACTAATTCGTTGAACTCGGGTATTTTGTTTCCAAGCGGGCATCCCGAGTGCTCCTGCATCAAAGAAGCAAATTAGAGAAGAAAGTCAGACTAATCTCTTCCCGCCATTACTGAAATGGGTAAGCAAAAGCAGAAAAAGCTATTGCTCTCACCTGATGGCAGAAAGGAGTACCACAATCCATGCAGCGAGCTGACTGAGTCTTTAAAAGAGGGCCAGGTTTTGATTCCTCCATTACTTCATTCCAGTCATTCATACGGATGTTAGGATCCCTGTACTGAACACCTTCACGCTCATACGCAACAAACCCACGATGCTTAACAGCATCATTGACCCGACTTGGCCTCTTTGATTCGGCAGTTTCATCCACCTGTCCATACCAAAACAAGAGACAGACATCAGAATCTATAAGAAAAAGATATCAACCAAGAAAATGTTCAAGCCAAGCACTCCAACTAAACCTTGGATAGGTCTTCCTCTCACAATTTTTATGGCTCAATCTGACAAGTCAAATACATTAGCGGGCCCAAGAGGCAAAAGCATCATTCAGTTTTCTAATATGACCCATCAGAAATCAGAAAGAAGACCCACCTGAATGGATTTGTCATTCACTGATGCAGCTGCTAACTTTTTTAGCTCGTTAAAGGCATCTTTCGGATTCAACTCCACCTCATCTTGATCCTCAGTTTCTTTAACCATCTTCTCAGCAACCTCTTTAGCAGCTGATTGACTCTTCATGCTCGCAAGCACACGCTTGTAATCTCTCGGGAAGACCTTGATGAACTTAGGGAGGAGATAGTCAAAATCGGCCAACACTTCCTTAGCCAACTGGCTGTTAGTGTTGCGCTGATGCTGTTGTATCGTCATTCTGAGAGTCATAATGTCCTCTTCTTCCTCGACTCGATCGAGATCCACCAACTCCGGGTTGCAACGAGAATGGAATTTCCCGTCAATATCAAGAACATAGGCAATGCCACCACTCATGCCTGCAGCAAAATTTCTCCCCGTCTTCCCTAGCACAACAACAGTGCCACCTGTCATGTACTCGCAACCATGATCACCAACTCCTTCAACAACTGCAGTAGCTCCGGAGTTCCGTACACAGAATCTTTCGGCAGCCATACCATTGAAATATGCTTCACCGCTGATAGCTCCATAGAGAGCTACATTACCAATCACTATGTTCTCTTTCGGATCAAACAAGCTTCCTTTTGGTGGATAAACCACGATTTTTCCACCTGACAATCCTTTTCCAACGTAGTCATTGCTGTCACCCTCGAGCTCTAGTGTTATACCAGGGCAAAGGAAAGCACCAAGACTCTGCCCAGCACTTCCATCGAGTTTCACATGAATGGTGTCTTTCGGAAGCCCTGCCAGATTATACCGCTTGGTGACTTCATGACTCAGCATTGTACCGACGGCACGGTTCACGTTGCATATTGGCGTCTCGATGTACACAGGAAGACCCTTTTCTAAGGCCGGTTTAGAGAGCGTTATGAGTTTATTATCCAGAGCCATGTCCAAACCATGGTCTTGCTTCTCCACGCAATACTGAGCAGCCCCCGGGCGGATGTCAGCAGCAGGTCTAAGTAGGAGTGAAAGGTCAATGTTTTCAAGCTTTTCGTTGTTCTTAACAACATCTCTATCAACTTCCAGCATATCCGCACGACCAACCATCTCGTTAAGCGTGCGGAAGCCGAGCCCGGACATTATCTCCCTAAGCTCTTCAGCCAACATGAAGAAAAAATTGATGACGTGTTCAGGCTCTCCAGCAAACTTTTCTCTCAGAACTGGATCTTGAGTGGCAATGCCAACCGGGCAAGTGTTTTTATGGCACTTTCTCATCATGATGCATCCAAGAGTTATGAGAGGTGCTGTGCTGAAGCCGAACTCTTCTGCACCGAGAAGTGCAGCAACTGCTACATCTCTTCCGGTTTTTAGTTGACCATCGGTCTGGAGAACAGTACGGCCTCGAAGGTTGTTGGCAACGAGTGTTTGGTGGGTTTCGGCCAAACCAAGCTCCCACGGGAGCCCGGCATTTTTAATGCCTGTCCATCTAGAAGCTCCGGTACCTCCATCGTGACCTGAGATCAAGACGTGATCAGCATGACCCTTCACCACTCCACTAGCTATCACACCCACGCCAGCTTCAGATACCAACTTGACACTAATCCGAGCTCCTGGGTTGGCATTCTGCAAAAATTGTAAACATTAGGAGGTTTTAATAAATTGACTGGTGGAAGAAGAAATCCAAATTGGAACATCCCATTCCATCAAACAAACTGCATTGAAGCTGGAATCGGAAGTAGGAAATACATCCTACCTTGAGATCGTGAATCAGTTGAGCAAGGTCTTCAATAGAATAGATATCATGATGAGGAGGAGGGCTGATGAGGCCAACACCAGCAGTGGAGTTTCGGGTTACTGCAATATCTCCTATAACCTTATGCCCAGGTAGCTCACCACCTTCACCAGGCTTGGCTCCCTGCAAAAATGTTATGCAAATTAGCAAGATGGTAACAGATGTTTTCAGTTTGGTGTTTACTGAAAGATCTCAGCATTATCTGCCATGAAGAATAGAGATCTTGGTCCTACCAAGAATGCAGGGTCTCAAGTATTCAACAAATTTAAATCTTCAATATGAAAATTATCTATAATTAGATACCTGAGCCATTTTAATCTGCAATTCATCCGCATTTGTTAGATAGTAACTTGATACACCGAATCTCCCACTTGCAACCTGCTTAATTGCACTCCTCTTTGGATTTCTCGTACCGTCTGAAAAAGGCTCCATTCTAGAAGGCTGCTCACCTCCCTCACCTTAATATGTAGAGGAACATCCATTAAAGAACACCCAAGGCAAAGCAGAATGAGAAAATTAAACAAAGAACAGATAGGGTCGATCAAGCATACCTGTGTTAGACCTCCCTCCAATCTTATTCATCGCAACAGCAAGAGTTGAGTGCGCCTCCAATGAAATAGACCCATAACTCATAGCTCCGGTGCAGAATCGTTTCACAATCTCACTGGCTGGCTCCACCATATCCAGTGGAACCTTGATTGCAGAGTCCTTAAACTTCAGAATCCCCCTCAAATTACAGGCTTTGTTTAATTCTTGAATGCGTTTAGAGTATTCTTTATAAGCAGCTACACTATTAGCTCTGGCAGCTTCTTGGAGCTTTGCTATGGCAAGAGGATCGTTCAAGTGAATCTCACCTCCCTTTCTCCAATGGTAATCCCCTGGATTTGGCAGTGCGACAGCCTCTGCACTTCCAGGAGGTAGAGCTCGCCTAGGGAATGCCAACTCATGCAAACGAAGAGAATCACGGGCGAGCATTTCAAATGTAGCTCCCTCAACTCTGCTTGGAGTTCCAGCAAAGCACTTCTCAATCACCTCAGATGAAAGACCAAGAGCTTCAAAAATTTGAGCACCCTTGTATGAGGCCAGTGTTGATATCCCCATTTTGGCAAGAACCTTCATCATGCCATAGTTGCTTGCTTTGAAATACTTTTTCACCAACTCATTCTTCGAGTGAAATTCTCCATTAGATTTTGGAGGAATTTTCCCATCAACCTGGAGTCTCCAAATAGCCTCTACGGCCAAGTATGGGCATATAGCATCTGCACCAAATCCAACCAAAGTACAGAAATGATGAACTTCACGTGGTTCTGCAGACTCCACAATCAAACCTACTTGAGTTCGCTCAAGCTTTCTCACAAGGTGATGATGGACCGCACCAACAGCCAAGAGAGAGCTTACAGCCACCCTCGTGGAAGAAAAGGCTGGACAAAGAGGCACAGAGAAGATGAAAAGAAGAATGAGCAACCGCGTATGGCTATCTTTCAATTAGCTGTAATTACAAAGTACGCAAATGAATAGTCTATACATACCTCTATCAGAAAGAACTAGCAAGGTGTAACCTTCCTTGATTGCAGAATGTGCTTCAGCACAAATCCTATCCAAGGTTTCCTCCAATCCCTTCCTGCCACTGTCCCTTGAATAAGTTATGTCGAGAACTTTGCTCCGCCAACCCCTGTAGTTCATCTTCTTAACAGCCTCGACTTCATCGATTGTCAGGAGAGGGCCCTTCAGTGAGAGGCGGTGGCATTGCTCTTCAGTTGTTTCTGTCAGATCACCTTCAGGGCCAATCATGCATTCCGTTGAAGTGACAATTTTCTCTCTAATAGGGTCAATTGGAGGGTTTGTAACTTGAGCGAACATTTGCTTAAAATATTCGTAAGTGAGCTTTTCTCTGTCAGACATAACAGCCAGTGGAGTATCATTTCCCATAGAGCCAAGAGCCTCGCTGCCATCTTTTGCCATGGGAAGCAACAACATCTCCAAGGCTTCCACCGTATAGCTTCATAAATACAAGACATAACATGAAAACATGGTTCCAATTTAACACAGTATGGCTTTGCATTTTAGTGACACATACCCAAAAGCTTTCAATGGCGCCAGCAAACCATGAATTCCCATGTTCTCCATGTTCTCATCGTTATTTGAAGCCTGTAATTTGAAACGGTAGGATTAGCACAACCCCATCTTCAATGTAAAGGAATAAAATTAATGTAACAAAAGACATACTGAAACAACACCCGCCAACTCTGGGGGAACTCTGTCAGCTTCAGGAATTGTCTCAATTATATCCTTCAGTTCAATCTTTTGCCTCTTCAGCCAGTCGCCATATGGCCTTGATAGAGAGTATTGTTGCTTCAATGCTTCATCATCTACAACAATGTGCTTCTCAAAATCCACCAGAAGCATCATTCCAGGGTTAAGCCTTCCTTTCCTGAGCACATCTTCAGGAGGTACGTCAACAACACCAACTTCACTGGCCATGATAACTCTCCCACTTCGAGTTACATAGAACCTGCCCGGACGCAAGCCATTGCGATCTAGTGTAGCTCCAAGATAGTGGCCATCAGTGACTGCACATGTCACACTATGTCAGCAAACAAGAACTACACTAAGAGACTAAGAGCTAGCAGCAGCATTGAAAAGGTGATATGTCATAAAAAATCATTACAGGAGACAAGTGCAGGCCCATCCCATGGCTCCATGAGACAAGAGAAGTACTCGTATAATGCTTTCCTTTGTGGGTCCATGTTCATATCATTTTGCCAGGCTTCAGGGATCATCATCATGACAGCTTCAGGGAGACTTCTCCCAGCTCGAACCAGAAGTTCGAGGACACCATCAAATGCCCCTGCAGAGGGCAACTAAAAAATGTAAGCCCGGGCGTTGAAACAGAAATGAAATTATGTTGATGATGAACACTTGGAAAGAAAATTACCAAATCTTACCAGAGTCGGATGAACTAGCATCAACAATTGGCAAGAGCTTCTTCATCTCGTTCTTAGAGAGCCCAAGCTCCTTGCATTTCAGTAGACCCTCACGTGCTCTCATCCTGAATAAAAAGATTCAACACTTTAGCTTCCAGCTTCAATAAGCTCGGTAACACATTATTTTCAGAAATAGCCTACCAATTTACATTGCCCCTAAGAGTGTTGATTTCACCGTTGTGGCCCAAGACACGCATTGGTTGAGCACGATCCCAGCTAGGGAAAGTGTTGGTCGAAAAGCGAGAGTGTACCTGTAGAAAGAATTATAGGAACCAAAATTGTCATTGTGCAGTTCCACTTAAAAGGAAAAGCCAGAAAAGTAAAAAGTGGTATGCACACCAAATGCATGCTCTGCTTTTTTAGAGATAAAGGAGTTGACGTGGTGGCATAACAGAATCGTGTTAACCCTAAGCTACCTTGACCAAACAAAACATCCTTTCAACCACCAACTGGGAGTGTCCTCTTCAAACAACTGACCAGATACAGCAGTGCAGTAAATTTCTGCAAACATGATTGACAATGAGACTTCTGGCCAACTCAAACAAGGGCATCCAATCCAGCCATCCAAATTTAATTAGTAATCAAGGGTGTGGAGGATACTTAAGAGACCATTCATACTTCAATGCCTCAGAAGTCATCCCCAACCTGGCATATCTCCAGATACCGGTGGTTCCCATGCTGTTTTGTTGAGGCATGAGTTAGTGGAGAAAGCATAACAGTCAATGGATAATTATATTTACCAGGGCCATGTAGCTCGTAAACCTTTCATTCCCAAGATCCGCATAGTAGTATTCCGACAGCTGTACAGGCTTCAGCTGACCTTTGTAAACAACGGTCCTGATAGAAACCAGCTGAAGCCATTAATGCTATTCACAAATGGAACAGGGCACAGAAAAAAATCAAAATCACAATTCAAAATTGTTACCTAGATGACAGAGAACATATATAGAAGTCACGGACAGCACCATGTTGGAGGTTCAGTGCAGCGCGGATTGCTACCATGGATACCCTCCGTAATATATACATCTGCCAGTAAACATCAATCATAAGAACCAGAATATATTAACTAATTACAATTTCTATCAGGATCATCTAGTCATATACATCATACTCCTCACAATTGACTAAACACAAGAACTAGCCAGCTTGCGAATGAAGACGTACCTGCTGTTCAAAATCAGCTTTAGACCTAGGAGTCGGGGTGAGGAAGACCTGCTCGATCACAGGCTCTGTCTGCAAAGCAGACTGCCCCAACCCAGAGTTATCTGTCGGTACAGGCCGCCATCCAAGAACTGTATGGCCAAGCGACTCGGCAACCTACAATGGCAGTCAAACCAGCATTACATTTGAAACCATGTATTTACCAAACGGGTAAGTAAAGGTGAAAAAAGCAAACAGCATTTCCCAAAAAGATTAGAGCTTTGAATTCAGCTCAGCACACCTTAGTAAACACATTTTTGCTTTCCTCCCTGCGGTTGTCTGAGGTGGGCAAAAAGAACATTCCAACTGCATATTCTCCCGGCGGAGGAAGCTCAAACCCAAGATCCTTCGTAACCTGAAGAAAACAAATAGAAATTCAATTACCAGACACAATAAAATTCAGTAATATACGACTAAAACACAGTCTAGGAAAAATGGCGGGGAAGAAGAAAAGGTGTTGGCACAATTCTGTTGAAATGAAACATTTCACCCCATCTACAATAAGACGAATATATATTCAGACATCGCGTGGAACTCTCTTTTACAATTGGCGAGCCAATTACTGACTGGGAAAAACAACGACGGAGTAGCTTTCAGATTTTTCACTTTTCACAGGGTCCAAAAGATGAAAAGAACCAGAGCAAAAATATGTCACTGCGGCATTTTGACCCAAGCTATGCTATGTCCATCCAGGACAATGAAAAACAAAAGGAAATTAATCCATTAGTCGTCAATTCACTTACATACCATAATTGTTAATCCATAATTCTCGTCCGAATTAAACTCAAAACAAACATTCAATTCAACCCAGATATCAAATTCAATCAATTTCTTTTCAAAAAACAATTTAGAGTTCTACCTCTTTGTAGAAACCGTGAGGAAGGCCGACGAGAATCCCAGCTCCGTCGCCGGTATTCGCTTCGCAGCCACAAGCTCCCCTGTGGGTCATGCGAACCAACATTTCCACCGCATCGGTTACCTAATTTGCCATCGCCGGAGTTACAATAAAAATACCAAATCAGCTTCCCGTCACATATTCAATCAATTATCAATACACCGTTTAAGAGTAGCCGAATAGACACTAACCGTCTTCCGATTGCTGTCGCCGGACAACTCCGCGACGAATCCCACACCGCAAGAGTCCTTATCGTAAGACGGATCGTAAAGACCGAGGGGCTTCTCCGGCACACCGGACAATGCGGACCGAACCACCACCCGGAGCTTCGGTGACCTCCCCGGCCCGTCCGACTGCCACACGTGCAGCCTCTCCGCTACGTGAGGCCTCAATCGCGTCCCGAAGAGCTTCGATTTCTCCAAACCGTTCCTGGCGGCGACGGAGCGACATCGCGTCGTCCCTCCTCGGCGAGAAGAATATGAAGGGACGGCGAATACAGGGGACGACGCCTTGTTTGGCTGAAGCAGCGGCGATGCTGAGCTAGCGGTAGCCCCTTGCTGAAGCAGATTGCTCATAGTCCCAGTACCCGACATTTTCGGAACGGCCAAACTGATTCTCGGAAAATTCAAACGGATTGAAGAAAAAAGAGTTCGAATCCAAACAAAACAGTTACAGAGTCTCAGATCCAAGAGAAATCAAATGGGAGGGAGATAGATAGGTCAGGTCAATTCGTTCTTGTTATTAGAGATCTCTACGATTATTTTTCCCTATCACACACAGAGCTTCTGTTCGTCTGATCACATGCACCGACGGAATTTACGAGATCCGGCGAAGGAGAAGGGTAGGAAACGGAGCTGGCAAAGGCAGTAAAATACAAAGACAGGAGGAGTTAAGAACGAGAGAAAGAAGAAAAAATAACGAAAGAAGCGGCGGCGGCGGCGGCGGCGGACGGTGGGTGACAGGCAGAAGCTGGCCGGCGGTGAGCTTGGTTATCGGGAGCGTTTGGGGTAAGCGTTGAGAGAGGCAGAGGAGCGTTTGATTTATAGAGGAAGTGAAAAGGGCTGGGGAGGAGTGTGTGGGACCCACGACGGCTAAATTTAATCCAATTGTCATAGAGGAAGAGATCTCTGGGTTACAGGTCTGTCACCCATTCCTGTGTAACCGCTTAATTTATTTTATGTTTTTTTTGTGGTGAATCAATAGTTTGCCAATATTTTAAAAATAATTTCCTTTTAGGGATATTTTTTTTAATATTTTCGGTATTATAATTACTGTGCTTCTTTTTTTCAGATAGGTGTTAATTGTTTGAATAGAATGTTATTAAATCAAATACAGAAATTTTACCATAAACATTATCTTGACATATTTGAAATTTGTTGATTAATATTCATAACAAATTTTTTTGATTAATATCGACTATTCCCGAATTTTATGTTTGCATATGATTTAGGTATTATAAAATCAAAACAATGTTATTGATATTTACCCGAGTTAATTTCACGACAACCATGATAAAATTTTGGCATTCAGAAAATGCTAGGTTGAGTTTGGTACACGATTGTATTACGACCAAACTTGTATGATTTGACAAACTTCAAATACAAACAATCTTTTGGATTTTTATCCTTTTTCTTTCTTTTTTTTTATTAGTGGATTCTAATATTGACTAATTGCAGAATATGCTAAATTGAAAACATAATACAACAAATGAGCTACTAAAAAAGCGTTCAGTGTTTTGGCAACTCATTTTGTAATGCCACAACCACGTGTATGGTGTATTTATACGGCCACGTGATAACCCGCTTAAAATGGGACCGTTTCAATTGAAGTAACGACACTCACTTCACGGTCTCATGTGACATGTGGGACGGTTACGTTTTTTCAAGACTCAGATCTGAACCGACTCATCCAAACTCCTAACTATCTAATTAGCTATTTGGGTACTCTATCATTTGGACCTTTTATGATATATTTCATTCACTACAAAGCGAAAGATGGATATAATAAGTGATGGTTTTCATACTTTCTCAAAATACCAATAATAGTATGCATACTATGAACATGATGGGGGGAAAATTATACAGGAAAAAAGTATTATAGTTACAAATTTTTAAGGTGATTCCATGTTATTTGGCGTAATTCTACCGGTGGAATTAAAATAACTGCGGTAAATGGAAAATCAAGGCAAGTCATGGTTGTTTATTTTTAGGAAACCGGTGGCGGAGTTGACTACGTACGCAGCGTGTGACGCGAGGGATGACGCCGAATAACAAATCCATAAGTAGTAATAAATAATAATTCAAAACAAAATATATATACATGGAAAATAATTAATTGGCAAACGCAGCTAATCGTATACGTAACTACCATAACCAGTGATATTTTCCCTTTTTAGTTTTCATTTTTATGCGGCCAATGGTAATCGAATTAATTATAGCTTTCTTTAAATTTCATTTGCTTTTTAATAGTTAGGTTACTAATTCATGATTTCATTAAACTATCCACGAAACGGTAAGACATCCATGGAATATTTTTTTATATCGAAAAAGTGTTGTTTGGTCCATTTTTCTCGTTGTTCATGAAACTGTATCGTACCGGCGGTTCAACCACAAAATACTAGTATCGGAGGCTAAATCGATAAGCGGTATTTAACGGTACAAATGGTTGAACTACGATTAAACCACGATTTTGTCATAAAATATCCTATCGCTGACTTTTCTGGTACGATGTCTGGTACGGTTTCATAGACCATGCTTTTTCTCAGTTGTGGAGGCCAAGCCAATACCTTTATCGGCCTTTTGACTAAGATCAAGTGGATGCCAAGTCGTTTCTCCATCCATTAGTTGTCTATTGTGTGATCTGGATTGATTAGGGTTTGGTAAGGGTTATTAACATAATGTGTGTTCGAGAGTGATCTGGATTGATTAGGATGCCAAGTCGTTTCTCCATCCATTAGTTTTCTCCATCCATTAGCTGATAAATTTTTTCATATTCATCTACTTGTTGGGACGAAGGAATCGAACCGAGTAGCTCACTGACCCGAACACAACCCATACAAAAAAAAGCACTTTACTTGTTGGGTGCGTTACATGGTTGTCATGCCGGTGGCATGCCACCAGGTTGAATTTGATTCAACCTGTGCCGGTCATAAAATTGGTATGGCACCACCAGTATAATCGACTTATGCATTCTAAACAAAATGACATCATTTTAATGAATTTAATTAATAAAAATAATCATTTATTATTCATTTTATAAATTCAATAGTTAAAAGTTGATGATATTTGTTGGATTGTAACTAAATTGTCCACGAATATGTTTTATATATGATTAAACACATTGGATTTTAATTGTTTTCACATTTTTTTAAACCGGCACAAACTGGTTATACCACCGATCGTACCATTCCACGTGCCAAACCGGCACAACGATATAAACCGATTTTGACAAACCTTGGTGCGTTATCATTGTGGCATTATCCTATACTCTAATAGTTTTTTTGTTTTTCCCGATTCCGTTTTGGAAACCGAAATAAGATAACTAGTGATTAATTCTATGGAGCACATTGAATAAGGAAGAAAAACGGGGTACCGCCCATAGTATTTTGTAGTTTGGGGACTAACGATACATTTATTCGCAGTACAACAACGCCCACGTTTATCCAAACAAGCCAGCAGCTTTTAAGTATCACAGTCAGGAGGCGTTTTACGGCAAAATTAGGTCAAAAGTCCATCGCCCCGGGAAAAGGAAAATGACCGGTAACGAGTCGCCGCTGCGGATTTTGGGAATGTCGTCGGATACGTTTAGCTATAGCTGGCGCGTGGCCAGCTCATGCTATTTATAGGGACAATGACATAAATATTGTTTTTTTTTTTAAATTTACCACGAATATGGCCAATTAATAAGTATTGACAAAGATATTGTGTTTTATACATCAGAATTGGCGGGTACACCTGAGACTCAGGCGCCGCCGCTTAAGACTTGGTTTTTGGCCCGCTTTATTAGACTCGGGCGGTGGCGCCCCAGTCTCAGGCGGCGGCGCCCGAGACTGAAGCGAGTAGGTGGGAAATAAGACTCCGGTGGTGGCGCCCGAGACTGAGGCGAGTAGGTGGATTGGCCACCCACCCTATAAAACCCAGACAGACATTTCGTTTCAGATTCACACCACAAAAAAAATCGTCCAAAATAGAGGAGAGAGCTCTGGTTGCTGCTGCAAAAATGGCTAGGTAAGAGACACATTTATTTTTGTAATTATATTATTCAAATGCTATTATGATTGTGTTTAGTTTTTAATTAGTGAGTTTGTTTTTTTGTAGTGATTTTAGAAGATTTGAACTAGTTGTTCGGTGGAAATCGGAGAAAGTAGAGGATAATTTGGGTGTCAAATTCGTTGGTGGTAGTAGTTTTCAGTTGACGGTTCCATCCAGAGTCACATATCACAAACTTTGTGAGACTCTAATTCCGAGAATACGGCGCAGAGACGAAGCAGTAAAAGATAGTGATGTGATCACAGGTTTCACTTACCGTCTTCCAGAATGGCAGAATGATGTTTTATTTCATTATGCGTTACCTATTGTGGATGATGATAGCTTGGATGTGCTTTGGAATTTTATGGCACAAAATCCTTATTGTTTGGGTGCTGAGATACATGTTGAGCTCAGTGATGATCAGGGTGGAGAGGAAGAAGATGATACATGGAGCGTGCCATCCGATCATGACTATGATCACGGTGATGACGGAGAGGAGGAGGAGGAGGAGGAGGAGGAGGAGGAAGGAGAGCAACTTAATTATCCTCCATATTTTTACTTGCAGGGCAATGAAGATGACGAAGAATTTGCACTTGCTGATTCATATGGCGTAATTCCAATGCCTATTGTTGATAGTTTTGAAGGAGAATTCTACAAGGGGCAGATATTTCACTCGAAACAAGCTGCACAGATGGCGATTAAACACCACGCACTACAACGCAACTTTCTATATGGCGTGGTGGAGTCGTCACCTTCAATATGGAAGGTCAGATGTTTGAGGCACAAGGATGACAATTGTCCTTGGATGGTGCGGTTTGGATGTCGAGATGTTGGGGGCGAATGGACTGTGAGAAAAGCTGAGTTGGTGCATTCTTGTAGCAGTACGACTCAACCGACGGATCATCGCCATCTTGATGTCGACATGATATCTGAGGCCGTCAAACATTTGGTACGTGCCCAACCAAATCTGAGTGTTCTAACTGTTCAAGCCGAGTTGAAAGATAAGTTTAATATGCAAGTTACTTACAAGAAGGCTTGGTATGGGAAACAAAGAGCATTGGAGAAGTTGCATGGAAATTGGGAAGAATCCTACGATTTTTTGCAAACATTCTTGCGGGTGGTCAAGAGAAAAATGCCAACATCGGTGATTGATTGGGTAACAGTTCCTTCGACTCAACCTGGTCATTTAATATTTCAGCGAGTATTCTGGGCTTATGGACCTTGTATAGATGGATTCAAGAATTGTCCAGGCGTCATGGTTGTGGATGGAACATTTCTTACTGGGAAGTATAAAGGAGTGCTACTCATGGCGAGCTCATTTGATGGCCGGAGGAAGATTTTTCCAATTGCATTTGCCATAGTGGAGAGCGAGAATACTGAGAGTTGGCCATGGTTCATGAGGAAGGTTCAGGGTTTGACTGATCGAAATGATGTATGCATCATCTCAGATAGACATGCAGGACTCTATGAAGCCATGAATAACATCGGAAGAGGTTGGGAGTGGAGGTGGTGCATGCGACACTATGCAAGCAATTTGCAAAGGAAGACTCGAAGCAAAATTATGTATAATCAACTATTTCGAGTCGGTAAGCTTTCTTCATTTAATTTTGTTATTTGTTTTCATGTAATTTTGTCATGAATTTATCTAACACGTGTTGTGGTTTATTTTGTTAGCCGGAGAAAAACGGTTGGAGAAGTTTGATCGTCAAGTTGAGCAATTTAAGAAGGTGGCCGCTGATAGAAATATTTCATGTGATAACTG